GGGCCCTCTCCCACGTTGACTCTAGTGGTAATATTATTCGGCAGCCGCGTCGCGTTGTGATCGGGATTATGCTCTCATAGGATATACGTAGCATTACATTGGAATAGTAGAAAAGGGATCAGTGGGGATATGTATCTTCAGTCTGGAAAATAAGCTCAAGCCCAAAAACACGAGTGATTCGAGATGGGTCACCCGACCAAGCGCCCCCAACATTAGCCCTCACTTCCCGTCGACTGACGGAGCAATTGGTAAGTCTTGAAGAAGGGGACGGGGAGAGTGGCGTATATGTTCATGTAAAGATCGACCCCTACCTATCTATGTGGAAATACTGTTGGGTTAATTTGATATGTGTAGTGCAGTACCTACTCACCGGGTTGAAGTAGGCACGTACCCGGTATACTTTTCGTTACAGCGCAGCAAAGAAAAACCCTTCAAGGCTGCAAGGCTTCTGTTTTCCGAATAGCCGTCCGGCGAGCCAAAGACTAGCCAGTCAGGGACGCTGTACAGCTGCAGTTATCAGGTACCTATATATAGGCACAATTCAAGCTTCTGCCGGGTATTCCGTCACAACACTAGATCCCCTACAAGCGCTTTCGAAGTCGGAGTTGGCATTCGGTTACTATAGCGGTGTTGGTATTCGGGGTTGACAGCTGTCCACCCGGCGTTAGCAGGGGCAGTCAAACGATCGGCGTCGGGGTAGCTATAGTATAGCACCTACTGCAATATTCGTCGTACATAGTTTTCGCTGTCTTGTCTCTCTCTCGGGTGCGGTTCCCGGCGGCGATGTTGGGATACCTAGGCATTCCTCGTCCACAATACCGTACCTGAAGGATTCACCGAAACTATTAGAGTAGGGTTTCCCGGACATGTCTCGTCTTACCTAGTGCCAACTCCGACAAGTTCGGAAGCCCTTTTAGACCCCCCGCCAAAAGGCCTGTTCGAGATGGCACACCACCGGGCTCGATCCGACTGGCGTCCGGATGCTCCGTCAACCACCCCTGGCGTAAGGCATACGTGGCAAGGCATCTCTGAGATAGCAAGTGGAGTCTCCAGCCGTCCAGAACAGCATACCTACTGCGGTGTTGATGGATCATAAGTGTGGACATGATCGACAACAGGTCGGTAGGCTGAAGAACAGGGCACGGCATCCCCGACTCCGGCAATTCCTCGTTTGCGGCAAAGCCCTCATTATCTGAGTGCCGCGTTTCGGCCACTGCTCCAGAGTAAGGTGACCAACTACCGCATTAACTTATCTACTCAAGAAGTATTGTCTCAGTTCTGTTTTTTTCTCTAACACGCTCGGCGCACCGATTATTGCCTGGACGGTAAATAAAACAAATAAAACTGATAGAATTATCTTTTGGTATCGCAGGACAAGGTGCCAGATACAGAAAGCCTACTGCCACATACGGTAATAAACCAGTCCATCTTAAGTGAGATATCACGGTATTCTTCCACCCCAGGCGCGAGCCCAGAGTCTACACCTATCGGCAAAGCCGATAATCGTTCGTTGCGGATACGTCGACACATGGTGTACCTACATAGCAACATTCTGAAGCTAACTATCGACTCCCACGGTCCAGGATGTGCACTGCTCCAGCCAGTTGATGCCGGTCACTACCTTGAAGCCAATCAGTCATCAAGGTGGAAGACGTGTGTAGGACCGGAATACCAGATTAAGCGAGAACAATCGGTTGCCAACGGATGTCGTGGAACAAACATCAATCCTCCCACGGTGAGATGATTCTCTTCGAGAATGATTGGGGGATCAGCGTATGCACCCCCACCCGAGCCCTGCACCAACTCGGTTATCTCCCCAGCCTCCCCACTCCCCGGCAGGCAGCGGACTGGGTAGTCAATGCTTATGTCGCAGTGGCATCCAAAAAGGGCTCACGCCGACTTGACGCTATCTTCACCTGGACGCTCTTACGACGACGGGATCGAGTGTTATTATTGATTTACCAGACAGATCGCCGCTAACTAAGGCCTGGTTCCGTTGGGGCCTGACGTTGCCCTATACAGCCTTTTCGATATCGTATTGCACGATCCATGAGACGGGAAGTCCTTCTGCGATTCTCGCAGACCCCCGGAATGGACAGCAGCACCATTCCGCCGCCGCTACCGGGTCTCGCGGTCGAGGACAACAGTAACCATGAAGTCAACTCCACCGGGGCAGCTCGTCGACCAGCAGAGTCACCTCGAGTGCCCATAGGCTTCCTATTGTCTCAGCCTGCCGGGTACCTCCACGGAATATAAAATCGGCGCCTTCCCCGTGTGAGTTGATGGCCACAGAAGACCACCGACCATCATCAACATGCACTTCAGAACCACCATCGTCACGCTCCTTACCGGTGTTATTGCCCTTTCGTCGGCATTACCGTCGGCACAGTCGGACTCTCGAAAGTCCAGTGAAGCACAGCACAGCAAAGGAAAGCACACCGGCAAAGAACAGTGCAGCGATCCGATTGTTCGCCGCGAGTGGTGTGTACTGCTTTCCCGATTCCCACAACTGCAGAGCTGACGTGAACCGCACCACAGGCGGCATCTGAGCATGCATCAGCGAAAGGATTACCTCCGGGCGGTCAAGTGCATGATGGCGAAACCCCCGAAGCTGGGTAGTTATGCCGAAGGGATCACAACGCGATGGGAAGGTCGATCTTCGAGTCAGAGTGTCTTTTGGGGGATGACAATGGTGAGCTAACTTCCGTACTTGTAGATTTCATCTGGATACACCAATCTATGATGCCAATGGTCCACTGGGTCGGACACTTCCTTCCGTGGCATAGGCTCTTCCTCTACGAGTATGAGCGCGTCCTGAGAGAGGAATGCGGTTACGCTGGCGGAGTTCCGTAGGTGCCCCAACACCCTCTACTGCTGCTTCGCGTCCTAACTGGTATATGCAGTTATTGGGACCAATCGAAAGACTACCGCGACATCCTCGCCTCGCCTCTACTGAACGGCGAAGTCTCCTTCGGAGGCAACGGTAAATACGACCCAGACGCGCCGCTGTCCAGACTGCCGACCTTCCCCACCTTCGACTACACCGGCGGAGGTTGTATCCATAGCGGTGCCTTCAAGGATGAGGTAATCCATCTCGGCCACACGAACGACAGCTCGTACCACGAGCGCTGCCTCAAGCGCAATATCGTCCGCGAGCCCGCACGGGAGTGGTTGAAGCCCAGTCGCGAAGTCGACGTACTTAAAAACCCCAACTACGAGCGGTTCGCCGTCGCCCTTGAGGGTAATCTCGACTGGAACACGGATTTCGGAATCCACAATGCTGGTCATCTCTGCATCGAAGGAGACGTATGTTGTCCCCCCCCTAGGAATATATACCGACCGCCGCTAACCCTAACCCCAGATGGCCGACGTCTTCATCTCGCCCGGAGACCCTCTTTTCTACGTGTTCCACGCGAACATCGACCGTATCTGGTGGAAATGGCAGCAAGCGAACCCGTCGGCACGGCGTTTCGACGTTGGAAACCCGATTGCGCCCAGGGTCCCCTTGTTTGCGGACCTGTATCCCAACCCTCCGCCGGGCAATGTCACGCTCGACTTTGAGCTTACCATGGGACCGTTGGGTGGTAATCGGTTGACGGTGGAGACTGCGCGGGTCATGGATACGCGAGGGACAACTCCGGATGAGTTTGAGGCTGGATTGCTTTGTTATACGTATAAATAGTTCCATCGGAGGAATCTGATCTGTGAGGGGGGGAGAAAGAGAGGGATACTAATATGAACGGGAGGGCGTGGCCCGGGAGTGGCGGAGGCAAGGAGTGGGACGGTGTTTAATGCTGCTATCACCTAATTATGGACGCGAAATTTAATGAAATATTATGTTCTGAATCCGTTCATTGCATTCTGGTCTTGTCTCGCACCAACCCCATCCAATTGTGGTGTTGCGGCCACAGCCACCTGTGCCTCGTGTTAAAATCCTGTTAGTAGAGGAAGGGCACTAACTTCGGACCAATCGGAGAGTAGAAGATTGAGCTGGTCATTAAACACAGATGCGCTCATCACAAGATATGTTTTGGATCCACGGCAAACAGAAACTTCCGATTGATCGCACTCGTGGGCCCGATGCGAACCGTATGCATGAATCCAAGAAGCTTCCACGCCGGTAACCATGTATTTTCCATTTTCACCAACACGCCCGGCCCCGACCACGAGTGATTTTCATCTTAGATGACCCCACACTGGTTCCCACCGACTGCCAGATTCCAAAGTCGCGCTTCTCACATTCCGGGAATGCCATCCCAACTTTACCTTCCTATATTGGATTGCACATATAGTCTCATCAGCAGCATGTATGCTTCTCTCGTGCGCATCAATGTGTGAATTCTCCATCTCGCCACCCCCAACGACCTCCGAGTCCTGCCCACTCGGTGCCTGTATTGTACTAGTGCTGTCACAGATATCCTCTCCTTGCCTAGTACAGCTTCCGCGGGTTCTCGCCTCCAGTATGTGGGTACGAACGAGGGTGCGGAACCCGACCACGAAATAAATGTCGCTGCGGGCTTCCTCCATCCAGCGGCAGGTTTCCGTATCCGCTTTTGCCTTTCTGAACCAGGCGGCCGAGTTCGGGAGTTGATAGCAAAGCGAATCCTCGGCTTTCATCTTCGCCAGATTAGCCTCGCGGAACTCTGCGTTGACGGAGACACGGCCGGCAATGAGCACGCGGAGGCTTGAAGATTTCGACGAGAGTTGGGTTTCGACGACATTCGTGACTCGGTCGATGACGATGTCTGACGCTTGTGGTGGGACGGGCGCGTCGATAAAGTCTTCGCACGGGTCTGTCTGGTTACGTACCAGACGTGCGAGACGGACGGCGGCAAGCGGGAGGAGGCTCCGTTGAAGAAGAGCTGTGGAAGAACGATTCGCGGGACGTCGCCGGCTGAGGTTAATGCTGAGCCGTGGGACCGGGCGTTTTCTGGCAAGTTCTTGGGAAGGGAGGCTCGGCTCGACTGGGTTCGGGGATGGTACAATGTGCGGAAGAATAGCAGCAATTGATCTATTCTGGGGATTGTTTTGCTGGCTGTGAGTTTCCATTCCCGTCAGTACAGTTGGGCCTTATATGTTCGGATCAAACAGAAAAGTAGATGAGTGGATTAACTACCCGGTCCAGATGCCAATCATGATGTTTAACGATGCTTTCTGTTGCAGCAAGTCCGCCAGTATGAGATTCACATCCACTTCTCGCGCCGCCCACTTCACACGGTCCAACAGCCCCAGCCTTCCCGGTATGCATACAACGCCGGCCAACTCCTTCTCGAGTTCCGCAAACAGAGCCTGCATCCGCCGTAGTAGATGCTGAAACTGCTGCATCGCATCGTCCGGTATCACTGTCGACTGGAAAAATTTCACGTCGAGTTGAGAGAATATCGAAGCCAGCACTTTTGTCTCGCTGACCACGGTGCAGATCAGCCGCGGCGCCTCGCTGATGGCCTGCACTGACTCTGCAATTTTGCGTGCGGCTCCGATTAGCGCGATGATGGAGACGGTGATGGATAGCGGATCCATGTTAACGATTGTCGTTCAGAGGTGGGGTTGCGGTTTGAATGCGAGGGGGAGGCCGGCTAGATACGACTCGAAGCTAGAATAAACTTTTGCTGGCTTATAAAGATGCACTACGTAGAAAGCCTCACTTTTCTTTTTTTCGCCACCTGGCGAATCTTGGTTGTGTCCTCGCAAATGTTCTCGCTGGCAGCTGCGTCCCATTCTGGGTGACGCAGCTCGCCGCCAGCCACACAGCTCCCAGTTCGTGCCGCAGTGGAACTACCAGGTATCCGGCGCAGCGAATGAGGACTGAGCATTTCAGCTGGCCAACGAAACGACTGGTTCCAGAGACTTTTATCCATTATATCCAAATCTATTTGCAGTCAAAATCGCCAGGACTCCAGGAGGCTCCATCAATCAGGCGGATGCCCCAACTGTTTGTTTGTTGTTTCATCCAATGGAAGAAACTATGCCAAGTCGGAACTAGGTGAGCCTCCTGATCATCGCGATAGAAAGAGATATCGACAACGTAATCACAGCTTGCGCAGCAAGTAATAGAGTAATGATAAAAAAACAGAGGCGAATCATTGGTTCAGATTGTCACTGCACAACCTGAGTAATAAGGTGGTGTACAAGATACTTGACCTAAACACACTACCAGTCTACCTACCAGCCCACCGAGGCACTCGTACACCTCTATGTGCTGCACCAAAAGGTCTTCATCATTCAGATATCCCCCTTCCAAAGAAAAATGTAATGAATCCAAAAACACATGACCTAAGCACCGGTGTGGATAAACGGCGCCCATCCCAAAAAATCCTTCGGCTTCTTGTCTCGAACCGTCTTCACCGCCAGATGATAAGCCCTAGCTACCTTAAGATGCCCCTCAACGCCGGCCGATCCATTGAACAGATTCTTATAAAACTCCGTCGCAACCCGTCGGCAAAGCCGATCATCGGATTCCCAGAGCGTCGCTAGAACGTGGCTGAAGCCAGCGAGTTGAAAGGCATTGGCGATATGAATAGCTTCGTCGGCCAGGAGTACGGAACGATTTTCCGCCGTCGAACAAGCCGATAGATATGCGATCTGTGCCACATCCGTGTTCGCGCTCGACACCGCACGGACGGAAAGCGTGTCTGGCTCGCTGCTGGTCGGATCGGGACTCTGCAGGAGTAATCGACTGTCCGATGGGTTGGCCAGGTCCGAAATACCGTGACAGGCAAAGTGTAGGATGTGGTGTGTTCGCAGTTGCTCGAGAACCTGTGCGGCGGATGGCCGCTCAAGTTCCGTTACGGAAACTGAACCCGAGGATAATGCTCCGGCAATGTCTTTAGCTTCTTGTTTTGCCCCGGCAAGTGGGCTACTTCCCGCTGTGGTCGGCATAGTGACCATCAGGAGTCGAGGTTTTTCGGTAGCCACGGGCTGTCCTTCGCCGTGGTCCGGAAAAGAGGGGTGCCAGTCGGGCTCGGGAAATAAGTTGAGCTGCTTTTGGCGTGTGTATGAAAGGGCTTTGATGGACGGAACATATGATGATATTGCTCGACCGAGGGTGTTGTTGGTTGAGCCAGGGGAATGGTCTCCAGCGGCGTGGAAAGGGGCCATGCTTAGCTTTCCAACCCCGATCCACCAGATGCGTGTCGGGTTGGATTCATCGAGTTGTAAATGGTCGAGTACTGGCGCCACCACCGCTTCCCACAACCAAAGAAGATGCTTACCCATCGATTTGTTCCTCGAGTTGTAGTTTCGTGCTGTGCCTTTTAGACTCGCGCTCATACCAGCCATGTGCTGTTCGACATCCTTGTATAGGAGCCTAGGAAGTGGTAGTGACTGTATCGAAGAGGATGTGACAGTAATGGCGTCGCTCCCATGCGCGTTGCAATTGATCATAACAATAGTCCCATCCGCAGCAATTTTCATCAGGGATTCCGGCGGCGGTGGAAGCAAGAATTCTTCGTGTCCGGGCAACTGTCGTATACGATGCAATATCTTTTCGAATTCAGCAGTGGCGAGCTTCCGCCCGCGTTGCCGTCGCTCCTCAACGTGTGGGTAATCCATTTCAGTTCTCAGCTTTTCGACTATATCGGCGTACTCTGGGTGGGATGCTCTGAGATCTGACAGATCGCTCCTGCAATCGATGGAAAACCCGGATATGAGCACCCGACCAAACTCGAGCATTTTGAGTGCTTGATAGGCGCCTCTCCCGGCTCGAATTGCGACCGATGCTCCGATTGCTGCTAGTTCGTATACTTCGGCACAGGACAGCATATACTGCTGGTCATCCCGTCGTCCCGAACGTTGGCACAGTCGTGGCAGCTCCGCGACGGCCTTCTCTAGCAGTGAGTATGCTTCCTCCACCATACCAATCTGGAGGTAAATATTCGCCGCATTTCGAGCTCCAAGGATCCGGGGGTTTGGCATCAAATTCTCTGATTCCCACTGCTGCAAATATAACATCAACAGTTGTTGCCATTTCGATATGACCGCGCGGTAATTCCCAGTATGAGTATTTTCGTATTGCATTTGTGCATCGACTATCATTGCAAGCTCTTCCGCGAATACATACCTGTACTCGTCATCGCTCGAAGGCAACGTTTCCAGCGCTTTTCGAATCCACCTGTGCGCTTTTTCGAGTTCCTGAGGGTTGGATGTTTGTCGGAACTTTGCCAAGTGCAACTGGCTGATTCGCCATTGGAGGTGGGAAGCAGGGGTACCGGTTGCGCCCTCTATCGCCTTGTGGAGTACTTTTTCTGCCTTATCGAGGTCGGTTGGATCACCATCCAAGTGTATGTATCGGTCAACCAACATGACTCCCACAAACCGGGCAACCTCTCGCATCAGTTCGGGGTGGAGGAATCTCCGTCCTGTCAGTTCCGAATCCATCTTCAAATAACGAGCTGCTCTCAATATGTTCTCGCCGTATTTGATTCCACGGGCAAGGTCATCCTTGTTGTGTGTTTTATGGAACCTCCTGAACAGCAAGTCCACAAGCCGTAAGCCGGAGTCTCTCAGCTCGTAGGTTTCGTCCGGAGGGTACCGCTGCTTTGGCGATATCTAGTGCATCTTCATGGAGTTTTATGGCCCGATCGAGGTCGGAGGTAGAATTGATAGCACTGAGGTATATGACTGATAGCAGACTTTCGCGTTCCGCGGCCAATTCGACGGGATTGGTATCTTTGGTTAGAGTCATTGCCTCTTCGAGAAGCTCGATTGCGTCGTCTAGATCATCCACATCGTTTGCCGTCGCATGTCTCCGTCTGTAAACGCTTGCCAACAAGGTTAGGGAGAACCATTTGGCGGGGGCGCCTGGCACCGATGATGCAGATATCGTCTCTTCAACCACCTGGATGACAATATCGAGTTGGCTCAAGTCTCCCGTAGCCATGTGCACAACACTGCATATATTTGCCCAGCAAAGCAATGTTTGCACCCGTCCAATGTTTCCTGGAGGAATTGCCGCAACCGCTTGTTCACCGAACCGGATGGCTAGCTCTAGGTCCTCCGGCACTTCGCGCTCGACATAACGTCGCAAAAATTGCTGCCCCAGAACACAATACCAGTGCATTCGACGGGGATCCTCCTGGGGAGTCGCCGCCAGCATTTCACTCTCGTGGGTTGCCGCTTCATCGATGTCTTCCGGTTCCCTCGGGAATAAGATATGATACATCATGCCCGCGTTCGATCCTTTCGCGCCACTTGTGTCGGTCTCGCCGCGCACATATGGCATGTTTGGGCGTTTGGTGATCCAGTGCTGCATGCCGCCTACTTGCTGGTTATCCGCTCGTGGGTCGATGAGTACGCGACTGGCATCAACCTGATCGTCTAGAGAACGAATGATGCCATTGAATATCCAGCCGTCGATCCTGGAGATTACGGATGCCATGATACGCGAGACCGAGGATTGGATGGTAGTATCTCCGCTTCCGTTCGCAGTATCTTCTGTGAGATCTTGCACCGCAGTGATTATTCGGAGGATGTGATTGTAGTCATCACCGTTGCGAAGCCGTTCGAATCTCTCCGCTAACATCATACAGACTCTGCTCAACCTAAGCGGTCGAGCCGGATGCTTCGGGGGCGTCAAGGTCGAAATCTTTGCCAACTCGATGGCATCGTTCAGATCCTTCAATCCTTTCGTTCGTTGATATCGAGAGAAGATCTGCGCACTTTTCTCTGCCGCATGTTCGGTATCGTCTTGCGGAACACCCCGCGGAATAATATCTGGTTCGGCCGCGGCTTGAGATAGTTCGACTTTCAGATTCACCATTTTGCGTAAGTCGGTTCCCACGGTGTTGTCGTCCGACTGCTCCATGGTTTCAGCAACCGCGATAGCTGCCTCGAGATAGTCGATTTCATGGGTTTTTTCGTAGAGCAGGAACAATTCCTGGTATTCCGCGAGCTCGTCTTGAGAATTCATCTGATTCACCAGTTAGATCTAGGCTGCTTAACCTGATGAAGACTGTAGATATAGCTACCTACTTTCTTTGAAGGTGGAGTCTGCTAGGTATGAATGAGGCTAGATGTTTTTCCGATAGGAAGTGTCGAATTGCTCGTGCTTAAATGGTTTCAAAGCTCGCACGTCTGTAGGTGGTTTATTTGCCAGAAGGAGGTGGTCTTAAGCCGGGGATGGAGGTCGACGATGGAGACGGTGATAGTTGATAAAGCCGGGCCCACCGACTCAGGTAACGGTAAAGGAGCCGTCGAGCCTTCCGCAACCCGCCGCACAGACTTTTCATCGGCCACTCTTAACCCCTCCCAAACGATCATTATGTCCGCACCTGGGCACTGCCTTGCGGATGCGAATTGCTAAGACATGTTTTGCTTGCTGATAGGTGCAAACGTAAAAGCACAAGTTCGCCAAGATGCATCCCCACTGCTTGCGTATCGTACCCAATCTGATCCGGTTAAATGGGTTTAGCAGGTGAGACTTTCAGTTGGCTAGTTCCCAGTGGCCATCTCTACTACACATGACCGGTCATTAGTCTCACATATGCACGGTTGTGAGTGTCCATTGGATGCAACCTCACCAAACGTCTAGACGCGCCGGTTGATGTGCAAACGCACAAACAACCTCCAAGCCACAATAAGCATAGCCTCATTTCTGCAGGCGCGATGGGTGTCGAACATGATTCACCTACAGAAATACCTGCAACAGACCTTCCAGGAAGGCCTACAACTCGCTCAGTTCCATACGTAGGGCAAGTAATAAAATCCGTTTTTGCAAGGGGCTCTTTTGCCAACGCCCCTCTAGGTCGGAGGCGGGATCGAGAGAAGAGCACACAAACACAGAAGAAAGAGGCGGTACATAAAGTTTGATCGTCTATTCGATAGATAATGATCCTCCCTCCGACAGCTGGTTCTCTCGCTCCGCCACACCACCATAAGCATAGCCTCAATTCCGCTGGCGCGATGGGTGTCGAACATACTTCATTATTTTACGGCCAATTGCATATCATGGAGTTTGGAGGTTGAAGTTCTTGCACGAAGTCACGGCAGGCGGGATTTGATGAATAGTGACGAGTATTAAACCCTGCCTGACCGCCAGTCGTCCACAGCCAGCTCGCTAGGTAGCTGTCCGCATCCCTGACAATTGAATCACTGCAATCGGCTGCCTTTCTCTTCCGAATACCTATCAGAAAATCAACTTTCTTCTCCAAAGCTTCTCCAAAAATGCGATCAAGCCTTCTCCTGCCCCCTCACGGGTTATTCTCTCGCGACTCAGTCCAGCTGGGGCGGCTCGTGCGGAACGCCACAAACCCGCACCAAGACTACCACTATCCGTTCGGCGACTCCTCCTCCGACGCTGAACACCCCAGCGTCGTCGTCAAAACCCAGCAGAACTTCCAAGAGCTGATAACTTCATCGCGGTGCGCCAGTCTCCGGACGCGCCTGAAGCTTTCCGCGATCGGCGCCATCACCACGAACGCCACCGAGGCGCGCACATACCAGCTCGACAACTCCGGTGCGTGGTTCAAAAAGGCGTGTGGGGAGAAAGCGACGCGCGAGTGGATCCTGGATGCGATCAAGGACGGCGCCAAGATGTATCTGACGGTCGGCTACCATGTCGTCGTCGATGCGCTCGTTTACGAGAGGCGCGGGGAGTTCGCGGACAAGGACGGCCAGGCTAGAGGTGATGGTGGTGGTGATGGAAATAGCGAGGTGCAAGGTGGTCTGGACTCGGGTAACGTGCATGAGCGGAAGTTTGGCGCCCCCGGAGAACACATCTATGCTGTGCAGTACCGGAAGCTCCGGTTCAAGTGGTTTTCCAGCCATGATGTGGATCAAGTTGCACTCGAGCGGAATAATCGATGGAAGGTGTCGTTGGGAGTGCGAGGAGAGGACGACGGAGAAGAAGATGATGTGCTGGAGGCAGATTTGGCCGATGGGATGGATGTGAAGGGCGGTGAGAGGTATGTGTCTGAGGATGGAATGGATGAATTCGTGTTTGATTGGGATGAGGATGAGGATGACGATGACGATGAGGATAAAGATTAAAGATAGAAATGGAATGACTCTTCATAAGAAAGTTTCAAACTGTGGTTCTTCATGAAATTAACGGCATGTCACTTGTGGGATCAACCTGCGAACATGTACAAATACCGCCGTAGTGGTTCCCACTATTATACCCCTAGCACCAGCGAAATACCGGTTCTGCGCACAGATTCGCTGCGCACATGCGATACCGGCTATAAATTTCATGATTAAACAGTACAAAAAACCCCAGTGGGTCGACGAAGGTCACGTGCCACTACCGAGTGATACTTTGTGCTCCATTCCTCAAGCCAAAAACAAAAAGCATCACCACCCCCGGTGGGGTGGCTTGGAAACCCTAAGAACAGAGGTCTTCACCCTGGGTTAAACCCAGAGCTTTTCCTCAGCTCACCTCGCCGATTGCACGGCCTAGATTACTATACCACGCGGGTTTTTTCGTGCTCGGTACTTGAACTCGATGCCTACAAAGTGGTGGGTGCTCCCGTGACGGCATTGGGTCACGACCGCCCGCCACGCAACCATATCCGCGTCGACACTCGGTCTCGCCTCCTCCACAGCGGAAACGTAGGTATTTGAACCAACGTCTCCGGACGCCCAAAGTTTGGCAGCATACAGGTATCTTTACAGAAACTCGGAATCGTATGTTCAGGTATCGGTTCATGGCATTATATAAACATGCATAGATACTGAAGCACTAAGACCGGGGAGACCCTTTGGCAACTTTGATACTAGATAGAGAGAGAGTACAGATTGTAGTTCACCAGAGAGGAATCGACAAGCAGAGAGACTAGACCTCCTATGATATTCAAAAAATCCCAGAACCTCGCGAGTCGAGGTCAGGAGTCAGGACAAACAACGAAAAAGCACGATGAGTACGATGACCGCGACCAAGTTCCAATAAGCACGATGACAGATCAGATGACAAGACAAACAGACAGACAGAACAGCTAACGAGACATACACGAGTTTGGCGAACTTTAGCCGACCTAGCTATACCAGATTCGGTGGGTCTAGCTTTCAGCGCTCGCACGTCGACCGTGCCTGCTCACAAACCAAATCAAAACACTTCGCGCATGGTAACACTGTTCATCGCAGCTGATCTCATCTAGGTCTTGACATTTTGACAGTAGGTCCATCCCAAGTCCGCAGCCAGGGATAGAAACCTTCGACCAAGACGTCGGTTTCAGCTGGATCCCATGATACTACATTAGTATGAGGTAGGTAAGTAGAGACTAAAGGAAGTGTATTACCTATGGCTTCCACCTCCAAACAGCGTCGCGGCGAACAAATTTAAGGTCTTCCAGATGGACACCCTGCAAAGGAAGAGCTTGGATAGAGGCTTGATCCTCCGCTGCAAGCGCAAAGACTTGGTACCGAGCCCTGGAGCTCTCAAGATCCGGCTTTCGCTGGAGCGGAAGTACGAGAAGCACGCAGTGACGCGCCGAGTCGAGCTTCACTGTAGCTATGCGTTGCACTCGAAAGAAGCGTGGTAGAACCGCGGGGTCGGTAAAAGCTTTATGGCTGATGATGCTGCCAACTTTAATGATGATCTTCCGGACTTGCTTGCTCGCATTCGCCAGCATGAACGCCTTTCCCCAGTATTGATAGCGGAACTTCAATAGGCTTAGGCTAGCAGAAGACTGTTCCATATCACACCACGCCTTGCCGAGCATCCCGGCATCATTACGCCGAGTAACCCATGGAAGATGGTACCCCGAGGGGGTTGACGTCTAAATTGTATACGTAGCACCTCGCCATCTTCGACATCATCGGGAACGTCTGCTCTCTGGTTGTTGGGACTTCCGTGAATAGGCAGGTGCAAAGTCACCTCTTCGTCGCCCTCCAAAGCCATATGATCATACGCGCCGTAAGTCGACATTCTCGAGACCTGCGTCTTCGGAGGATCGGTCGATGTCGGGGGCTGCTTTGGGGCGGCTTGCAGTTCGGAATCATCCTGATCGTCGTCAGCAGGATCATCGTTGCTGCGGACTCTGGGACCGTCGAGGTTGGGATCTGCGATGCCGGGATCAATGCTGTCTAACTAGGGTTCGCCGTCGCTGTCCACGTCTTCAGGATTCTCTTCGAGTTTGGTTCCTCCGTTGTCGGTGAGTGATGTTGATCCAGGCGAGTGTGAATCCTCCACAGCATATCGCGCCTCGTCAGCTCCCCGGAATCCGAGGAATACTTCTACACTCGACCTAGCACGTCGCGGCGCCTGGTCAGATCCCCAGGTGTCGGGGAATCGTTCTTATAGACTCGGCGTAGCACGATCAGGTTCGCGGGTGTAGGGAGAATAGCGGGTTGACGAGGATGTACATGTCTCGCAGGTCCCGCTATCCCGAGGGGGTCGTTGAAAAAGAAACCGCGGCGACGCATCAGAGAGTGTGTTGTGGGTGTGGGGTGTAGAAGGAAGATTTGTTGTTGGACCGCTCGCAAAACCAACACACCTCTAGCCTGGCGGTGGGGTCGAATGGAGTTCACACAGTTCCTGTAACCGCACCTCTTCCTCTTGCTGCAACTCCTCCTCTTGCTGATAATTCCTCCTCCTCTCGCCCCAACTCCGACTGATATGGAGACCGCGCTATGTAGCCTGTAGAACACTGATCAATCACTCGACTCCGTAGGTAGTCGTCTGGTTCGCTGGCAGTAACGTTGACGAGTTGCGCGGGGAGGGTTGTGCAGGGAGGGTTGTGACGGGATGGGGGTTGCACAGGGAGGGGGTTGCGACGGGAGAGGGGTTGCGCCGGGGGGAGGGTTGAGCGGCGATGGTTGTGCGGCGATGGTTCGGCGGAGAGCAATAGGGAACCGGTATCGAGCTCTCCGGCGGCCAGCGGGCGGGGACGGCGGGGTGAAAAAGGTTACATGATCTGCCATGATTCAATGAGGTCGAATGCATCGATTCTTAAACCCAAAAGAAACGGGTACATATGCCCTTCATTGCGCGGCATGAGCGGCTCCCGATCTCAAACGCTTGCTCCTGTTTCGGCGCGGCCTTCCTCGGCTTTCTCGCCTGCGCGCAAGCTGCCGAGTTCGGCAGCCTCGGCCAGGGCGCGGGCACAGACGATCATTCTGTTTCATGCGCCTCCTAGAAGGCGACCTGTCGTATCTTAAGTAAGCGTCTTTCCGTGGCCGTGTACTTTCGTGCAACTCGTGTGGTGTGGGCCTAGGGGCGGCTACCCACTCTCCCCATACAATGTTTCTTTTTGCATCGCACACCGAGAAACGGGAAGCACAACAACGGATCCGGACGACGAGCGGCAGAGCAAAAGTACCCAAAGCTCCCCGGCCGATCGCAGAACCCCAGCGTAACCGTGGAGGCAATACCCCGTACATACATACGGAAGGATCAATTGAAAATTGCTTCGAAAGCAAGTGATTGTACTATGTGCTCGTACGGCAATCGCTAGTTATTGACAGGATACACCAGAAATAAAATAAAAACGCCAATTCCGTCCGACAAGCGACCCGAAAACCAGTTCCGCAGCCACTCTTAATCGGAGATGCCACTGCAGTCGCACGTTCCAGCCAGCGATACGTTACGGCGCATAGTTGTGAGGCCTAATCCAACATTCACACCTGTGATCCGTCGAGCGGATTGGTGAGAGGCCACGGGTGCGCTTGGACTAGCGCACGGTTTTGGCAGGGTTCGATGGACTCGATTTCGCCGAGATGGTTGCGGAATAATTGGGCTCCTGCCGATACAAGGTTAGAGCCAGTTCGCTTCCCCGGTTGGGGCGGGTTCATCGGGAACAGAACTCAGGTCTGCCCGAGCGTCTGCAGCGCGATGGAGAAAGAGTGGGGAGGGACACTTACGATGCCGTTGATTCTCATGTATTCTTGCACATCGACGAGGGGGTTAAGTTGTCCGAAGATATTCCTGCCAGGCTTCGGGACGTCAGTGGTGTTGCGAGAAAGAGAGAGAGAGACCCCTGGACTAGAGTCGGCAAAGATGGGGATTCAGGATTACGAACCTCGATGGGTGTGCTCGGTAATGATACGGCAGCTCCCCAAGCAGCATAATTGGGCTCCTGCAACGCGACGAATTTGTTAGCCCATCTCGTCTATCGATTGCGCACGGACAGAGGGATAACTGTGAACAGCCTGACATCAACGAACCTGGAAGTTTTGCTTAAGGTATGCTGAGACGTCGACAGCGGGGGCGGCAACGGTGGCTTTCGTCGCAACGGTGGCGACACTTGTCCTTGCGGAGGCGGCGGCACGCGCACGGACGGTGTTGCGGACAGTGTTGAGGGCGGTATTAATGGGAGACATGATGTTTGCGTGGTGTTTGCGTGGTGTTTGCGTGGTGTTTGCGTTTGAGTGTGATGGTGAACGTGGAGGATGGTGGTTGTTGCAGAGGTGGTTATAGCTGAGAGGGAAGGGCTGGTGAGGGGAACAAGTACCCGAGCATTGCCACGTCGGTACCGCCGATGTGGATTCTCTGGGCGGTCACACGAACTGCTTCAAATGGGCTGTGTGCCATCGTGGTTCCCGATTTGGAATTGCAACCGTCGATCGCTTACGGGCTGTGTACGTAATTCCTGCAGATTTCAAGTGGAGTCGCGTGACGTCAATCACGGGAACTTGGAATTCGCCATAGTATGTGCGATGCTCATTGCCGATGCCGGTATGTAGTAGCGCACTACAAGCCTCCAAACTGGAGACATTTCGTTAGTGAAGCTTCTCCTCGCGACGCAGACAAACAGAAACCCCCCAGCGATGTCGCGGTCCGCGCGGAGTACAGATCCGCTAGAGCAGGCCGGGAGTCGGGCTGTGCGATTGCGGGGTACGCGCTAGCTAATCTGGAAGCGAACCAGTGCGATTGCTGACCGCACATAGATCGCGCGTACGAGGTCGCCTGACTGCCAAAGATGCCGTGTCCCTCGTCCGTGAGTGTGTCTTCAAACCTCAACGAGCCGATAACTGAGGGGCTGGTATTCTCAGTCGCTGAACTGCGCCAGTCAAGAGTAGAAGCTGGCACTGTGGGCTTGGTTAGCGAAACATTTGATCCGTGTTTGGTATGTAGCATCGTCGGTCTGGATGGGATGGACTGACGCAGTCCAGTCCGGTCCGCGTTGTCTTGGTACGGTCGTGGTATGGTGGAGAACAAGACGGACGGCGGGTGACGGGTATCGGGATGGCGGGTGGGTCTCGGATCACGTGATGTTACATCATAGCAAGTTCTGCGCATCCCGACCCGCACCCGCAACCCGTGGCACCGCGGCGCTGCGTCCGCCCGTTACTCTTCCACGGACCGTCGATCAACCGTCATTTTCAGGCGTCTATCTTCAAAAAAGTTGGGCAATAGCGTCATGTGAAGTCATCGCGTCTGTTGAAAGCAAGTGAATGAAAAATCATGTGACAGGCTTCTACGAGTAATGCTGCGGGACCATACACCGTAGGACCTTGGGCAAGCGCGGACTGCCCGGAACATGGACGGAGAGCATACCGGCGCTTTCTACGTGGCCCTCGGGAATTTCTACGCCGGTGTCGGGCGTGGGAGGAAACCCAGCTGTGCCAAACCCCCGGATGTTGACTTTCTTGCGACGACCGCCGAATCGCGCTATTTGATGTACGACGGAAATATCATCTTCAAAAACTGCGAATCGAGCGCAAAGGAACGAGAGAGATCCAGTCACTTGAGATGAATCAAGGAAGGCTAAGTTGGCTCACGCATCACCTTCCCACTAAACAGTGATAGGCGCCGCTAACGCTTCCCGCCAGTCGATGGGATCACATCAAGATCTGGGGCAAGTACTACGTACCTATGTCGGCATCTCCAGTGCAAAATCGGTTCCCGGATTGGTCCAAAACTACTTGGTTGTTCCGGCATCGCATTCTTTCTACCATCAATCAAGCGGACGCAACTCTAGTTGAACCCAGACATCCGACATCCGAGTATCCACGCATCCGGCCGGGTCGGCCACGCGAGATGGCCTCTCGACTTTCAAGTGCTATCGGATGTGGATAGACATATGGAGGTCAGGCCCGGCTTTTAGTTGTTCACACTGCGGGTTTTTTGAACCGAAAGAATTTGACATGACGGTTACTGTCATGTAAAACGATCAATCATGACATGATGATTCCGCACTCGCGCGCATCCGCCACCGAGCCAGTATGTAGGTACTCAAACGACAGTAACACAAAACCTGAACTGCGTCGCCTGCTCTTCCGCGGGCAGAGACCACTTTTCGCCTTCGGGAGCTTCAAACACCAGTATCTCTGGCTCGGTGCATTCGACGTCGAACGCCAATCCCGAGCGAGTCCCCACCTCCCTCCACATTTCCGCAAAGCTCTCCGGTGTGTGGCGCCACACATCCCCCAGCGCATGGCGGTACTGTCCTGCCGCACGACTTCCCGCCAGCCTTCCCACCACGAAATTCCCCTTCTTCCGCTCCAAGAACCCAACCATCCTCAGCGCGGCCTCCACTTGCCTAGCCCAATCGAACAAATGTAAAAAGCTCGCAGCGTGGACGGCAGCACACTTCCCCTTCAGCTCCCGCACAATCCACGACGACTCCGGCCTCGTATCGAAAATATCCGCGGCGCCCTGCCGGATCCCCGTGCTCTCGGGCGAGTCCATAAACAGCTCGTGGCCCAGCTCGATGAACGCGGGATTGATGTCGGCGCCGAATAGCTGCTCGCCGGGAATGCCCGAGTGCGAGCGTAGGTACCGCAGCTCTGAACCCATGCCGCAGCCGACGTCGAGGAGGATTCCGCCGGCGCGCAGAAGTGATAGCAGCGAGTCGAGCCGAGGGTAGCTGGGTAGTCCGCCTGAGAACTCGATGAACTGGTATAGCGCGATGCCCGGGTATGGGAACGCGGCGAAGGCTTTCTCGCGCTGTGGGGGGTGTTAGTGCGGACTTGGAGGGGGCGGTGGGGCAAGACGAACGAGCCGCTGGATGTGCGCCGACAGGAGCTGCGCGACCACGCCGTGCTGGAGCATCACCTCCGTCGTCAACGGGGGGCATGTGTAGCCCGCCGGATAAGAGCTTAGCTGCGACGCATCGGGCTGGGGCGCGGCTGGCGGAGTGCCATCGCGCGGTTCGGTGCCGGTGGTGGTGGAGTCGGTGGACATTGCGAAGACGGAGTGTTGAACTGTAACCATGCAATAAGCGCTCCCGGTAGCTTACCGGTTTCCTTTATGTGTCCGCGTTCGAGAAACTAAACGCGGGGTATGCTTAAGCGTGCGGAGCTGCGGCCAATTAGTGTGCTTCAATGTATGGCAGAGGCTGCATGACAGTCTCCTCACTGGAAAGGAGAGGAAGAATTTTGACTTCCGGTCCAACGGGCCGAGTGAGAGATCGACAACAAGAATTACGATACGGTAGGTAGTCCAAACATCCCACCGCATCAGCATACGGTACAGGTACCGGTATCGTGCTCCCACGCTACCACCGCATGGAGTTTGGAAATGAGCACTTTGGTTATGTAGCACAAATCAAGTAACACGGGAAAACTCTCCGCAACCCGACACAGCGGAGTGACACCCTACTGATACATACCGGTGAGTTCGGGAAATTTTAAGCAGCCTACCAGGCTACCTACATACATTGTAGGTACCTTGAGCCGCACCTGAGTTCTGATGCGACAATCTCCGAAAAGAAATGATCAGAGGCCAGATACCTAGACGAGTGCTGACCAACTGCAGCCACAGATACCTAGACGAGTGCTGACCAACTGCAGCCACGGATCCCGAATACTAGGTAACGGCCCTAGGAATGTGAAATTACCGTAAAGTTTGCGGCCTGAAAGTGGAGTCATATAAAGTTGTAGAAACGGTTGCGGATATAAATTCCAGGACTCAACTCGAACTTGAAAGACGGTTAAAAAGCGACGGCGGATGACAATGGAGAATGTTCGCGATGGTGTACAGAAAATATATTGATCGCCGAGTGATGAACTCTGAGTTCGAAGGCTCGAGTCTTGGTACGGTGTCGCTAGCTAGGATCAGCAATTGAGCTCTTAAGCTTATGTAAAGACGAGTAAGCTTCACTCGATCAACCGAGACAAGGGTCTACAGATAACGACCAGTAATCCCTCCGTTTCATACTGTAGGTACTGGTGGTTGTGTGTCGGAGTGCCCAACCATTCTACATAATCGTTCAATAACCATAGCAAAGCAACCCGTACACCTCATATTGGATACTGTGGAAGGCGACAGAATTGCGGTCAAACCAGGGGTGCCGGTAGAGTAGGATGCAGGGTTGTGCCTGCCGAGTTTCAGGTCGCGAAGCCTCAGGTACGCATCAGTCAATTGTCCGTGTACCTGGTGAGACGTATAAAGGATGTGCTACATACTCACGGTCATATGTATTTGCAGGAAGTTATCATGCTACCGTTTCCCTAGCATAGCTAGAAAGACTAAGCGAGGTTCAGACCATCCGCTACGCGTTGCGACTTTGCGAGACGCCGAGACGCCGGTATGCCGTATCCCCCATCAGGCCATCGCTCTCAATGCAGGAGATTCTCTCGAGTTTCCTGCTCTTCTCCGCTTCCTGGTCCCCTTCCTAGTCCGCTGCCAGTGGCCTTTCATTTTCTCATCCGTGCTATCTAATTGTGTTTCGGATCCCCGACTCTTCGCTGTCCGACATATCATCCGCCGACAGCTGTCGTTGCTAGATATATACATAGACAGACCAGGATGGAGGCTTGACTGCAGCGATCGTCCGCTAAGTGCTTACTAACTAATGCTTATGCTTATGCTGATACGGGTGCTGGTGCTATCTTTGCCGCATAGGGTTCCCTCCTTGCTTGAGCCTTGAAGAGTTATTTGCGGGTCTGGGTTTTGTGGTTGCGCCCGCGGCATCGGTCCGAGGGATGGTTCGTCGTCTAATAGAACGGTTGCCGCAGTAGCCAGCTTCCGCCCGGTGTCCACGGCTTTCCCGACGGTGCGTATGAAGTGAGCACACAGCCCCCGACTCTCCGCCACGGCTCACACCCAAATGTATGTATAGGTACCGATTTCCTCCGCAACACTGTGTGCGTGGCTGTTGTTTCACCCATCGTAACATTCGGTGATGTAAACAGCTGAGCGCCACAGCCCACATCAGCCACATACGAGGTACGCAAATCGGTCGGCAATAACAACCAGCGGGCCACTCCAAATCCTCCCTACTGTACTATACGAAATAAACTGAAGATCTCTCTCTCTCTCTCTCTCCTCACTACGGTAGTATTTGTGGTGAGGACAGGTCTGATTTGGTGTCAGTGATTCACGTCAGGCCGACTACATCCCGCCGCGACTCCAGTGCCGTTATTTCCGACGTCTCATAGCTCGCTAGACGTGCATCGGTATGCCTGACCTACATATCTGGCCTATCTGGGACTACTTTAACCAGTGTTTCGGAGAGTGACAACTTGTGGATCAAGTATGGCAAGCGAATTACCACCCTTAATAACTAATCTATTCCCACTATGGACTGGTCCAGGACTGGGCCGCAACGAAGAATGCCATCCACGAATAGAATCGCTCCACATCGAACGCCAAGTATTTCGTGATCCACACTGCGGGGTTTGATTTTCAGGCGGCCTATGTACGAGTACCGGTATGTATGTAGGTATGGAGATATGTAAGACCGGGAAAAAAAGATCCGCAACGATGGGTATCACTGTCCGGTGGGCAGGGGAGCCTTATTCTACATATTCCACCTATGTACGGTACCACTGCTTGCAATGCCGCCACGCAGCTCCGGAAGCACCGCCACGCCAAAGTCAAAGCACTTAATCTGACGCTTCGGGCCTTCATCCTAGGCAATAAGGCGTTGCTCAACCCGTGGCCTGAAAGGTATTTAGATATAGTAGATTATTAGGCAGCCGTAGTGAGGCGAGACGAGAAGCGGGATTCCGCCGATCCTGCCAATGCAGGGGTGGGTAGGCGCTTAAATTAGCCATGCGCAGTGTTCCGCACGGGTGATTATAAGACAGCAGTTCGCGACCCGATTGTTCTTCGGACCTTCAATTCCACGGTTCCACCATGTATCGACCAGTGCAGCAGTCATCAACGCCGCCGCCGGCGACGGCGCCGTACGGCGAGTACTTCCACAATAGCGGTCACGCGACCACGACGACGACACAGCTCCATCCTGCGGATGCGGCGCAGAATCCATTGCTGAATGAGGGGTTCGAATACAAATCCGCGCGAGTGGCGAGTCCGGTGTCGATATCGACTACGGACGATGGCGGGCGGAAGAAGAAGAAGAAGAAAGCTTCGAGGGTCGGCTGGAGGCCGTTCACGATCAAGCCGCCGTTCATACTGTTTTTCGCGCTCGTCACCGTCGGCCTGCTGTGCGCGCTCGAGTACATTTTGCAGCGGTCGAAGAGAGACGGCGCACTGCTCTTCTCAGAGTCGTCGTATCTCCTCGATTATGGACCTATGGTCGTGGCGGTCCTGTTTGGTCTGCTCTGGGCGAGTATCGATCACGATGTTAAAAGGTATTTATCACGCCGTATCTTTCTCCCGGACGTCCCGGCTTTCTCCGTCTGTCGCATGAGCTGCGATTCTGGGCGTGGCTTCATTTCGCACACACAATCCAATTTAAAACTTCCACTCAGTGATCTATCGATCGTGGGTTGGGTTTGGCGACTCGCTCATAGGCATGGTACGCGGGGGGTGGCCACCATTGCCCCGCTAGAGTAGTCGCTGGGGCGCCTAAAGCTATTTGTTTATTGTCTTTGCAATATGCGATTGCGGAAGACGGAGACGAGATTGCAAGAGACGTCGGACTCAAGGGATCGCTTCATCGTTCAGTGCTGATGTGGCTGCCAGGCTCGAACCATACTTCCAGTTATCGAAGCCCGGGGGTGTCACGGCAGAGCACTCACTATTGCTCGAGTACCCGTACTGCTTCGCCGCATTCGCTCCGTTCATCGCTCTACGCAAGCGGTATGTACTCTCCCTCTCTCTCGGTGGCGGAATCCTCGACTGACAGAAGTAGGCACTGGGTAGTGCTATCTTCGTCGTTCATACTCATCACGATCCTCTACGGGGTGACGCCCGTGATGAGCACAATCCTCTCTCGTCGCCCAGTCAACCGGACCGGATCCTTCGCGATCGAGCGGGCGGGCATCTATACACCCGAATCGCAGCCGGACACGCTCTCGACGGCGTTCTCGTACATCGCGTTTTCGAACCAGTATCTCAACGGGACGCTGCCGCCGTTCTCGAACGAGGGCATTGCGATTCTGCCGTTCAAGGCGATGAACGGGAGCGGGGCGGCGTCGGCTCACACGCCCAGAGTCGGAGAGACCTGGCGCGGCAGCTCGATCCTCTACGAGGCGCGGCTAGACTGCACCCAGGGTGTAATCCGAACGCTGCCGGATAACGAGACCGAGTTCGACTTTCCCGGACGGAACTGTCGGTTCATACCCGCAACCTGGCACATAGATGCTGGATCCAATCCTTACTTCAGCATGCTGTATAGCAGGGCCAGCTTCGAGTGGAAGCTGGAGAGGTACTCCAAGTACGATACTGGTAGCTGTACCGGTCCAAACAACGAGGATATGTTGATTGGCTTCTTTGGACGCAACGTTATCCCGGTCGACACCTTCGGCAGTTATAAAAAGATGAAATGGCTCGAGACCAGCGCCGTCTACTGCAAGCCCGTACACGAACAACAGCAGGTCGACATCGTCGTGGATGCCAACGATCTGAGCTTGCGGAACTACACCAGGAAGGGCGAGAAGACTCCGTTTACCGGCATCAACGGCACCCACTGGGCTGCCATGCTGACGGGCCAGGTATCTTCCGCCTCGACCGCGGATTTCAACGTCACGCTTTTAACGCCGGTACTGGGACCGGGATGGGGCCTTGCCGATCACATCTCGCAGTTCATCCGGCGGCCGCAGTTCCTGACTCTCATGGAGCTATATCCCGCGAACACGTGGTTGACGAGCGTGGGCCAGGACTTCTCGGGCAACCGAGCCCAGCCCATCAACGTATTCTTCGACCTCCGGCAAACCCTGACGCCGTTCGGTCTCGCGAAGCAGCAGGACCTCGAGGCGTTGTTCGACGGGTCCGGAAAGGCGCTGGGGGATATGTACAGCGATGCCTACCGCTACATTTTCGCCATGGCCATGGCCTCGGGCTTCACCAGGTATCCCAGCGAAGCGGCGGCCGATGGTGGTAGTAGTACTCTCGTGCTCGCCGACGGGCTCGAGACCGCGGCGCAAAGAGAGTTCCGCGAGGATGGCTACGTGGTCAACGAGCGCTGGACGAGGATCCTCCAGGGTGCGCTCGCGACCGTGCTCGCACTCAGCATCACGCTTGCCGGCCTCGTCTGGAACCGGAAGTGCGAACTCGTCAGGGAGCCGGGCACCATCGCCGACGCGATGACACTGCTCGACACGGGGGATGCCAACAGTGTGCTCCAGGACTTCCACAACTCTGAGTTCATGAGTCCTTCCCAGCTGGAGAAGATGCTGCATTCGCGAGGGCACCGCTACTCGCTAAGGGGGCACAAGCTGTTCGCTCACCGGGGGGTGAACGACGGGGGCATCAACGCCAGCGCCCATCCGACCATCAACCGAGACCAGGTCACACTCTCCAAGTCGTGGGAGCTGAACGGATTCCTCGGCTCCGCGGCGGTAGTGATTCTCGTGGGCTGGGTCGCCCTCCTCGTCACGCTGTTTCTTCGCGCCAAGGACCAGAGCGGCTTCGCCGTTCCATCCAACACCTTCGTGTACGACCTGTACGCGTCGTATGCGCCGACCATCGCGGCGACCTCGTTCGAATCGTTCCTGGTGCTGCTGACCTACCAGATCACTCTGCTGTTCCCGTTCAAACACCTGACGCAGGGCAACGCCAGTGCCAAGAGCACCATCGCCGTCAACTACGACCGGCGCCCGCCGCATTTGCAGGTGTTCAACGGCGTGCGCACAAGGAATCCGCTGCTTGTCGTCTTGAGCGTCAGTATCCTGCTCGCTAATGTACTGGCTGTCGCCGTCGGTGGACTGTTCTACAAGAGCGCGATGGAGTTTCCGGTTCCGATCACGCTCGCCCTGTCGGGATCGCTGGAGCGCCTCGAGGCGTACAATGCGTCCTCGCTGATCAGGGGCGAGTACGATGTTCCGTACGACGCATTCTATGTGGGCGCGGGAGATGCGATGGGCTTTGAGCGGCGGCCGTGGACTACCGACGAGTTGTTTTATATTCCATTCACGGCTAGTACTACTGGCCAGGGCGACCAGAGCGACAATTACACCACCGAGACGTATGGGCTGGGTGCAACTCTCAAGTGCGAGGAGATCCCGCAGGACATGGTCAGCACCTGGTACGCCCTCGACCTCGCCAAAAACGACACGGACTTCGCCGGCAAGCACCGGAACTTCGAGTTCACGACGTTCGCCAACACTGCCGACGATGTGCCGCTGCTCTTGAAGTCGCAACGTGACAACAACCGATTTTGGCGGGGCGACGACCCTCGCGAAGACCTTACCGGAATATTCTTCAGCGACAATCAGACTACAAAGGACGTATTTTACGAGTACGTGCCCACCACATACCCAGACGAGCTTGCGGACAAGAAGGACTGGGGGTTCTTCGGCTCGTGGCACCGATACGGGTACGACCCGGACCGCCGCGTCACCATCAACCGCTCCTTCTTCAAAGAGAACTACACCGGCAGCGACAGCGTCTACGACAGCGACATCCAGTACCTTGGCAAGACGATCTCGGGCCCGTCGATGTTCATCCGGTCGCGGGTCGGCCTGCGGTGCCAAGCATCACCGCGTCTCGTGCGCTCCAAACTCGTCTCGAACCTCGCAGGGCACATCATCAGCCACACGGACGTCGAGCTGCCGCTGTCGGCGGCGATGATCGCCGCCGCGAACCAGACCGGCACGGGAATCGTGGGGCTCGTCAACACGTTCTCGCGCAAGGTGATCCTGCGGGTCGCGAAGAAGCAGGGCGGGCTCATCGACCCAGTGGCGCAGTCGCCCGACCCCGGCCCCACAAACTGGATCACGTTCCTGATGCACGGCGAGGCGCGCAAGCGCAACCCGGCGTTCGACCTGTACTCGTACCCCGCCGAGTCCGCGCGCGCGCTCGAGGCTGTCTTCATGCGCACTTTCGCTATCTACCTGCAGCTGAACGCCGACGAGATCTTTCCCAACACCACCACGACCCCCGCTGCAGCTGCAACCCAGCAGCAGCAGGGAACCCGCTTCAGAAGCGTGAACCGCGTCCAGATGTACCCCTCGGCGTTCTACGTCTCGATCGTGCTGCTGCTGCTGTTCATCCCCGGCGTCATCTGGACGTACGCCAGTCTGTACCAGGGATTCCTTGCGCACCAGCCGACGACGCTCGCGGGCGTGTATGCTGCGATTTACGCGAGCGATGTGGATGCGACGAAGGCGATGGTGAGGGGTGTGGATGGTGGTACTGGGGGTGCGAGGTATGGGTATGGGTGGTTCGTGGGCGGCGATGGGGCTAGACATGTGGGTATCGCCACGGAACCGTTGGTTGGCGGCGCGGCGGCGGGGGGCGGGGGCGGGTTGTAGTCACGCACATTGTGGTTAAGCGGCGCATGTTTGGGGTTTTGTTTGTACAGTTAGGATACAATTTCAGTTCTTGTGCACGGGGACGCAGGTGAGCCGGTGAACGCGCCGCACGAGCGCAAGGGAAGGTTGAAGCGCAGCCCGATTGGCGTCACAGCCTCACGGGCGCCTCAGCAGTCAGAAGTGGTTGTGTGAGGTTCGAGGGGTGTGGCGTCGTTGGAAACGTGGGCGGTGTATCGTCGTATGCAGGTGCTTGCATTTTATGTGCACGTTTCGTTTCGCATCCAGCGCCACTGTTCGAATGGCCCGGAAGGGGGATATTTGAACGTTGAAGCAAACCCGACGAAGAAGAGGAGTCCCCGACTCCTCGTTCTGCTCGTCTCCTCTCGTCTCCTCTCGTCTCCTCTCCTCTCCTCTCCTCTCCTCTCGTCTCTTCTCGTCTCGTCTCCTCTCGTCTCCTCTCGTCTCCTCTCCTCTCGTCTCCTCTCGTCTCGTCTCGTCTCCTCTCCTCTCGTCTCCTCTCGTCTCGTCTCCTCTCGTCTCCTCTCCTCTCCTCTCCTCTCGTCTCTTCTCGTCTCGTCTCCTCTCGTCTCCTCTCGTCTCCTCTCCTCTCGTCTCGTCTCCTCTCGTCTCCTCTCGTCTCCTCTCCTCTCGTCTCCTCTCCTCTCGTCTCCTCTCGTCTCTTCTCGTCTCGTCTCCTCTCGTCTCCTCTCGTCTCGTCTCCTCTCGTCTCCTCTCGTCTCCTCTCGTCTCCTCTCGTCTCGTCTCCTCTCGTCTCCTCTCGTCTCCTCTCGTCTCGTCTCCTCTCGTCTCCTCTCGTCTCCTCTCGTCTCGTCTCCTCTCCTCTCCTCTCCTCAGCTCTGCCATACCTTCACGCACTCCGGCCCGCGAGCGATCGGACATTATCGGAGGAGGCCGGCCCCTCCTTGGCTATTCGTGTCTGGCTTGTTCGCTTGTCGTCCACTCTGCCGTGTAACCGTCTGTGACGCTTCCAATTCTAAGTTCTGACTCCCGAGGCAGTGGGGCTTGCCTCCTGAGTTCTCTGGCGGTTGAAGGCTATTTATAGGAAGCACTTTTCGAAGTTTGTTAAGTAATTGCATGCACGGTTTCTCCGTAGTACATACTCATGCGCACGATAAGCCTCAAGGTGGACAGGACAGTGGACTCGGAATAAAGTGACGGAGGCAGTCTACATATCGGGCCAGGAATCAGGAGTCTCGACTCGACTCTCCGCCGTGCTGCGATGCTATTGCCGTGGCTACTCCTCGAGATACAATTCCAAACACAATGACAAAAATCTCGGACCATGCTGCACTCGGACCCGTCAACTTCGCAGGGGCCACTGTGATCGGCAGCGCGCCTGCGCCTTCGGGAATGGCTTCTCCTCGCTATGTTTAGCGACTGCGCGTGCGACGCTGCAACCGACTCCGATGGCGCTCGTTCCAGGATCCGCATGTAGGGGCACCACAAGGCGTCTCGACTCTCTCTTCCCCCACCGCCGCTCCCGACATCGCCGCATCCTCTCTGCTATGTATCGCCCACCATAGTTATCTCTCATTTGCCCCCCGCCCCCATTCCGTGCTACATACATTGCTAGCAGTAAATTCGCTTACCCCGATCAAATGGGAGCGTGCCACCTGCAACAACACGCGCAGCTTGACTCCATTTTGAGCGGTGCATCTCCCTGCCTCAGCCCCCGAGTCCTCAGCCGCAAGTAGGCGTTGGACTAAGTACTCCACGGGCGACGACACGACTCCACCCGCCAGTGCGCAGTGCATTGCCACTGGTTTGGTTTGGCGAGTGTTCTCTATGGCGTATGTAGTACGGTAGTGTGCACTGCGACCTGGGAGCTGGGACCTGCGAGCGCGAACTGCGAGCGCGAACTGCGAACTGCGAGCTGGCCAGCCCCATTGCGCGCTGTGGGATAAAACCCCGGTGCAACCCCGCAGCGGCACGACCTGAAGCCCTGGCCCTTTGTTCCTGACGATCGATCCTGCCGCGAAAAATCCACCGCCCACCATCACCACCATCATCGTCGTCGTCGAAATCCGACACTCACTTGAGTATTCCTCCCAGGGCGGAATCCAACAGGATGCACAGACCAAAATACGTCGGCGTCGACCAAACCCCTCAGGATGACGGCGAGGTGCACGTCCCGATGCCCGATGTCCACGACATGAACGACCACTTCTACGATCCGCCCATGAGCCCACACCAGACGCACTACCACGCCCCATCCGTCGGCGATGACCAGCAGCAGCATCCCCAGCACGCAGGCTTCGAGCGCACCAACCCCTACCGCGCGCACACCTACGATCCGCCCATGAGCCCGCAGGTCCCGCGCAACCCGTATCACCCGCCCACAGTAGAAGATGAGCCAGACCGCCACGCAGGCTTCGACCGCGCGGACTCATACCGCACACAGTCCTCATACGCCGGTCCCACGAGCCCGCAGGTTCCGCCCTACAACCGCGCCTACCGCGCCCCCACCGCCACAGAGGACGAGAAGTCGCATCCCGGCTTCTCACGCACCAGCTCCTCGCGCACAGCGGCGGCGGGCGACGATGCCGTCCCAATGCACGAGTACCCCCGCCAGGACTACGTGATGCCGCAGTGGCCCGAGGACGATATTTACCGGCTGGGCACGCCGGCGTCCGCCGTTGGTCCTGTAAGTGCCTTGCGGCCCCCCTCGCGCGAACGGGACGCTGAGTAAAAGACTAGGAGCCGCAGCAGGGCTGGCGGCCGCCGCCGCCGCCCCCACCGCCGAAGCCGTATGAGCCCGATGAGGAGGACATGGCCGACTACGGCTACACGCGCCCGCACGGGCGCCAGCAGAGCTACGGGTCCTACGAGGACCGACGGCCGATCCTGCAGTCGCAGTCGTCGCGGTCGACTGTGGGCAGCGACGGGGGGCCGCTGTCGCCGACTCCATCAAAGCCCGTGCAGTGGGGCGACATCGAGGACGTGCGGCTGAACAAGGGGAACTTGGTGCTGAACTGTCCGCTGCCGTCGGCGCTGCTCGCCGCCGTGCCAAAGAAGGTGCACGAGTTCGGGTGCATGCGCTACTCGGCGGTCACGTGCGATCCGCTGCAGTTCACGGCGAATAGGTTCGCCCTCAGGCAGCAGCTTTTTCAGCAGCAGAGAAGAACGGAGCTGTTTATTGTCGTGACTATGTATGCCGAGGATGAGATATTGTTCGCCAAGACGATGATTGGCGTCTTTCAGAATATCGAGTATATTTGCACCAAGGCCAAGGAGAAGATCTGGGGCGAGGAGGGGTGGAAGAAGATTGTTGTGTGTGTGGTTAGTGATGGAAGGCAGAAGATTGATCCCAAGACGAGGAGTTTGCTCGCGGCGATGGGATGCTACCAGGAGGGGATCGCGAAGTTGAGGGTCAACGATCTACCCGTTGAGGCGCATCTGTACGAGGTGAGAGCACGCATCCCCCCCCAGAGTTGCGCACCGCTTACACCCCACCCCTCCCTAGCACACGACGCAAGTCGGCCTCCAATTCGACGGTGACAAGGTAAAAGCGGTGCCCAACGGCACCGCCGTTCCCGTGCAAATGCTGTTCTGCCTTAAAGAGAGCAACGCGCAAAAGATCAACTCTCACCGGTGGTTCTTTGAAGCATTCGGGCCGGCACTGGAGCCCAACATCTGCGTGCTGATCGATGCGGGGACCAAGCCGGGGAAGGACAGCATCTACAAGCTGTGGGAGGCGTTTCAACTGAACCAGCAGTGTGCTGGAGCGTGTGGGGAGATCAAGGCTGAGCTGAAGGGGTGGGATGTCTGGAAGAACCCGCTCGTTGCGACGCAGAACTTTGAGTATAAGGTTGGTTGCATTCGCAGGCCCAGGGGGAGGTGGAGGCTGACTGTGCGTGCGCCAGATGTCCAACATACTCGACAAGCCGCTCGAGAGCGCGTTCGGCTTCATTAGCGTATTGCCGGGGGCGTTCAGCGCGTACCGGTACAGCGCGCTGCAGAACGACGTCAACGGCTCGGGGCCGCTGCAGATGTACTTCAAGGGCGAGGCGATGCACAAGGGCACGCTCAACGCGAGTATATGGCAGAAGAACATGTATCTCGCCGAGGACCGGATTCTGTGCTTCGAGCTGGTCACGAAGAAGGGCGCCGACTGGACGCTGCAGTATGTCAAGTCCGCGAAGGCCGAGACGGATGTGCCAGCCACCGTCGTAGAGCTCGTGAAGCAGCGGAGAAGGTGGCTGAATGGGTCGTTCTTTGCCGCGATCTTTGCCCTCGCCCATACCAAGGATATCTGGAGGAGCAATCACTCTTTTCTCCGGAAAATGGTGTTTCTGCTCGAGTTCTTCTACCAGACCATTTCGCTGCTGTTTTCGTGGTTCGCGCTGGTGAGTTGCACCTTCTCGCCGATGCGCGCTGAGCTGACCCCGACCCGGAGTGAAGGCGAATTTCTTCCTCGTCTTCCGCATCCTAGCCGCCAGTCTGGCAGAGCCGGAGATGAACTTCCGCCCTGGCGCGATCCTGAGCGTCATCTTCGAGTGGGTGTACTTCGGCACGCTGTTCACGTGCTTCATTCTCGCGCTCGGGAACAAGCCTGAGGGGTCGAAGAAGGTGTATTTCGGGATGATGTGCATTTGGTCTGTGATTATGAGGTAGGTATCTACTCTCCGGATGTGCAGCGGAGAGAAGGGGGGTGCTGATGGGGATGATGATAAACAGCTACCTGATGTTCGCCGCGGTCTTCATCACCGTGCGCTCGATCAACGCGGAGCTCGCCGACGGCGACGGCATCAGCGCGGGGGAGATCTTCGCGAACCAGATATTCCGGGACCTGATCGTATCACTCGCGTCCACGTACGTTCTCTACCTAGTCGCATCATTCATGTACTTCGAGCCCTTCCACATGTTCACATCGTTCATCCAATACCTCCTCCTCTCACCGAGCTACATCAACGTCCTGAACATCTACGCGTTCTGCAACGTGCACGACATCTCGTGGGGGACGAAAGGCCTCGACGGTACTCAGCACGTCGACAAGAAAGACGAGTTCAAGGGCGGCAAGGCGGGCGACGGCTCCTCCGTCAAGCAGAACGCGCGCGACAGAGATACTAACTATGCCGAGGAGCTGCAGAACCTGGCGGGCTTGTCGCCGAAGAAGAAGCCCGAGCCTACGCCGATGGAACAGGCTGCTGAGCGCACGCTGCAGGAGTCGTATGATCACGCCCAGATCAGGTGCTGGGTCGTCCTCGCGTGGTGTAGTACTAATTTTGCGCTGGCGGCGACGATTATGAACTCGGGCGGACTGAGTAGGCTCGTCAGTAGTAATAGGGAGGAGGTGCAGAATACTAGGAGCACGATTTATATGGCTGTTGTGCTGTGGAGCGTGGCCGTGCTGAGCTTGGTGAGGTTTTTGGGCGCGACGTGGTTTTTGGTGTTGAGATTGGTGGGTCCATTCTATTCCGTGATGCGCGGGTTTGGGGATGCAGTTGCTAACGGAGGCGTAGTTCCGCGGTGTATAGGATTGCGGGCATAGCTGGAGGGAGGAGGAAGGAGGAGGAAGGGGGCGATATTATACATAATTTATTGTACCCATAGTATCGGTGGTGATAGCTACCTAGACGATAATGATATCCATCGTTGCGATCGCGGAAGTCCCAGCGGCATACAGTATACTAGAACTTTGAAAGGCTGAGCAGAATCGGCATCGCAATTTGCCAACTGATCACTGGTGTGCTATCCAACCCTGACCCCGATCAGTGTTGCATGACGGCGGATGGTGATGCTGGGTTTGGGCATGGCCCCATGTCCCAAGCTAAGGCTTTGAATGGACACGCATGGCTCTGATAAACGAGAACAAAACCCCACGATACGGTAAATATCAACCGACGTACCAGTACGCCGGTACCCTTTCATCCAGTATCCGCTTTGGGAGGAAAAAGGAAAGAGAACGAAACAGCATCTCCCGTAGATTTCTCACGATGCTGTCAAATGTGACTACCCGATAACCCTCTACCGGTAATCATGGTTCTTCACTTCGTCACGAATTCACTTCATCTAGCGATTTGGTTTTCGGACAATTGGAAAGAGCGAATTCGTAGCTCGTAGAGTCAATTTACTCTAGTTATTACAAGACGTATTAAACATTAAACGTGATCGAAGACTTGTACCTCCCTCCACCCATTCATCCCTCCGTCACCCCAACCTCCCTCTACCAATCTCCCTCTGCTGCTCCCTTATCCTCAAGTCATCATCCTTCGCCCTCGCCTGCTCCCCCTGCAACCTCCTCAACTCCTGCAGCGCCCGAACCCTCTCCTGGACGTTCCTCTGCTCCTCGGCAACCCTCCTCTCCTCCTCCGCCAGCCATCCTATATCCTGTCCCACCATCTGCGCATACGGCCCACCAGACACATCCCTAATCCTCTCACCATCCCCATGCTCCACCCTCTTCCCCGCCGGCACTCCCACCCCACCAACCCCGCCCCGACCCCGACCAACCACAGGAGGACCACCCAGCTCCGGCACGAGCACGAGCCGTCCCATCTCGACCTCGTGCCCCCCTGCCTCCTGCGCGCGCAAACGCATCCGCTTCCGCTTCTGCCGGCAGTGGAAGATCAGGTAGCCATACAGCGCGTACGCGACCACGGCGGTCACCGCGATACCCGCGATTTCGCCGGCCGGCAAAGGGGTGGTGGCGGCTCGGCGCGTAATCGCACTGTCGCCGCCCTGGGCCAGCGCCACATCGGCCAGAAGCAGAAGCAGGCTGTGGTAGATCACGCTGCGATGAGTTGTGTCCATCACCATGCTCGCCGTTCTCGTCGGAGGGATGCGTCGGAGGGATTCGTCGGAGGGATTCGTCGGAGGGATTCGTCGGAGGGATGCGTCGGTGGGATGCGTCGGTGGGATGCGTACTATAGTCTATAATAGTAGGTGTCGCGCTCGAGAATGATGCCGTTTGCGAGACGAGATGAGAGGTGTAGCCGTGCGATCGGGGGCTGGTGGGCTTTATGTCCGTCCGTCCAAGTGTCGTTGGCAAAAACAAATCATGCAAGACAACTGATGCATTGCATACCCACCATGTTATGTATCCAACAGTTGGTATAGATACCAGTGAGTTAGTTAACTCACTCGGGAGATAGTTTCGCACCTCTCCGAGCGGGGTGGGGTATACGCGACTGCCCGAGAAGGCAACCCCAGCGCCGGTTTGGGACTCGGCGCCGGGCGGGCGAGACATGGCAATTGTGAGACACAACTGTTTTACCGTAGGCGAGATAGTTACTTGGCCAGCTGCGAATCGAGAGCTACGCGGTGAAGGTTTTTCGGTTATGTAAAATCCAACAAGTATGATGCAAAGTAGTATGGAATATGCACATCAAAGAGGTGGTCGGTCGTGGTGTACCTATCGGTACTAGAGTGGAGAACTAGAGTTGACGATCCGACAAATAAGAGGACGTGACAGTGGACAGACTGCAGGCCGGTTCACCAGCCACGCCCACCAATCAAGAACCCTCATCGTCACAACATAGAGTGGCAAAGAACGGTGCACATCAAGAAACTCCATCGGGACGAGGACTGGCCCGGCGCAGATGGGGATCTGGCTGGGTGTCTGTACTCTACTTTAGGACCACAGGATGTGTGGAATTGCCATGTCGCCCGCCGGTGGTGGAGCCTGGAGGCTGGTGGTGGGCCTGGCGGCGGGATGCTCGGCCGTTGCCGAACAGGGGCCGTTGTCCAGCCAATCATAGACGTCAGATTCTCGTTCGCTTCGTAGAGTAGAGTACCTTTCGTCTGGTTGGCCCACCATGCCAAAAAACAAAAACGGCTGGTGATCTCGATACACCGTACCTTCGGTAGGAACTCTAGGCACAGATGTTGTCGTTCTGGAGGTTCGAGATTGAAGCCACGCCTCTCACGTCGTTGTCGTTCTGGAGGTTCGAGATTGAAGCCACGCCTCTCACGTCGTTGTCGTTCTGGAGGTTCGAGATTGAAGCCACGCCTCTCACGTCGTTGTCGGTGGTTTCGATGTCGTTGAGATTACCGGTATCTGGGTTCAACGTCGGCAGAGTAGAGGGACTCACTCTTCACACCTTCAACTCGAAAGCTCGGATTCATTCGGAGGCAAGCGATGACCGTTCCCGAAACCGTTCGTGGGACGCAAAGGCAGAAGAAACGGTTTTGAAGTAAGGAGGTAGATGGGGTACGAGTTGGATACAAAATGCGTACTGCGTCTGGTTCATCAAGCCGGACTCTCAATCGGTTCAAATGAATATTGAGGAAAAACTCAGTAAGTTCTGCAACTTCAATGACTGGGGCATAATGACTCGAGGGATCATGTGTTCCTTCCGTTCCAGATAGGTAAGTAGCTAGCAGCCACCCACGATAAACCTGACGTTTACTGCCATCGAATCTTGACCTGCGACAGATCGTGGATGTCCAAGATGCTGCAGTGTTCACATTCATCCTGCATCGCCTCAAGCATCTCCAACTTCATACAACCCGACCGGAGCTCCAAACGACCTCTCGCCGTCTTATATTCCCAGCTCACGGCCATCTCCCCCACCTCCCCCACTAACCGGCCGCCGACTGCACCCGTACCCGCACTCCGACTCGCCACGAACAACCGTGCCAACCAACCACCCATCCACCAACCAACCAACACAGACCAAATGCCATACTGTATCTGCACGACCAGCCAGCGCTGCCGCGTGCGTCGGCGTCACGGACCGAACTACAGCGACTTCCGGCAGATGACGCCGTGCAAGCACTGGGTGCACGAGAAGTGCCGTCGCAAGTGGGCGCGCACCATCGGTCCCGCGCCGCTCGCCTGGCAGGTCAATACTCTGCCGTGTGGATGTTGGCCGTCTGGCGGGTTTCCCAGGGAGCTGTTTATGTTGTGTGCTAGTCGGGGGTGGGACTCTGAGGATGACTAAGAGGCGTGATACAGCCTTGATCTGGGTACATAGTAAGGTCAAATCCTTTGATGATTGAACAGAATCGAAAGGTCGAGGCGAGAAGAGAAGTGACCTTACCATGACATCCTCAGTGAGAACAGAAGCAGTTGGCTGAGTATTTCTGGCGTAGCACTGTATTTATTCTGGTTTACATCTCCTCAAAGCATCGAAGCCAATGCCCCAGTAACGACCAGCGAGCGACGGAAGAATAACTTCGTCGTCGTTCCTGTTCATCGTGGGGTGGAACCTACCACTTTATAGCTTTTGAATTCACGTTTCCAGCACGGAAAAAACCTCCGCGTGGTCTTGTCGGCTAGGCCACCACCCTGCGCGAAGATTTCGCGGTTCGACTCCCTGGAGAAGAGGGGTTTCCGAGCCACCCACCGGGGGTGGTGATGGTTTTTGTTTTTGACGTGACGGATGGAGCACCAGATATCACTTGGCCAAATCACGTGACATCTCGTTGCACTGCCGGCCGTGCACGCGAGGAAGAGGTTGAGGTGCTGGGGTCGCTCCCGCTGTTTCTCTCCACATCCTCTGCCATTGCATATGCTGCAGAAGATGCGAAGAGTGAAGCTGCTTTTTATTGGTATTATTTCCTTGGTGCGATCTACCTCCATGTGTCGATGGGACAGGCTAGGGCGGACGGCGGGGGAAGCCAAACCTTCCAATCACGTCGCCGCCTTCGATCGGCCGAGCCGCGAGCGAGCAAGCGGGTGGCCACGTACTTAGGCAGCCATCTGATTGCAAACTGTTACTGGATCAACGTCAGTAAAACAGGATATGTTGTTTTACATTTCCACTCAGCGGCGATCGGGTATGTACTCCTCCATCAGCAACGGAGCTGCTGATGCGCAGCGCAGCCTCGTCTTGGCCTCGCCAGTCACCAGCGAGGATATGAAGCTCAAGTAACACAACATCTGCAGTTGCCCCTCCCCATTGATCCTCCACGCCCATCGAAGTTTGTTTTTGTTTTGTTTTTCGGCACGATCAACAATAACTAAAGAAGCCAAGAGCCCCCGCGGGCCTCAGCGGCCCGCTTTTAGCGACCGGCCACGCACGGTGCATTCCAGGCGAAATTTGCTTCGTCCGATAGAACACGCGGGAGCCAATGGAGTGAAGTTTGATCGTCGGTGTCTATCCGTCTTCCCGCTGCTGCCTGCGCAGTGCGGGGCGGGGCGATTGTATCGGTAACAACGGTGGGATTCAAACACACCGCGCAGGGTCCGCCGATGGCCCGCCTGCTATAGGGAGGAGTGTGTTTGTATTTGTTCTCATCATGTATATAACCCCGGGCCCTCCTCCCGCCAGTCTCCGCTCCCCCACGCCTCTCCGCGCCCCCACTTTTCTTCCCAAGTCTTCGCCTTCGGTCGAAGGATATACCCCTCCGTCTATAAGTCACTCCTTTGCCTATCCGGCTAAAGCCCTCGTCCAAGGCTGAGGCCCTCACGTAGCCACCAACCTGCCCCCGCCCCGCAGAAAACCAAATTATGGGAGGAGGACACTGCAAGCCACCGGAAAATCACAACAAGACGGTCGAGGCGCTGCGCCGTGACCTTGAGCAGCAAGCAAAGCAGCAGCGGGAGCACGCGGAGTGGCAGAGGAAGCAGGACGAAGACTGCTGGAACCGCGACGAGGCGGACAGGAAGAGGAGGGAGAACGACGAGCGTATACGGAAAGAGGAGGCGGAGCGGCTGAGAAAGAGGTTGGAGGAAGAGGAGCGGAAGAGGAAGGAGGAAAAGGCAAAGATGGATGCGGCGTTGAAGAGGCTCGAGGAGCAGGAGGTGCAGGCGAAGAAACGCGAGGAGGAGGCTAGGCAGGCGAAGGAGAGAGAGGAGAAGCTGAGGAAAGAGATGGCCGCGCAGCTGCAGAAGAGCTCCGAAGAGAGGGCGGCTCACCAGCGCCGCATCGATGAGCAGGCGGCGCAGACCAAGAAACGCCAACAGGAGGCGGCGGAGGCCCGCGCTCGAGAGGAACAGCTCAGGAAGGAGGCCGAGGAGCGACAGCGCCGCGCGGACGAAGACAGGGCCAACTTCCTGCGCGAGATGGAGAAGCAGAAGCTCGAAAGTAAGCGTCGGGAGGAAGAAGCGGCACGTCGAGAGGAGCAAGCCAGGAAGGAGGCGGAGGAGCGCCAGCGCCTAGCCGAAGAGGAACATGCCGCCTTCCAGCGCGAGCTCGAAGAGACCAACAGGAAGCTCGCCAAAGGAATCCAGCCGGTCGTGCTGCCCACGCAGGAAGAGTATGACGCCGCCGAAGCAAAGGTCCAGTACGACATTGAGCGGTTGCATTTCGCCGTCTGCGGCCCCAGTGGAAGCGGCAAGTCGTCGCTGATCAATTCCTTCCGCGGTCTGAAAAAGGGCGATGGTGGAGCCGCGGATGTTGGAATCGTCGAGACGACGCTCGAAGTGACGAGGTATCCAGACCCCCGCAAGGAAATGCCATATCCGCGTTTCATCTGGTTCGATGTTCCGGGCGCCGGTACCTTTAACATTCCCGCATGGCAGTACTTCAATCAACAAGGGCTGTTCATATTCGACTTTATCGTTCTGGTTTATGATAATGTATGAGTTTCCACCCTTCCTTCATGTCCCGTCTTGCCCTTAACATACCTCTCTCTCTACTGCCGGGCAACCAAACAGCTGGCGTCTCTTCCTAACCGGTTACCACAGCGCTTCACTCAGATCGACGCCGATGTCCTCGACAACTGTCGGCGGTTCAAGATCCCCGTGTTTATCGTGCGGTCCAAGGCGAACATGCAGATCCGCAATCTCGCCGACGACGAGCAATGCTCGACCCCTGAGGCACGCACGCTCTTCGTCACGACGACACGCAAGAACCTGCAAGAGAACCTCGAAAAATCCGGGCTCTGCAAGCCCGGCGACCTCGAACCCCCGCCGCGCGTCTACATCGTCAGTCGCGAGTGCGTGCTCGACCATACCCTCCACCTCGAGGAACAGCGCTGGGAGAAACGCAATAAAACTATCATCCCCAAGGAGGAAAAGAAGGGCGGAAGGCTCACGGATAAATACATCGACGAGGAACAGCTCATTCACGACCTGCTCGAGACCGCGTACGATCGCCGATACGCACCCTCGAGAAGCCGCTCCTTGCGTGTTACTTCCACTCTCCTCCAGGCCGCGGCTAAACTCAATCTTGGATGATCGTGGTGGGGCGCGGGTTTGTGTTTTTTATGTCATTTTCCTCTCGAGAAAAGATTTATTTGTTTCTTTATTTGGCTGGGGGGTTTCACGACGATATGTCATCATCTACGTCTTTCGGTTTCGGTAGTCTTTGTGTGTTTGTTCGGTTCCCTGTTATCATTAGGTCTGGTTTGCGAGTCTGCCGAGTGCCCTTCATGTGTGCGGTGAAAAGTACCAGTACCTAGGAAAGAAGGTGGGCGTTATAAAAGTCTTGCCTGCGCAGTTCTACCTGTGAGGCTGTGTAGAATCGACTCCTTCGGCGAACACCGCGACAGTGTGCTGATGATACCATCTCACGATTGACCAATAGTTACCTCGCACGGCAAACGCTCTGGGTATCCATCGTGATTCGTAATCGCAGCCAAGGATATCTATCTGAAGTTAAAACAAAGTAAAGTGCTGCACGTGGTGTCACTCGCTGGTAAGTTATAATGTGTGGAGTGACAATGTGTGGAGCGATACGATTCAGAGCCATGCGGGTACAAGACCCAACCCCGGTAACACCTGTTCAAGAACTGCACGCAGTGGAGGGAGCAACAGAAGATCTTGTGGACGGAGGTGCGAAAGAAGACTGGCCCAGAGAAGGATAGGTTTAAGATCAGGGACCTCTTTGCCAACCAAGAGTGCAGCAAGGCCATCCTCTGCTTCCACACCACCAGTGATGTGGGCCCACAAGTATCCCCTTTCGGGTAAGAGTAACAAGAATTCCTGAGCCAGACTTCTGACTTGGCAGCGGCAGCGGCGGATCCCACCTACCCCATAGCAGGAGAAGTGAGAGAAGGAGCGAGAGCGGTGGCGGCAGAAAGAGTAGTGGCAGCAGAAGAGAGGCGACGGGCTGGGGAATTTCTCTTTCTCCCCACCCCCCCCCCCCCCCCCCCCCCCCCCCGAATCTCGCACCGCCGGCACCGGACACCCCAACACCAACACCAACTCCGGCCCCGGGCAAAGTGATAGACTGGGACGCGGTGAGAGCAAGAGCGGAGGAAAGTGTACGGGCTAGTCGGCCGGAGATTCCGGCATACGCAGGAAGAGATGAGGCATTAGAAAGGCTAGAGGAGTTGGCTAGGAGGCTTTGAGGCAGGTTTGGAGAGAATACTGACATGTTTCCTTTCCTTTCCTTTTTTGTCATCTGATTTGTTACTTCTTTCTATCTTTCCCTTTGTTATGCGCGGATGGGCCGGGCGGAGGGCAATAGGGAACCCACATCGGGCTCGCGGCCAGCGGTCGGAGACACTGGGGTGGAACTGGTCGTGTACACAGCCATGATCTGCAAAGGTCGAATGCTACGATGATGAAACAAAAAACTGTTCAGAGCCACACATCCATCAAGTTAGATACCAGCAGCCGAAGCTGTCACGATCAGTCTCGTGATTAGCTAAGGGAGTGTTTGTTTATAGAGAAAAAAGAAATAAAGTATCCGTACCGTCGAAATGTCCACCGCTTCACCTCACTGCGTATCCGTGCCGTGGCATTTTTGAGTCGCAGTCAGGGCTGTCAAGCGTCCGTCCCATCCGTTTTTGGGGTTGCCTGGCCCGGGACGAAATTAGTCGGACTGAGGAGACCAAGGACTCCAGTCTTCCGGGCTGGAGAAATGAGGACGGATACCCTACAGGGCCCGGAATTGACTGGAACACTGGGACAATGCAAGCGGCGTGGCACCACACAGCGGCACCGGTGTGCGGATGTGTGGCTGTGCAGCTGTATTTCACAGTGTCTCTCACGGTATTGAACGTTTACATCATCCCCGTTCCTACTTCTGGCACGTGTCTATCCCCTGAACCTGGTTGACGACTCTGAAAACTCTGATGGTAGCCACCGCGCTATGGTTGGGGACTCCTAGAGCCGATGGAATGGGACATTCGTAGAAAAGTCGAATTAATTACAAAACGGGTAATAAATTGAGTTTTTTGAGTTTTTTTTTTTAGCAAAAATAGGCATTTTTAATTCCATTTTTGGCCTATTTAGTCCAGATACTAGCTTAAAATGGTTCTTGGCTTACCCGCTCATGGGCCAAGAATGAGCAAATTCAGTGCAAGCATGGGTGAATTGGGTGATCCAGGGGAGGGGCATTGGGTTGGCCTCCATACAAAATGATTTATTTTCTAGATTCTTCTTCTCCACAACCACGTGTCTTAAATTAATCGGACGTTATTAAAATTACGGCCATGAGATTCTCTATCGATTAATAGAGAGTTTTTGTTCAAAAAAAAATATTTGGTGGCGGAGATAGGTGTCAAAGTTAGGGGTGTTTTTCCATCGGGTATAGCCGTCCCCAACCATATGTACTACTACTCCGCAAACTAGTAGTCAGCATAGAACGCTAGTGCTATCAGGTACCTATATATAGGTACCTAGCGGGTATCTGGGCGTTTAATCCTCCGGACGGAATGGATCAGTCCTCTGGAAAGCCTGCCCGGGACGGGACGGGACTACAGTCCACTAGTGGACTGTAGTCCGGAAGGACGGTTGACGGCCCTGTGTGCCATACAGATAGTTTGTAGACGGCTGTCGGAGTGCAGGTACAGTTCCAGCGTGTAGGTCGGTAGTTACTGTGCGGTCCATCTTAACGCAGCGGCTCGGGAATCCGGATGTGTAGTCAGATGTTATCGCTCTGCACCGGTGCTCTACGCTGATTTCCTAGCATCAGGGTAAGCAATCCGTCTTCAGTTCTTTCCTACGCAAGCTATGCCTGCCATCTGGGCTAACCGTTTGAACCCGTCTACTGCTAAAATTTGGTTCATGTGATTTCAGGCAGCTAAGGTAGAAGCCATAGAGTGAAGATATCATGTTCGTGCATGCATTACGGTTTGTATGGTTGATGAAGGCTTACGATATTGAAAAGACAGTGGTTCCATTTCGGAATCTCATCTGTTTCCACAACGGCATGATGTTGCGGATGACGTTGAGGCCTCAATTTGCATTGCGTAGTATGTACTACTATATACTGAATCCTGATAGAGCTTGAATCGATAGTTGGCTCTACCGCAAACTTCACGCGATGGAGGAGATCCGGTAGACTGCCTCACTACGAAGGGCTTCTACGTTCTAGCCGGAACAGATGCCATCTCAGGGATCATATGGCAAACTCGGAGGAGCAGAGAGCGAGCGACTGCTGCATCATGATGCGGATTTAACAGCAAGGCGGTCAATCGCGGTTGGCTCATATGTTACTTGCGCAGTATGGTACCGGTAGTGCACGCAAGTTGGTTCTCTCAAGGTTTGGAATTCGGCAATAAAGTCACGAGATAGAGTGATAGAATCTGACAGCAAGTCGGCTAAATTAGCATCAGCAGCACTGTATCGACCCGCAGGGAGCTGTGAGAGGTCTTAGATCTCAGGAGCCGGCCTTCAAACCAGAACAAGTCTCTGCAATCTCTGGGTTGACGGCTCATGCTGATTTGGGATGTTTGATGTGTCGTGCACCGGCATCACTCATTTCATACCACCTAGACGGTACTATATACGGTAGTGGTTTCGAGCCCATTCGGGGTTTCAATTTCAATGTGAGCCTTTTATTTTTCAACGTACTAGATATGGGCTGCGGTAAGTCCTTCTTTGCCAGTCCTAATAAAAAAAATGAAAAAGGAAAAATCCGCTCAGTCCATAATCGACTGTCCCTCATAGTCCTCCGCGTCATTCTCGCCGGCACTATGATCAAGTAGGAGGCGAACAACCGCTTCGTGGCCCTCATGCGCCGCCAAATGCAGCGCTGTCCGCCCGATGTGATATTTCGCGTCTTTGTCCACATGATATTCGAGTAGGAGGCGAAAAACCGCCTCGTGGCCCTCACGGGCCGCCAAATGCAGCGCTGACTTTTCATCTTGATCTTCAAGACTCATATCGGAGTCTTTTACTAGCCTCTGGACAACTCCAAGAGAACCCGTGATCGCTGCAAGGTGTAAAGGAGTTCTTTCATAGTCGTCTCTTACGTCGATGGATGCCACTCTGTGCAGAAGTAGACCCACCGCCTCCTCATTCCCATAGTAAGCTGCCCAATGCAGTGGTGTTTGTCGCAAATGATCATAGATTGCCTGGCTGGCTCCTGCGTCCAGCAACTGTTCGACGACCGTAGCTTTACCAGACCTCGCTGCACAATGTAATGGTCCTACTCCGTCACTACCTCGAATCATCATATCCGCACCGCGCTGCAAAAGAGTCGAAATGCTTTCTTCAAACCCGCCGTTGCTGGCCCAGTGCAAGGGTGTATGCCCGGTGATGTCTACAACGTTTATGTCTGAGACACAGGGAAGAAAAATCGTGATAGCGGGAGGCGTGAGTCTGGTGTTGTTCAAGGGATTCTGCTGGTGTTTATTGCCGACAGCATAATGAAATACCGTAGCATCAAAGATATCGGTTCCAGCGGTATCTCGGCTCGGTGTAGGGCCTTCACCTATAACCATTGAATGGAATCTCCGCGGGGACAGCAGGTACCATGGTTCGGTCCGGCGGGTGCGGCGGATGTGTGAAGCTATCGTGTTTGGCTGTTCTTTGAACCTTTTTCTCATCTTTTCCAGGATATCTTGCGCGACATAACGGTCCTGAAGGTCGTACACATCCAATAGATCAGAGACAACACCTCCCCGTAGTGATTTCAATTCGTTAAAAATCTTCGTCTCCAGCGCCTTCAAACTTTGAACAGCACTTCCTTGTCGCAGTTGTTGTTTCGATAAACACAATACTGTCATAACTGAACGGAGAAAGTCCATCAGGATCGCAGCACCTTTGTGAAAAATTCTATGCTTGCGCCCAAACGGCTTGCAGATCCCCCAAAGTCCGAAATACAGTGCTTCTACTTCGCTCCATTCCGAGACTGATGATTCAGAGTTCCTCGTTTCATTTCGTACCAGATCCATAATCTGCCACTGGACCGGAAGCCTGGCTTTTGCACTTAACGGTGGGATCAGCAGCACGTAAGCCTCCTCCGTGGTTGCAAGTCCGGCACTCTGAACCCCTTGAACCATCTTTCGCAGGATGGAATTCTCTAGACGAAACAATTTCCAAGATATATTACCTCCATCAATTGCAGACACTGTTTTCTGAGCAGCAGTCAGCCCCTCGATAGGACCACTCAGCTTCTGTGCAACAGCCTGCATGAAGAACGAAAATAGTTCCTGGGCATATACCTCAATCGGACCATTCGATGTTGAAGCCAGCCGGTATGAATTGCCGCGTGGATCCTGTTGAAGATCGCTGAGATCACCCGCCAGCCGATATCGCACATTGAAAGATAGATTCTCCGTTGAGGCGGGCTTCTGGTTTGAACCTGGCTGAGTTCAGGGCACGAGCCCCAGCACGTAATCCTCCGGTACCTCGATGAAAGCCGTTTTAGCCGTATTTGTAGTCGTATCGGTGCCGTTTGCGTTAGGCTCGGAATCAACGTCCTCCGTCGCAGCGGTCCCGTCGAGAGCGAGAATAAGAATACTGCTTGCTGCGCTACCGCCCCACCATACCAAATCCCGATGGGTCGGGAGATCGTCTGGGCCCAAGAAGCGTAGACATTTCGCTCTTGTACTCGTACCGCTATGCCTTAGCCAGTCATGCGAGGTGTCCCGAAAACCGTGACTTCTGTTCCTAGAGTTTTGTGTTTCCGTGAACAGCCAAAGAGATAGCACTGCCTCGATTATGGAAGTGCTGGTCGTCCACCTGTTGGTGTCGTCGTCCCATTGTACGGTAATGGAGACGACCTCTGCGGAGGTGTCTGGCCTTCCTGATATCGCCGCTTGTGCTTAGAAAGGAAATTCGAAGGGTTCTGGCAGTTTCTGTGGGTAGAGCGCATTCATCACTGCTTCGATTGCAGTTGCAACCGATATCGCTGGTTCAGAAGCTCGTCCTGTCCACTTGCTGAGTTACCCTAGACGTTCCCGGATGCGGAGCGCCCTTGATGCCAAGTTAAGATTACCCTCAATGGCTTTGTCGCCTTCCTGGTCACCCACGTGGTCGCCTTCCTGGTCGCCTTCCTGGTCGCCTTCCTGGTCGCTCTCCTCATCAGTCTCATCATCATCATCTCCTTTCTTCTCATCCCTCTCTTTATCGTCATGAACTTTATTGCCAACAACGACGGCCCAAGTCGAAAAGGCGCTCGATTCGTTCTTTTCTATGGCGGAAGCCTGCTTCAATCTTTCATTGCGGCCTAGCGAAAGACTTTCTCCATTTGCCGCAAGCAGTAGCGCAAGCCAATCCATTTCGTAGCCATCGAGGATCTGTTGCGCATCGGGGCGCCCAGCTAAATCGCGACACAGCCAGATTCTCACAGAGGTCATGATCGCAGTTCCAACAAACTGCGCAATGGTCGCTGACCAGTGCATCAGTCGTAAGCCGGAGAAATTCAGTATGAATCCGATAATGAAAATGGTCGCCCCGAATATGGCCAGTTTCTGATGCGGTAAGCCGGTCTCCACGGTTTGGGAACCGCCAGGGAGTTGTGTGGTCCTACTGGGACTGGCAACATTCCCGTTTCGTCTCGAGGTCAGAACAGAATTGCGAGGTCCCGAAGTAAAGATTACGTATGAATCGAATGTTTGATCGTTGACGATTTTGCGTTTTTGTAACCAAAAAATGAGAACCTGTCGTCCTGAAGGTGCCTGCAGGGTATGATGGTGGTCTCCTTCCGTGGAAGGAGTAGCCGCCACCTTTATTTTCCAGACTTCCTCCTTGGTGCTTTGTTCGATGATCCAAGCACACAAGAACATGCCAATAGTCGTTGTCAGGACTCCCGCAGCTGCTACCGGATACGCCGCGCCCACAACAGGGAGACCATTTTTACCGAAGCGAGCTTTCCACGGAGGATGATATATGGCTATAGCACAGAAGACGAGCACACCGAGCTGGAGGGCCACTGCGAACACTAAGAACCATAACAATGATTGCTTTCTCTGATCCGGTGAAGGTGCAAGATTTAGAGAAATGTTGGGAGCCGATAATCCGGCAGAGCTTTCCGTGTCTTCAGGCGATGAGTAGAGGTTTTTCTGTTGTTCCTCATCCTTGAGACTCCCGGTATGGGCTGGTAGTCCAGGGAAGTTAGCACGGTACCGATCGAATGGCTTCAAGATGGATTTCTAACCTTTCAACTCCAGCACTCTGTCTTTCGACTCCTTTCGACTCTCCCCTTGCAGCCTGTATAGCTCACGCTGCTTCTCGCCCTTTCGCTCAAGGATGTACACCAGCTCTGGGATCTGCGGAGATCCCATGACCCTCACGATGGCTTGACCGTCCCACATCTCGCAAACCTCCTGGCTTGTGGACGAGAGCAGCTCCAGCTCGGCCGTGGCACGGCTTTCCCTGGCCCTTCCGACCAGGGCTTTCCAGGAGTTCGGTGCAGCAACTCTGATCGTGCTCACGATGGCGGTGATGATTCCAAGTGGGAATATGGCGAAGATCACGCAATCGTGCTAGGTGAAGGTTTGGCTTAAGAACTGCTTGGTAACCTGAGGGATTGCACTTAGTCAAAGATAGGCCCTTGATAGGATTGGGATGCGACAGAAATACCTGTTCACCGAACAATGCCAGAACCGGCGCAAAGTCAGTCAGTAGGTTGTTCGTAAAGCTATCCCCGGCATCGTCGGCCCTCGCCGAGCGGGCAGCGAAAGACATTGTCGCCAGGAAAGCAAAGACGATCTTGCGCCGAAATCCTGGTGAATTTATCAGCGCTATATTGGTTGTTTCTTGGTCAGTCGCTTGATAGTAAAGGCTGGCTTTTGTGTGTAGTTGTCCGGGGCCTCGGTGCGATACTCGTCTGTACTGTGGATGGGTGGCACAAGCTGTCGAATGGACTTGGGATTTTTGCGTACTGGAGCAGGCACACCGTATTTAGAGTAGGTGCGGCTCCCCGTAAGCTTCAGATACTCGAAATAATAGGTCAAATTCAGAGGTGAAGCCGCAGGTGGTTGATGCCTCTAGCATGGTATCCAGGCTCTTGAGTGGCTATGTACGTGAGTTACCTCGATAAAAATGCTACAATACTTCATCTCACATTGTCTTCGTTGTGCCGACGCGTAAGATGGACTACCTATTTCTTCTGCAGCATCGCTGTGACTGGTATGGGCATCGCATAACTGGGTAACGTTTTAGCTCCACCGCGGGCATTCTGTACCTTTGCTCCTTCTTATTCTATTCTAAGGGTCGATACACATTACTCGATATTCCCACTTCTTCCTTCGCCCAGTACCATTTCTACTCCGTGGAATCATCTCTTATAGCTATCGGCAGTAGGGGCGGGAGTATCTAGCGGCGAGGGTAGAAGACTTCGTCGCATTTCGTTGCATATCCACGACTGTCCATACTTCCTGATCTATTACACGACCATCTTGCCTTTATAAACCTGACTCCAGCCTAAAGACTCTTCAACCGATCGTCAACCTCACTCTGCTTCCGCATCTTGTCATCATCCCGCAACCTCTTCAGCTCCTGCAGTGACCTAGCCCTCTCCTGGACTTCAAAGTTTCTCTCCTCCGCCTGCCACTGAAAGGCTTCCTGATCCGTCGCCGAAGCATTGCTAACTCTTGTCACAACCGCGGTCACATCTATGCCACCCAGCTCCACCGAATGCACAGCCACAGGGAGGTCAGTTTCCCCGCACTTTTCCAGCGGCATCGACTCCACCCCCTCCGGCAGCTTCTCGGTCTCTTCGCCCCGCCTAGGATTTTCATCCGGCCCCGGTAATGGATCCTGTGTGATTGTCCGCAGACGCCCAAGTTTCTTTCGTTTCCGGCAGAATGAAACGCAGTAGACGGCCGTGACGACCGCCAGGCCGGCGAAAGTGCAGCCAAGTATCTGTGCAACCGGCGGCAATTTGCGTTTGGAATGTTCCGGGACCGTATTGAAGATGGTAGTGGCTTCGCCGCTGTGCTCTGGAGCGTCCAACGCACGCGTGGTGAGGCGCGCCGAGCGACTATTCTCGCTTGGCACCACTACCGTCGCCGCGGGAACTACTGTCGTCTGCGCCGCGCCGTCGTCGACGATAGTTTTGAGGATCGCTCCATCGATTGTGTTGGAGCGCGCCGAGCCAACGATTGAAGCTGTTAACACGTTTCCGCCGGCGGTGGGGGTAAACCGTGGGCCGTCGAGGGCGGAAGATGTTGGTGGCAGGGGTCTACTACTTGTAGGGCCAGTCGACTGGGCAAGCGCTACACCGGCGGCGGCGGCGAAAACCAGTCCGTCGACCAGGGTGAGAGTGGCAATCTTTATCTTCATCTTCATCGCTATCGTCGTTCGCAGTGATTATGTTTTCGTGATGGAAAAGGGGCAAGTTCAGAAGTGTCGCATCTTCCGGATTTCAGCCGGTCATGCGCGTTCGGGGGGTTGGTCGGTTTTATGATGACCAGCGAGTGCTAGTCAGTTACGGCGGGAAAAGAAAGTACCGGCACGCAGCCAACTACTCTAACGAACCAGCAGGTGTATGATGCATAGACGAGTGAGACAGGCGGGCTTGGTGGGTTCGCTGGTTGGACTCACCGGGGCCCTGGGGGAGGCGGCTTGTCCGTCGGGAAAACCAAACAGCTTCCACAGGCAAAACCTTACCTATCGCCGGGGGGTGGTTAGCAAGGCCAGATATCTAAATAATAACGGTAGAGTTCTTGGGTGTAACGGTAAGTGTTGCCTCACCTTGGGCTTACAATTCGTAATGGTGGTGAGGCACGTCTTATTGGCTATCCCTGGTACTCTACTCTAGGTACTACATGTAGATTATCATCACGGACTGGATGAGTTGTACGCTAAAGGGTAGATCACCATCCATTACATACTAGTAGAGTATACTCCGCACTCTCGAGGGTTGTTCCCTCCGTTTCCTCAGTAGCCTCTGTCCCAAGATCCCAGCTAACCGCCCCTGATCCCTTTCCACCGCTCCCTGAACCATGCCTCATCATCCTGCAGCGGATTCCGCAGCCTGAGCTGGTTTCCACGGCCCATCCGTATGTACTATACCATCAATGCCGACCTGCTTCCGAGTCTTGACAGCGTCGGAAATGTGTCCGTCGTCAGTCGGCGATATGGCCCGAACCCTTGTGGGTTCGGCCGGGCGAAGTGAATGTCGTTTTCTTTATTCCCTTAGAGTTTTCCTTCTCCTTTCCTTTCATCATGGATGATGGATTGCACACAACCGAGCTACCTAGTAGGTAGATCAAGGATGTATATTGTACACTCAGCCCTGGTGGGCTGGTACTGGTATCCCATCCACCACTGGGCCGAGATCCCGAGACCGGTTCCCCCTCACCCGCCGCCCGCCGTCTGGGAAATCAGCACCCGATGTCATAATGGAAACTGCTGAGGAAACTTCTGAGGAAACAGCCCCAATCTCGAGCCTACTACATAGGTACTCTGCCTTCTTCAGCCTAGGACTACATACGTTCGTCCTCCGTGGCTAGAACTTGGTATACTACTGTATATGGATGACGGATCCCGCTACGGAACATGAACACCTATTGGCGAACGCTCATTACGATAGTTACTAATCACTAAATAACGTGTGAATATCTGCCTGCCGTACCCCCCTCCTAAAAAAAAAACAGTGGATACAAACCAAACTAACAGCGTATCCACTAGCAAATACGAGAGATGCTGTTTGCAACTGACGCGCCCATGCATCCATCTACAACCCATCCCTGGCATTGCGGCATGCTGCCAACTAGTGGCCCCGGAGTCCCGGACATCCGCGCCTCGAAAGGTGTTCCATACAATTCGTTTGGGACATGATACACCGTAAGATCTGGCGAGATTTATCAACTCAAGTGGCAGATGCTCGTCAGTACAGCTACTGAGGTACCACTATCCCTAGAGGACCCATCTACCGGGGTTTTTATGCCTAACGCATCGATTAATTTCCTAATAAGGATTATCTACAAGGACAATACCTATCACTAACTACTAACAAATCGCCTACATAGTAGTTATTGATCTTTGAGATTGGCGGTGTGTTGAGAGGTTACATAACAAGGCGAGCCGAGCTGGGTTTTTCAGTTCTGCCCGGCGTGTCGTCTCGTTTGGGTCTGTCGGGACTCGGTTATTCGTCCCGTCCCACGATGTATATAGTGGTAAATCTAGCTAAACACGTCCACTAATGATAGTTCTCCCGTTCCCGTAGCTACATATGATGGTTAGCTTGGACTAACTAGCGGTGAGTGATCTGCACGATCGGTTAGCATGTATAACGCGTCTCCCTGGTCCCAACAGTGATGTATTTCTTCACGAACAGTGTAAATCCAAAAGACAGAGCACATTCCGTCCTATATGCGCCTCGTCTAACAACGGACTACCAACATTATTTACATCATGTAACCGATTCATCCCAGGTCCACTATCCGTCCTCCTATCCGGTGAACCCCATAGGCCCATACAAGCCTAAAGATCTCTCAATCGATCCTTAACCTCTCTCTTCTGTTCCCGCAGCCTCTTCTCATCATCCTGTAACCGTCTGAGCTCCTGCAACGCCCTAGCCCTCTCCTGGACTTTTCTCTCCTCCTCCGCCAGCCACTCGGAGTCTTCCTGCTCCTCCGCCGCCTCATTGCCATCTCTTGCCTCCATCTCTCGCACATCGGCCGCACCCCGCCACCCGGGCTCATCCTGCCCCTCCACCTGTTCGCCACCATCCCCCGCCGGCATCTCGAGCACACCAGTCCCACCCAACTCCACCGGGACGACCGATCCCCGACCCTCGTGCATCTGCATCGCCGCCACGGATTCCGGCAACTTCTGCGTCTCCTCGATCCCGCGCCCTTCCAGCTCCGATCGCGGATTCCCATCGAGCTCCGGCACCTGGGCGCACGCATACGCGCGTATCCGCGCTAGCTTTCGTCTCCGCCGGCAGAAGAATACGACGGCTATAGCTACGATGACGAGCAGGCAGACGACGACGCCGCCGGCTATCTTTGGTAGCGCGGAGGACTTTGTTGCGGGTGTATCTGGTATTGCGGGTGGAGGAGTAGGTGGTGGTGGTGGAGGAGTAGTTGCTGGTGGAGGAGTAGGTGGTGGTGGAGGAGCAGGAGGGTTGCTGCTTTCGCTAGTGCGGGGACCGGATGCTGCAGACGTGGTGCTGGCCCCCGGGATCTCTGCTGTGAACAGCGTCACCACCTCCACGGTCATGATCGTATCCATCGGGGGCTCCTCGGTGGAGACTGTGCTAGGGATGGGGGGTTCTGGCGTTGGCGTTGCTAATACAGTTTCGAGGATTGAAGACATGAATGTTTGCAGGAAGGGGGTGGAGCTCGTTCCTGGAACGCCGACAAACACCGGCGCCTGGCCGAACGCCCTCTCGGCGAAGACCAATCCGTGGACTAGAATAATGCGAACAACAAGCTTCGTCTTCATCGTTGCCGTGAGTGGTGTGTCGGGTTTTCGTGATCGAAAAAGGGACCGTTCAGACTCCAGAGGTATCTATCGGGTCTGGACTTCAGCCGCTCGGGAGCAGAGGGGGCTGGTCCGGTTTTTGATCTTGTGTGCGCAGTGCTGCGGCGGAAAAAGTAAGTCCGCAGCCAACCAGAAGATGCAGCTACATACTCTATATGAATGATTGCAACAAGCACGGTGGCGAGGTGAGTTCGCTACGGTAGGTATCGAGCTGGGCAACTCAAGGAAGTGGCTCAATAGCTGTAACTATTCCAATGCTAGGAACACCCAAAATACCGGTAGAGTGCTGAAGCAAGTAGAGTACTTTACTTGCTTAGGTACGAACCATAATTTCTACTGGGTTATTATAGGTAAAATGCAACCTATTGGTGGTGGGGGGGGGGGGGGGGGGGGGGGGTGGGATTTAGCGAAACTGGTGATCACACGCTCATGTTTAGGTGTAGAGCAGAGTACTCTATATACTGGATGGCCAAGCTCGAGGCTGAGTAAAAAATGCATTACTGTTTGACCGTAGGATCAGATGTATATCTGTTGGACAAAATACAGGAGGGCCTTTTAAAGGCGCGCTATTCTACACTACCAGCACAGCCGAAAGTGTAGCTATTCAAATCATGGAAAGAATCGATCACATCGCAATTCCGCCCCTTCCTCTCCGCTTTGCTTACGGTCGATTACACGACAACCGGGCCCTCTTCCGGGGGCCTAGCACAGCCCATCAATCTGCCTACAGATTCCTTAACTGTTCCTACACCCCTCTCTGCTGCTCCCTCAACATAATCGCCCTCTCATGTAGCTCCTTCTCCTCATCCTCAACCACGCCGGACCGACCGCCCCACCTGCTAGCGCCGGCGGATGGAAACTCTCTTAATATGGCGCTGGCGTGTGGTACCGATATGCCTCGGGGTTCGGACCGGGAACGTACATGGGCGCGCCGACATCGGGAATCGGCGAAACACACATATCTCTGTCTGCGTCGTCGGGCAGGTAGTTTACGCGGTCCGGCTCGTACGCCGTCATGAGCTCCATCGGCGGTTGCACGTATGCAGTTTCCTCCTCCTTCTCGGACAGCCCGTACATTGCAGCCGCTTGCACGCCGTCGCCGCCGTACAACTCCGATGTGTACGCTGCAGCAGAACCTCCTCCTCCTCCTCCTCCTCCTCCTCCTCCACTCTCTAGCTCGGGCACGACGCCGCCGCTGCAGCCGCTGCCGCTAACGCCACCAGCTACCGCCAGCTGAGGTTGCTGTTGGTGTTGCTGTCGCCGTCTCCGCCATAGAAACACGCCGCCTCCGGCGGCGACGAGAACGAGCACACCGACCACCGCGCCAGCGATCGGGATGGTTGGCGAAGAAGCTTTCTGCGGGGGGAGTTCGGGGACAATGGTGACAATGGTGTGTTTCGTGAAGGGATTTGTCGTGTTCGACGAGTTGCCACTCGTGGTCGGGGTGGATGTTGGTGGCTCTGGAAACTGGCCGAGGACCACAGCGAAGATGGCGAAGACGACGACGAGGACGAAGGACTTCATTTTTATGAGGCGTGATCGCGGCGGAAGAACTTTAGGTAGGTACGGGCGGACGACTCAGGCGAGGGGTATGTATGTATTTATGTATGTAGGTACGTTGCAGGGAAATGGTCTCGCTTTTTCAGCTGAGGCTGACTGACCGACTGACCGAAAGAACGAGCGAAGGAGCGGCTCAGTGGCGAGTACTTATGCATGCTGGCGAGCTGTAAAAGCAAACATCCAGTCAAAAAGCAATGCTGCGCGTTCGCGTTGGGGTTAGCTATTGATGCACGCTCAGGAGAAGGCTTTTTCGATAGGCCTGCGAGTGGCCAATTACCTAAATGCATGTTTAGGCCACAGCAAACTCTGGTGAGAGCCGTGAAGGTCTAGGCGTGCCCACTGCGGTGCGCTTGTGTCTCGTGGTACTCCAACATCAATAGCTGAGGCTCGCACAATGCGCAGTAACCGCGAGTTGTTTGACGGATATACATACATTACTGGCGTTTATTCAGCATTGCGTGGGTCGCGATTGTCACTCGGCCCTTCATGAGCTCGCTTCTCGCATAGTCTACCTCCTCGGGTAGATCTCGTCTACTGCTATAGCGTTGAGCTAGCCCCCATTTTCCGTTGCTTGATTGCACTCCCACCGCACCAGTACGATACGGTACGGTCAACCATCACAATGAACCCGAATCCGAACCTGAACCGAAGCTAGTTATTGATCTCTGCTGACCACAATACCGTGCAGAAAGGCAGACAGACAAGCACAGTAGCAAGTATGATACAGAAGAGTTGCAAGAATCATCATAACTCACGCGAATGCCTGGTGACATGTAAAAAACTAGCGTGCTCAGTACCCATCCTCCGCAAAAACAATAAAAGTTTTCATTATACTGGTGGATGGATGGCTGGAGGTATCAGCCTATCAGGTCGCAGTAACTGCTCTCAAGCTCTTCAGCGGGGCGCATACCGGTTACCGGTGTATGTAGTCCAGATGCTGGGCCATGAGTCCTTTGCATTGGCCTAGCGAACTTGTCCCCCGCACAAGTTTCGTGACAACCCGTTCCATCGTCTGGGGATGCTATGGCAGTACGTAAAACCTGAGGTTGCCAAGGTGGTAAGCTCTCGTGATGGAGGGATGGATTGAGCGTACGGACAATCAATGCTTCTATTTCTATGTAGGTCTATGTAGGTATGTACATAAGCCTCCTTCCTCCACGCCGGTGATTGTGAAATACCAGTACACATACCCCCATCTCCACATATCCACATATCCCCATCTCTCTATCTTCCTATCTCCCTATCGACCAACATCCAATTCCAACCCCGGCCGTCCCACGAAATAATCGATCCCCACCGCACGACTTCTGTGCTGAGCAGATATAGGTAAGCTCGTCGTACGGTCCCGACTCCCAGGAAGCCATTGTGTACTTGTACAATTCCTCCTTCATACACAGCAACCATTGTCCATGGTACAGTCGCATCTCCGCGCCTACCGCGATCCCACCACCGTTGATCCTCATGGGCATCGGTAACCAAATACCGTATAAACAGCCCACGTTTCCACGCAACAACTCCTTGAGTTCACCCAAGCCTACCACCATCCCCGTGCCCGAGCCCCACCACCACAACCACACCCACACCCACAACAACCCCAGAGTACTGCATATCCGTAGTAGCCGCGTTGCTCGCGCCGAATAAGTCCGCACCCTTGAATATCACATCCGTCGCTTTGACGATGATTTTTGCGCCGGAGGTGATTTTGTCGCCTTTGGCGGGGGCGGGGGCGGCGGGGGCGGTGGTTGTGGTTGCGAGGACGAAGAGGAGGGAAGAGAGATTCATCGCTGCTCGATCGGCGGGGATGGAGGGGATGGCGGGTGGCGGGTGGCGGGTGGCGAGGAGTGAGTGAGTAAGGGGATCGAGGATTGAGGAGCGGTGGAGGTACCTATTGCTACAGAGACCTTCGGCGGAACGGTCTACCTACTTCTTACACCCATTCGAAGAATCAATGGCGCAGCTCCAAGCTCCAGCACACAGTTGTGGCTGTGGCCTTACCTATGCCTTACCTACCTACCTACCTACCTACCTACCTACCTATCCGTGACTCCACTGCAAATGGATATACATGTGTAGTACCCAATCCCGTCCCATACCTGCGCACGCGCGAATGATTACTTTCGCGTGATTATAGGCCCAACTGTTGGATGTGCATGCAGCTTGCGCCCAAGCACATATGCTTCTTGGCAGTCTGTGTGGCTGGATGGGTATTTGCTTTTTGTCGCCATAAATACATGATGTATCAATGTACCAGTCCCGCTAAGCCGGGCTCTCACTCTCAGCCCCAGGCCCCCAGCCAAGGAATACAGTACGAATGGGTAGCTATGAAGAGTAAGTACCTTCAAGTTCGTGGCATCTGCTAGCTAATTCACGTGGATACATACACAGGAATTACCATACCACGCGCGCGGCACACCCGTATGCTTCGTTAAATATCATTAGAGTAGGTGTGCGGCGGTCGTGAATCATCAATGATAGTCCCGCAGTCAGATAACTCGGTATCTAGATACCTGCTGCCGCCGATTCGACATCGTCATCTTCAGACTGACAGACATTCATTACTGTGTTGCATACACCCCTTCGTCTTGTAGATATGTACTTAGTATGTATCTCGGAGACATTCACTGGTCAAGCGCAATGCATGTACCTACCTACTCTCTTGTATAGCATCGAGGATTAATCCATCGGGGCGACGGGCGGCAGAGTGACAAACCATGAGTCTGCATTTTCGGGTCCCGCTGCGATATCAATGAGATGCACCACGGAGGATACCTACCTAGGCGACGAGCGAGTGATGCTCCAGCACAGTATAGACTCAAGTCACTATCCTAGGTTTAGAAGCAGGGAGAAAGTTACAAAACATTCTTTCAGTGCCTGTGTGTCAGAACTGATAAGGATATCCTCTATGGTCTAATCTGCAATCGTAGCCACGCAATCTATAGTACAAGTGTAGCTCTTCCTTCTGATAGCGCTCGCCTATCCATCGATTTCCATATCCTCATTCTTAGCCGCCGCCGTCGCCGCCTCGCTATCGCCATTAACGCTGTCGCCCTCGCCGCCCGCCATCTTCCTCGCCTCCCTCTCCTTCCTCTTCTTGGACCTATTACTCTCCGCCCTCTCTCCCTGCCACTTCTTCTCCTTCTCGCCGACGACGCCCCTGATGACGCCCCTGGTCTCATTCGCGGCGACCCACGCGGCCGCCTGCGCCTCCATCTCGTCCGTCCACTCCCTGGGCAGCGTCGCGAACGTCAAGAAGCTAGTATGCGTCTTGATCTCCGGTTCGCAGCGGGAGACGACGCGGCCCTCCTCGCCGGTGCCCCAATTCTTGCGCCCGGACGCCTTCTTGAACCCGAGGGCCTCAAAGCTCGGCTTCTCTCCGGCCGCATGCGAGACCTGCAGGTCCTTGCGCTGCTCGCGGAAGTTGTTGACGCCGCGGAGCCGCGTCAGGGCTTCAGAGATGGAGCGCGGGCCCGCGCCGTCGTCGTAGCCGCGCGGAAGCTGCCGCCGCACTTCCAGCCGCTGGTGCGATAGCTCCACGGTCTGCACGTCCACCCAGCCGTGCGTGCGGAGAGCGGCGCACGTGCGTGTCACTTGCTCGATGCAGGGGGAGAACGTGCAGATGCGGACTTCCTCGGCGGGGTCGAGCGGGGAGGCGGCGGTGCGCGATAGGTGCGGGATTGCGAGCCAGGGCGCGGGGAGGTCCAGGAATACCGCTGTGCCCAGGGGTGAGATCACGGCCTCGCTGCTGCTGCTGCTGCTGCTTCTCTCCAAGGCTGGTTGCAGCTGCGATGAGGGAACCAGGAACCCCTCCGCGCAGACGTCCTTATGTGTAATCTGCACGAGCCCGTCGAGGTTGTGGTTCGCTATCTCCTCGCGCAGCTTCCCCGCACGCTCCTCGTGGAACTCGAAGCTCCACACCTTCCCCTTGCGCTGCACCTGTGTCGGCGCGATGCCATCGCGCCCGTCGGGGTAGCCGCTATACACCGCGCGGACAGCGGCATGGGTGAAGGAGCCGGAGCCGGCGCCGGCCTCGATCACGCGGCTGCCGGGGCCGACGTTGAGGCGGTGGAGGATGTACGACGAGTCGGGGGTGTAGACGACTTGCGTTCTGTGCGGGAGACTAGCGGTCCAGAGCTCGGCGGTGGGCGCGAGGACGTGTACGAAGCCTGAGGCGCTGGGAGCGGCCGCAGCGGCGTCGGAGATCTCCTCGGGCGAAGCGCGTTTGCGTTTGCGTTGGTCGCGGGGATTGGGGTGCGTGGCTGAGGCGCGGACTTGGGAGCCGGGTGACAGCGAGAGGAAGGACGTGTGCGGGAAGGTGCCGAAGCGGGTTTGCAGGGTCGAGGTGGGGGAGAGCGCGAGTGCTTGGTTGTTGTCGCGCTTGAGGTGGATTATTGTCGGTGCGGAGGAGGCAACAATGGTGGAGGGGACGGTGAGGAAGGTGGAGACAATTCCCGGTGGGGCGGCGGTTGACTCGGCGGTGGTCATCGTGTGTGTGGGCTGCGGGGGAGTTGGTGTCGGTAGGAGAGTTGAGGTGAGTCGCAATGTTTCGCGAGAAAACTCGATTGGATGCGTTCTGTGGCTAGTGACGTGGCAGGGGTGGCTGCAAGAGCGACACAGGGTTAAGCACCGCCACAGACGCTCGTTCGCTAAAAATAGAGGCGAAACTGCCATGACTCATGAAGTGACTGAGTCAGAAAACCTTAATAAAGTGCAACAGAGAGATGCCCGTGGCGTATGCAGCCACAGTATGGGGTCCATTGTGGCTCGTACAAGAAACTGCGCAATCTCACGTGACGATGGCTTGTCAGTCACTGCGTCGCTCTCTCTGAGTTGGATCTGTGCCGTATGTAGCTGAGAGAAATACACATCGGTCATGCCCCTCCCCCGCATCTCAACGCCCTCCAGAGCCATCGCTCTAACCACCTACGCTCTTTCCCGCCGCGCCTCAAACTCATCGCGCCGTGCTTGCGCTCGTATTCCTCGTAGAAGCGACACCTCGATTGGTAGATGTCGGCACTCCGCACTCCCACTCCGCCGTGAACAGCCGCCCCACTACCGTATAGGTAGACCTCGGCCGTACTAGTTCTGAATGCCGGATTGAGTGAGTGGGATGCGGACGGAATAGGTATGCCAATGATGAATACCAACGGTGAGGAGGCGAAAGAAAGCGCATCCATCGGCCTGGACAGCGAAGCAGCAATACCATAGCGGTGATAATGCTTTTCCCAGCCTCGCGGGCAATCATTCTGCTGCGATGATCTCGAAATAGAAGCACGTTTTTGCTTTTACGTACCTCGATACGGGATTGAGTCCACGCCGTGCAGTGCGCTGCACAAACGGAGTAGCAGGAGGTACCAAGTGCTTGGTTAGGTAGTCCGTCCGAGACTCCGCACGTGGAACCGATCGTCGCTGTGCGCTCTGGGCGCTCATGACGGAAGCGCATGCGGAAACGTAATCCGCACTGCTAGTACCTACTACCTCCCCCATCTTCCCGAGAACTGGTTATCTATCCCGTAACTCACCCGACTGTGTCCCATCCTTCCCCATCAACCATCGTCCGTCAACCTTCCACCACCACCACCACCACCACAACCACCACCACAACAACAACACCAACCGTCAATCAACCACCATGGGTAAAGTCACGCACATCGTGAGCGTCAAGCTCCCCAGCACCCCAGCGACCCTGGCGACGCAGGTAGTCCCCCGTCCCCCCGTCTCCCTTCCCAAGCCCTACCCCTCCAGCCCACCGCCAGCTCTAGGACTGAGACTGACCGACCGTGGTTAGATCACCACGGACTTCCTCGCGCTTCAGCAGAAATGCCAGAAGGAGGACGGCAGCGAGTACATCCTCTCGATCACTGGGGGGCCAGACATTTCGATTGAGGGACTGCAGGTGTGTATTCCATTCCATTCCATTCCATTCCCCTCCCCTCCGACTCTTCGCGGTGGTGGTGCGGAGGATACCCGAGCTAATACCCCGGGCACTACAGAAAGGCTTCACGCACGTGTACGTAGTGCAATTCGCGAGCGTCGAGGACCGCAACTACTACGTGCGTCGGGACAGCGCGCACGCGGAGTTCGCGGGACGGCTGATTGGCTCGATTGAGGGCGGGGTTGACGGTGCGACCGTTCTCGATTTCGAGCATTGATTTTCATTTCATTGATTGCATTGCATGCATGGATGTACCTCTACATACGAAATAATCTACCTACACGACTAGCCATTGCTCCGTAACGCGCCGTGCCTCCGTCATGTTCCCGCTCGTGACATAGATCATCTGCAGCATGTATGCGGACTCCCACTTGAGATCGCCCGCTACGCCGCCCTGCGCCGCCCATGTGTCTGAGATCTCGAGGCAGCGGTGGTAGTAAGGTATTGCTAGGTGGGTTAGGCCCAGGTGGTGGAAGGAGCGCGCCGCGTTGAAGGAGACTTCTTGCTCGAGTGCTGCTTGCTCCGCCGCTGGTAGAGGTGTCGGCGGGTTAGTGCGCGTGTCGGTGTATTCGTAGAGGAAGGTTATGGCTTGCAGCGCTTGCATGTGCCGGTTTTCGGATTGCCGCTGCATGCTGCGGTGGAGGTAGGCGAGGGATATCGAGAGGAGGACCATGGGGTTCTTAGGGGCGACGGTGAAGACACGCGTGTAATAGTCTATGCGTGAGTCAGTAAGATGTGGGAGGAGGAGGAGGGAGGAGAATGTGTACTCAGTGCGGAGATATAACTCTTCCCGCTAGCAAGAATATGTCCGTACAGCATCAACAAATTGGTGTCCAACCGCTCGGGCTTGTACTCCCTACCCTCCTCATCGATATTTGTAAGACTTGCGGCATTGGTGCGCTTCTTCCCCTCGATGCTCTCATCCATGATTTTGATCTGCCTCAGCAAGAACTTCTGATTCGCATTGTTGTGGAACACTTCCATTCCGTTACGCGACATCGTCAGCGATCCGACGAACAGCGAGTATGCTTCGGTCTGGAACTGGTACGTGGTCATGAACCATCGGGAGATCGTACTGCACGACTCCGAATCGTGAACCCAGATCGCGCACGCGAGCCATGTCGTCCAGATCGTGAAGACTTTGCTCTTGTCGAGGTAGAAGACGTTTGCTTCCTTGGCGACGCTGCACACGTCGTACGCGTCCTGGTAGTTGTCGTACTTGGCGAGACATAGCGCGTACTGCATGAAGATGTACAGCCAGGTATCAAAGTCGAGGCCGCGGAATGTGGTGGCGTCTTTGGCGATGGTGTCGATCTGGTCGTCCTGGAAAGTAAGCGATTCCTCCAGACGGTGCTGCATCCTCTCCAGTTGTTCTGCATCTCCCTTTGCCTTTTCACGCCGCTGCGCGGTGGAAATGAATCCCTTGAACGCCTTGCCCTTCTCCGACGGAAACAGCGCCTTCGTATTGCGGAAGTCGTCGACCAGATCGCCGGCCGTGTCGAGCCAGTCCTTGATGGTTGCTGTATCGCCCTCCTCCATTTTCGCACGGAGATACTCGAGCTTCCTGTATTTGACCGCCGTCTGTTCCGTTTTCCTCGCGTTCATCTCAGCTCGCTCTTCGTTGGTGATCGCACCTGGCCGGCGCTTCCGAACTCGACGCGGCGCGGGCTGGTTGGGGAAGAATGCCATGGGATCGTTTCCGGGCTGCGCAATCGGCTCGGCGGCGGCACGTTTCTCCGATGCAGTGTTCTTGTCTGCGGTTTCCCTTTCCCGCCGGAGTGCGATAACCTCGTTGACGAGTTCCAACGCCTCCGCCTTCCGGTTCGACACTTCGTAGATACTGGCGAGCTCCATCATGGCGTCGGTGTCCTTACTGTATGCTTCCAGCACGGTGGCGTAGCAGTCCTCGGCATCTTCAACCTGGTTGAGGGCCTTGTAGCAGGTGGCCATGTTGAACCACAGCTTCTTGTCGAGGAATTGTGTCCCCTCCACCACCGACGAGTAGTAGTGGATGGCCTCTTCGTAGGCCTTAGCTGCGAAGAGGGCATCACCCGCTTCCTGGAACACATCGTAATACTCGACCGGATCCTCCTCGTTTAGGAACTCAAAGTGTACGAGGGCTTCCTTCTCATTGGATTGGTACACCCGACAAACTCCCAGCTTTACTCGCAACTCAAGGGGGAGCGAGTACGTCTCCTCATCGAACCGTGCCCGCACGTATTCTCGGATCGACTTCCGTCGCGCATCCGTCTTATCCCACTCTCGGTCGTCGTTCAGCTTTTCCCAATACTTCTCCTCCGCCCTTCCGTACAGCCATCGGGCATTCGTCTTCAACACCTTGATCGCGTCGTCCCACCGTTTCGACATCATGTACAGCTCGACGAGGATATTTAATTCCGACCAGCCAAAGGTTCTATCCGTGTTGCCGGTGGTCTTGAAAAACTCGATACTCCGCGTATAATACTCGATCGCCAGCGGGATCTTCTTCAGCTCAATATATAAGGCGGCAATCTCCCTCAGAATTGACATGTCGTTCGGCAGCAATTTGTTCAGCATTCCGAATCCCTCTGCCGCCTTGTGGAGTTGGCCCGTCTCCTTCAACAATAGCGCGCGGTCGTAGACGGCGTCGATATTGTCCGGGTTCGCTCTGATCGCGCGGTTATAGCAGTAGATAGCCTGGTCGCGGTAATTATGCTTATCGGGCCCATACTGATCCAGACTCATCTTGGCACACATGAGCCACAGCTCCCAATCCTTCGGTTTCGCATGGGCGGCCGTCAACCACGCCAGCAGACACTTGTGGTCTTCGCCCTTCTCCTTAAAGATCTCTCCCAGGATCTTCCACGCCGAATACACGCCCGCCTCGATCTGGATCACTTTCTTGACCAGTCCCATAGCCTTATCCAGCTGGCTGAAGGCGAACGCCTGGTTCGCCTCGCCCATCAGCGACTTCACCTCGAACGACAAGTTCTCCTCGCCGACGGCCCGGCGCCCACCGCCTTTACTCCCCCGCGGCCGCTGCCCCTTCTTGAACCCATGTGCCGCCTTCAAGTTGTGGTGGAACTCCTCCATCTCGTCGTCATTGATGACCGCGGCGCCTGGGCCATCGCCGTCGCCCTCGTCCTCCGACTCGCTGGGCGCATCAAAGAAGTCGTCTTTTGGGGCTGCGGCGGCAGCGGCAGGATTCGCGGCGGTCGGGGCATCGCCGTCCTCGCCGTCGTCGAAGTAGTCCGGATCGTCGTCGGTGTCGTCGGCAGCGTACGCGGCGAGCTCGTCGTCGTCGTCGAACTCATCGCTGTGTGGGGTGCGCGCGCACGCGCGAGATAAGTAAGTGTGCGAGTGAAAGAGCGACGAGACGGGGGTGGAGAGTAGTTACTCATCGTGGTCGGAGAACACGTCGTCATCGTCGGAGACCATCGTCTGCTGGTTCTGGATGTTTTTTGAGAGTTGCATGGTGGCGGGCTGTGGTGGCGGGCTGTGGACCTGTGGTGGGGGAAGACGCGACCGTGACGCGAGGTGAGGTTGAGAAAAGGTTTGGCGGGCTATCGATAAGGCGCGTGCTGCAAGGCTACATACTCTAGGTTCTGACGTGCGCCTCGTTTGCTTAGTGTGCACAGCCACAAGGAATCAAGAATTCAGCCGAGGCCTTGTACGCTTTTAATCAATGCATCGAGCAACCATCATGCGGGATGGCAATTGATGTTCTCTCTCACATGCATGGACAGCTCAAAGTTTCGGTCGCTTCGATAGGAGGTCAGTTTTTTGGAACCACTTGGACGTACGCAGTTCTCGACAACGGGTTTTATCTAGGTAGGTAGGACATTCAACTTTTGAGCCCGTAATTGCTAGAATACGATAACTACGAGCCGGTATCCAGCTCACGGTTATCTGTGGGTTACAGCCTGGTGGAAACGGATGAAGATCAAACTAAAAAGGCCGGCAGCGCAAAAGCATGTCATGTGAGCCTACCCGAGTGATATCCGGGGTTCCACCCGCCACATCGGACCGTCTAGGTGATGACCCGTCCCTCGCTGCGGTGCCACCCGTCATTTCGATGTTGAGACTGGTTTCGATGCTCCTGGCAGGAGATATGCTCTCGAAGAAGTGAATAAGTACATATTCTCGAAATCTTCCGTGCTAAGAACTTGAATTCGACGCTACTAAAGTGGTGGGGGCCTTGCGATGTTATGAATAACGTGGTAACTATATAGAAGAATTTAATCAACTCGGCATCTACAGCAACAATATCGGGAGCAGCGAGATCTCTCTATGTACAAGCTTCACGAACCAGGGTATCCAGACACGATCCCTTCGGAAGGTACTCTACGTAGTTCTCTCCGGCCCTCGGATACCCGCGCGGTCCTCCGTCATATCCGAACCGCCAACATTACAGGAACAACGACGTGATTGGGATGGAACACGCTAGTCTTCTCTGGCACGCTAGTGTGACGGAGCGAGAGGAGGGAGCGAGAAGAGGACCTGTCGGCGGGCTAAAATGACTGTGGTTAGTACTACGGTAGTCGGCAACAACGTTGATGAGAATCAACGTTGGTGGCCATAACCGGGTCTGAGTGGTTGTAGCGAGGTTTCCTTCTTCTTCTTCTCCTTCTTCTTTCTCGATCATATACCGAATAGGTAGACGACCAACCCTCATATCTACTCTTTCTTCTGTGTGTGCTCTGCTCTCGATCCCGCCATCGGCCTAGAGGGATGTTGGCAAAGGAGCCGTTTGCAACACCCAGCTCCTCAACCTCTTCCTCGCCTATGTATTCTAGAGTACGCAGCCAGTAACGCAAAAAAAAAACGTAAATCACGTGATAGTCACATCCGAGTGATATGGCGTGCACCACCCGTCACGACAAAAACAAAAACCATCACCACCCATGTGGCTAGCTTGGAAACCCCCAAGAGAGAGGTTTTCACCCTGGGTTGAACCCAGAGCTTTCCTCAACTCCTCTCGCTGATTGCATAGCCTAGACCACTAGACCAGGCGGGGGTTTTTCGTACTAGAGATATGAATTCGAAAATCATAAACTGGTAGGTGCCACCCCGCGATGCACAGGAACAACGACGGAGTGCCAAACGCCAGATCGGATTGTCTGGGGGATTCTTCATCTGTCGCTGCGGTTTCGTCCGCCATCCTGAGGGCACCTGGGTAAACCGTAATTCTTTCATCTCACGCTGTGGTATCGCGTACCATTTCGATGCTGAGGCACTGGCTTCGATGCTTCTAGCAGGCGATGTGGACGAGAATCAATACCTATTCTATGCCAGCAATACTCAGATACGAGTCAAGTACTAGATGTTACATGTTCGGTTCCACTCCAGTTTTGCAGACGGCTCTTTTACCAACACCCCTCTAGGCTGGAGGCGGGATCCAGAGGAGAGCAAACACAGAAGAAAGAGGTGATATGGAGGATGGTCGTCTATTCGGTAGATGATGATCAAGAGAGAAGAACAACAAGACGCCCCACTGGATCCACTCGGTCGACCCCACCATGCCCACCAACGTTGATTCCCACTACTAACCACAACACACACCTCCGAGAACCACACCAACCTTCCAAAAATGCCAAGACTATGCGTTGGCACACCAAATGCCCCGCTCCCTTTGGCTTCAGGATTCATGTGGCGTGTGTGTCCACTCTTTCCGACCGCGGATTAGGTGCCCCGACCGACGAATTCGACGACGATGAGCATGAAGCGATAGAGATCAATCGAGCCTCGGTCCCTGACCGGAGAACTGCACCACTACGGGTGCTACATCCGAACCTCAGAAGAAGTCTCACCATCGCTTCCCCGCACATCACCATCGATTTCATCACTCCAGGAGAGCCTGTTCAGCAGGCGATATGGCGACGGCGGGGAGGAGAGTGAACTCCAGGGGGGCAGCTCAGGGCTTGGCCCAGGACAACGTTGACCACGACGACTGGCATTTTGCCAACCCGCCTTCGATCCAAATATCTTCTCTGCTATTCATCGGGCCCCGGCCTTGACAGCTACGCAAACCCCGAGACGACGATTCCTTTCGAGCACCATGCCGTGTGCGCTAGACTAGTTATGTTGAGGGTAGTACCGAGTGGAGGTACCTTTTGGAGAAGCCGGGGGCTACCACGCGCCGCTACAGCGCAAAGCCGACAACCCGAGCCTCTTTGGAGGCTCACTTTTAAAATATTGCGAGGACGAGGGGATTTGCTGTCACTTCTACATGGAGTTGGTTGCGGAATTTCTTTGTCAAAATGTTGTATTGTAGATACCTCTACCGGCCATAACTTTAGGGTTCCATGCTGTATGAATAATCAATCAATCAATCAATCAAACTACTAACCACATTCGTTTTCGTCAGCCCACAGGTCCCTTCTCCATCGCTCCGCCACACCGGTATCGAGCTCGCGGCCAGCTGTCGGTGACGGCTGGGTGGAAACGGATATAATCTACCATGATCTACCAAGGTCGAATGCAATGCTGATTAAACTATAAAAAGGAGCCGGCATCACAAGGCGTGTCACGTCATGCCATGCTACCGAGTGATATTGCGTGCTCCACCCGTGATGCCAAAAACAAAAACCATCACCACCCCCGGTGGGTGGCGTGGAAACCCCAAGAGCTGAATACATAGGCATTCACCCGGTTTTGAACCGGGGAACTTCCCTCAGCTCCCTCGCCGATTGCGTGGCCCTAGACCACTGGACTAGGCGGGGTTTTTTCCGTACCAGAGACATGAATTCGAAAATATGAAGTGGTGCGTGCCACCCCGCGATAGACAAGAACAACAACGATGAAGTGACGCCCATCAATTCGGTGCGTATTCTGCTTCCCCGATACCCCCCCACCTGAGTGCCCCGCAGTTGAGCGTCTGGATGTTTCTTCCATCTCACGCTGCAATATATGTCACCTGCTTCGGCTCCTTAGACGACGCCTCCGCACAGGAGATGTACCCTCGAAGAAGCGAAGTATGTACTCTCGATATCTCCTCCGTCGGAGGGATGCCACTGTTGTGGCGAGCGCGTGGAAACAGGTAGGTGCCCGGCCCTATGAGGGACCGGGTCAGAAACTGGCACATACTAGGATACGTGGAAACCTAGGCCGACTCAAAGATACCAGTAGCCCACTGCAAAATTGCTCCAGACACTACACTTTGTTCTTCACCTGTTCTCTGCGTCTGCTTGGTGCGTTCATCACTTCTCTGTGCCCAGGGCCCAGGCCTAGGGCGCCGCGGGAGACGTACGGGGCTTAAGTCCACACCGAGCCTGCTGCCTGGAGTCTGGACTGTGAACAGCAACTTCGGAGAAAGGTTGTGCAGTCAAACCAGAGTGGAGAGTTGAAAGCCTCGGTATTTAGAGAGAGAGAGATCTTCCTGTTTTATTTCGCATGCAGCCTATCTAGACTATGGCGAACCGACGAACTCCTTTTCCTACCCGCCCTGGCCGGTACCGGCCAGTCCGATGCTGCGCCCCACTTCCCCTGCCCATCCGCCTCGGGCTGACACAAGAAAAAAGTAGAAATTAAATTGACAAGTAAAGACCGATATGGGCCAACATAACCGCTCCTCCTGCTGCCCGCTCGCCTCTCTCCCTCGTCTTCCGCTTCCGCTCCAAAAAAAAACCTATCACCGCGTATCCTTCCCACATCCGTCGTTCCTAGAAACTCTTGGATTGCCTCGCTGCGCTCGTCGGCGAACAGCTCCGCTATCGACCACCTCTCTTTTCTTCTCTCTGTCTCCTTCCCGGCCTTTACCCACAAGGCTTTCTGTTGACTTCTCCACCGTGAGCAGGTTTTGAAGAAGTTACTTCCACACTTCGGCAGCGCAAAGCATGTCACGTGGTCGTTTCCACCGAGTGATATAGCATGCTCCACCCGTGATGCCAAAAAAATAAAAACAAAAACCTTTACCACCCCGGTGGGTAGTTTGGAAACCCCAAGAGCCGAGCTTTGAACCTAGAGCTTTCCCTCAGCTCCCCTCGCCGTTTGCATGGCCTAGACCACTAGACCACGCGGGGGTTTTTTCGTGCTGGGTACTTCGATTCGAAAATATAAAGTGGTTGGTGCCACCCCGCGATACACATGAGCACCGACGAACTGCCACCCGCCATCAGAGCGCCTGGAGGATTCTTCCATCTCTCACTGCGGTGGCGCCTGCCATTTCGATGCGGAGCCATTGGTTTCGATGTTTCCGCCGACAGGAGTTTTGAACGAGAATAAATATGAGGCTAGGTATGCCAGAAATACTCAGCTGCGAGTCACGTACGTCTTGATGGCAAACTGACTGGCCAACCGCTTCTCACCGACTGGATATCACGGTGGGGTCTCCTCTCTTCTCTTCTCGCCTCCACGTTCTATATTTATTTGATCATTAATTTCATGCAACCTAGCGAAATCATTGCAATATACACACCCACACACTCCGTTTACACAAAAGAATACAAGAGTAGCACGCTTCCGTTTTACTTGAGAACTTCTTTTACTAAGAGTAATGCCTAAGTACATGATGTATGCGCCTTTCAGGACGTGGAAACGTAATGGCCTATGCCATCACATGTTGAGTAGCGGTCCGGTGGGGCGCGATCTGGGATATCCGATATCCGGAAATCCCCCCCTAGGCGGTTGTCCGTACTTTCTTCTTAATCCACCCTTGCTCTCGGGGGTGGACGTTTGGGAACACGGGGGAGTGGTGGCATTGCAGCATTGTATGCTGTGCTCCAGCTATGCCGTGACATGTAATCAGGCATGAAAGTTTTGTCAAGCGGATCTGAGCGAACGAGTGAGAGAAAGATGGAGATGTGATTTGAAGATATAGAACAAAAAAGAGCAGACAACGGAGAGAGTATTTAAAGAGATACATAGGAGCAAAAAACACATACCAAGATATCCGTCCGTCCCAAGATATCCGTCCGTCCCACAATATCCGTCCGTCCCATCCTATCCGTCCGTTCCCAACTCGGTCTATTGATGCCCGAGGACATTAAACTAGATCACTGACGGAAAGCTATTGGAATCTTCTTGACAGCTTGGGTAACTGTCACGGTGTGGCCGCATGTAGCACCGGTATCTTGCCGGCGAACGCTGAGTACAGGTACAAGTACGCTGTTGTAATCAGGCCCGAAATCGATCTGAACCTTCTTGACGGCGTTGATTCCCGCCAGTGCGGCGTGGCCGCAAGGACCGCCGGTATCTTTCCGGCAAACCCATATCCATGTACGCTGTGTCGAATTCGCCGTACCTGTCGCGATTGACGACATTGCAGCATTGTATGCTGCGATCCAGCTATGCCGTGACACGTAATCAGGCCCGAAATCGATCGGAACCTTGGCGGCGCTGGCGTTCATAGCAGCTACAGCGTGGCCATAAGGAACACCAGCATCTTGCCGGCGCCGGGCGGACACAGGTACAAGTACGCTATGTCGAATCCGACAACAACTGTTGCTGATCGGACATCTGAGTAACAACTCATGTTATTTTGTGGACCGCCATGATCTTGGGGCTCTCCCCGAGGACTCAGGAAAGACATGTGGTGCTTCTGCATTTGCGAGACGCTTCTGTGCCATCAATCACATTAGTACATGCGACCTTTTGTAGGCTTGAAAAGTCGGAGATTGCTAACCCAACGGAAGATGTCATCGTTATTACTACCATGCTGCAGCGGGGCGGGGGCATGGGAGTTGGGCGCAGGTGTTGTGCGCAGATGTGGTAGTTGGGCAAGGGTGTTCGTTGAGATATTCGGCGAGGTATTCGGCGAGGATGTTGGGTGATTGGGAGAGTGTTGGGTGTGGGAGGGTTGCACGTCGTAGCTCTCAAGTGAGGCGTTGATCGTCTGCTCGGAGGTAGTGCCCCCCTTTGCATCATCGGATGACAAAAAACGCTTCTGGGCATCAACATGGTGTTTGTTGAGGAGCTCTGACTCAGCAAGCCATCGCTTCAACGCAGCGAACTCGTCAGCAACCTTGCGATCTTGTCTGGCGCTCTCGTCTGCACCGGTTGAACGCCTGGAGCTCTCTTCAGCAATTGCGCCGCGTCCGAGGTGGATGTCTTTGTAGATATCCAAGCAATACTCTCGGTATTCGGCGAGGCTCATCTTGTGACACAGCAGATGCGTGTAATAACAGATGTCGAGTTCGAGCAGGTAGTTCCTCTGAGTGTAATGGGTACGGATGATAATTAGCCCATTAGACGGCTCGCCATCGATCTCCGGGTCGTAGGGGTTGGGGAAAGCCGTGTCCCGGTAGAAAAGGTTGGATGCGCGTGTTGGGTGACGGGCTCATATCCTGTTGGAAGGACTCGTGGAGTTGATTCGCTAGTGCGATGAAGTTGGAAAGAAGTGAAGTGGTATGTAAGAGAGAGAGATAGAGAGAGAGAGGGACAAGGAAAAACAAACTTGGACCCGCTACCGCACCGAATATTCCAGCACTCACCACCGGTCCTTCGAACGGCTAGTGGACTACTCACCAGAAACACATGCGCTCCCACAAGAACCGTCTGCAAAACTGGCGCCTAATGTGGACTATGTACGTTACGAGATAACAAACAAAAGTGGGACATTCCAGCAATTACGGGCTGAAAAGTAGACGACATTGCATCCAAGATAAAATTCGTCCTAACAATCGTAGACTCATCAAGAACAACTCTGCCCATTGTTTACTAGTACCCACATCACGCCTCACGCATGGGGTTGTTCCTTGAGCAATCCCATTCACCGAGTCCACATATGGAAGCCACCGGCTCTGTTTGATGCTGGTAAGTTGTAACGAAAGCATTTCCCTCGGCATTCGGCAGAATGGTGCTGACAAGAAAACTGGTAATCTAGATCCTCGACGTAGAGCAAGAGTACCTAAATAGATTAGTGCCGGCGAGAATACTTCTCTATGTCGTGTGATCGCTCGCATGGCAGACTCGTGGGCAACAACAGTGGTGGGAATCAACGTTGGCGGCCACATATGGCGGGGTCGACCGAGTGGGTCCAGCGGGGTCGTCTTCTTTCTTCTTCTCCTTCTTTTTTCTCGCTCATCATCTACTGAAAAGACCACCAACCCTCATATCTCCTCTTTCTTCTATGTGTGCTCTCTCTCGATCTCACCTCCGGCCTGGAGCGGTGTTGGCACAAAAGCCGTCTGTAAACCCACAGCGTGAGATGGAAGAGTCACCTAGATGCTTCGATGGCGGGCAGCAACTCGTCGCTGTTCTTATCCGTCGCGGGGTGGTACCCACCACTTTATATTTTTCGAATTCAAGTTTCCATCACCAAAAAACCCCCGCGTGGTCTAGTTGTCAACTACCTAGGCCATGCAATCGGCGAGGGGAGTCGAGGAAACCTCTGAGTTCAGCCCAGGGTGAAAGCCTCTGCTCTTGGGGTTTCCAAGCTACCCACATGGGTGGTGATGGTTTTTGTTTTTGTTGTGACGAGCGGGGCACGCGGTATCACTCTCTCCACTCCTGCACTGCCGGCTGTACAGGCCAGAATCCCTACGATGAACTTCATCATTGAGGGAATGGATGAAGCAAAACGTATGACAAGGAGTCCAAATAATCCTATCGAGGTAAGACGATACAAGAGACAGGTTCAAGGCGAAAAACAGGCTATCCGCGGAGCTGAGGCAAACGGAAGTACCTAGGCCCAAGATTCTTTCCCTAGGCGTGAAAATTTAGCAGGACCTCGACCATTAGGGCGACGGCGGTGGATCAACAAAATAATCCGATCACCGGGTCAGAGAGGTCAGGGGTGAGGTTGAACGGCGGCCACGGAAAGGGCAGCAGAAAGGGAGTGAAATAGGGAGGAGAGTCTTCCGCTGTTTCTTTACTAGGCCATGATCTCTTCCTCGATAATATATTGGGAGATAGTAAGGATGAAGAGAAGGATCAGGAAGTGGCGAACCCGAGGGAAGATATATAGAGATAAGTTGCTGGACCGGCTGGTGGTAGCCTCGAGCAGAGTATTATCTCCTGGTAGCATGGAAGCCAGCACCTCGGCATCGAAACAGACGATGCCGCAGCGTAAGATGGAGGAAACATGCATGCGCTCGGTGGTTGTTAATGTCTATTGCGGGGTACCCACCACTTCATATTTTTCGAATCCAAATCCCAAGGTGAAAGCCTCTGCTATTGGGGTTTCCAATCCACCCACATGGGTGGTGAAGGTTTTTGTTTTTTGGAGGGATGGGTCGAGCACGGTGTCACTCGGTAACAAATACCACGTGACACGCTTTTCTGCTCCTCGTGGGAAAATATGGGCGGACAACCGAATCACTCATAAGAAGTACCGGTACAGTCGGAAATCCGGCCAGCGTCCTGACCCAAATCCGGAGATGGCCCCCAAGCGCCTCGCCTCGAGAGTTTACCAACTCAAGACAGGACACTGCCTCGCCGACCAGTACCTCCAGTGGACCAAGAGCCGCCCGGATGCCCGCTGCGGCTGGTGCCGCTACAAGACACAGACTCGGGAGCACCTCTTCAGAAATTCCCCTGAATGGAAAAGTCAGCAAAAGACTCTCTGGGCAGAAGTCCGGAAGCAGACAAGGAGGGGCAAAGACCGCTTCAAACTCCGGGACCTCTTCGCAGACGAGCGATGCAGCAAGGCCATTCTAGAGTTCCTCTCCACCACCGATGTGGGCAGACGAATGCCAGAAGCCGATGAGGAAGATGCAGTAAGTGAGGAATCCGAGTGGGAGCTCAGGGAGCGGGAAGAGAGAGCGGAGCTGAGGCGACTCGAGGAGGAGGAGGGGGTGCCGAAGCTGAGGAGCTCAGCGACGCAGAATAGCGGACTAGAAAGTTGCGGTGGAGGTGGGACGACTCGAGGGCGCGGGAGCGAGAGCGAGTACGGGTGCGGGGTGCACGGGGGGGGCACGTGTAGATGATATTGCCTTGATCTAGATAGGTCGCACGCAATCAATGAATGAACCAAAAAAAAGAACCTCGTGGGAAAAGAAGAGGAGAGACCCGGCCATGATATCCTCAGTGATCGGTGGAGTAGTATGTCGATTGGTCACTGCCACAAGTCCCTACGCGACTCGCCGCCAAATAGGGATACACTTCCGGCGACATACTGGCTCTTGACACCCTACCCTTGTCAAGGCGGAAATTCCTGGGCTACGCGGCAGCCAATGCTTCCGGTGTCAAGCCAGCAGATATTCCGCTCGCTCATGGCTAGATGAAAGTGATCACTCAGCTTGCGCAACGGACGGTTTTCCAGCCCAAACTCCAAAGAGCATTACGGTAGTTATCGAATCGACTGAGCTGCAATCATAAGTAATCACGCTCATCCACCAGCACCAGCGGTTCAAGCGCGAGTTATAAGTTATCTATCACTCGCAAAAAAAAAGATCCCTCATCCCCCGAATCGGGGCTTATGCTTCTCGTGCGCATCTATCCGCCGTGCGAGCTCCACCCCCCAGATCCAAGATCCAAGACGCGTTTCCCCGACCCACGACCCACGACCCACGAACGAGGAAGGAATCGCGCTTCTTGCAGCCATACCGATTGATTCAAACCGTGACAGCGGGAGAACCCACATCTCCCGAGTTCGCAAAAAAGCCAGAACGCCAGTTGCGCCAGTGACGCCATACGGGAAGCAAGATTCCAGTTCCAGTTTTCAATCCACGCCCAACGTCCCGACGGCGCACAGAGCCACAGCCTCTGGTTGAAACGCAGAGTACTGATACATACGCCCTCCCCTCGCTCGCCGCCAACGTTCTCAACATTGGACACTCCCATTCCCACTCCAATTCCCTTCCGCCGCGCTCACTCCCGCGACGCGATGTAGGAGTTGTCACTGCGTTACTCTACACGGTCCGCCGCACACCGGCGAAAGCACCTGTCCCTCACCAGCAGTAAAACAGAAAAGCTCCACTCCCGCAAGCCGATCACCCAGCCGATTACCCATTCAGCAGAGTATTAATCAGGTGCCCGTATCACCTCACACTCGCAGATCTCACTCACAGATCCCACAAACCTCGCAGATCTCACAGATCTCACAGATCTCACTCGGATGTCAGCCGGCGCCGGCTAATCTCAACTTTCGAGGATTTAACCGGGCCAGCCCACCCGCCCGCCCGGCCGTCAGACCGGGCCGGCGCCGGCGTCGGCACGGAGACCACCTGTTCTTTCCTCTTCTTTCTTTCTTTTTTTTTCCTTTCCTTTTTTTTCTTCTTTTTCCCCTTGGATCTTTCAGGGTTTCTCTTTTTTTTTCATTTCTTTTTTTTGTTGTGTGTTCTCGCGAGTCGCGACTGCGCGACTTCGCGACGTCGGTGGCGACTCACGGCTTTGCTGGCGCGACGTGAGTGGCGACGCGACTCACGACTTTGCTCGCGACTCGCGACTTTGCCGGCGACTCACGACTTTGCTCACGACTCGCGAGACTTGTGTGGCGAGACTTGTGACTTGTAACTTGTGCCCACCAACTGCTATTCCGGTACGACACTCGTCGACCGACCGGTCGCCATCGCCATCGCCATCGCCTGCGGGTACTCTAACTATCCGTTGACGTTGACGTTGACGTTGACGTTGGCAGTTCTGGTATCTGCTACCTATGTAGGCACGCGATGCGAAGCTGCGCGATGCGACTGCTCGACGCGTGGAATCTGGTCCCTGGAACCATTGGAAATCATTGGATCGGTAGGTGCGCAACCGTCGCAACGGCGCATCGGTGGGGGGGTTGGGTGGGTGGATACAGATCTGCATACATGCGCGTACAGCCGCTGCACAGCAGAGTTGACAGTGGTGGTGGTGGAGGTGGGTGGAGAGGAGTGGAGAGGAGTGGAGAGGAGTGGAGAGGAGTGGAGAGGAGTGGAGTGGTGTCACAGATGACGTTGCGAGGCATTGAATTGCGATGTCGCAAGTTGCAAGTTACCAATAGGTGGAACTATTATCGGATAGTTTGTACTGTGAAGCAGTATGCACTCAAGATTGGTACCCTCGGTATTCTCAGTATTCTAGGTGTTATGTAGTAACTATCGTGGATGAACCAAGGCATCATCGCTCAGACAAAGCATCTGTCTATCTATCTATCGATCGGATCGCGCCCCAACTCCCGCGGTGAAACAAGCAAAAGGAATATCTAGCACAAAGTACGAAAAACAAAACCCATCTCTAAGCCATTATGCCGAAACCGCAACCACCCACGCCTGCTCGACCGCGCGCCCCTCCGTCACCACCGCCTCCGTGCCCACATTCCCCTCCACCACCTCCACCTGCTGCTCAACCGGCCACCCCCCCGCGGGCACACCATCATCATTAACCACCTCCACATCCGCGCCCGCGACGACCAGCATCTCCTTCACGTCCTCAAACCCCGCAAAAGTGGCCCAATGCAGCGGCGTCCAGCCATGCGCGTCCTGCGCATCGAGCTTAACATTCTGCCCCCACAGCAGCAGGGCGACAATCTCCGTGCGCCCCGCGCGCGCCGCATGGTGCAGCGGCGTGCTGCCGTCTGCGTCCGCAGTCCCCGGCTTCGCGCCCGCGGACTGGAGGAGTGATAGGATCTCGTGTGAGCCTGCGGCCGCCGCGGCGCACAGGGCGCTGCTGAGGACGCTGTGAGGGGGCGTGGGAGACAGCAGGAGCGAGGCGACGGAGGTCTGTCCTGCGCCGGAGGCCGCGATGAGCGCTTTGCCGATGGAGGCCGCGGAGGTGGGCAGGAGCAAAGAGACGGCACTGAGGTGTCCGCGTCGCGCGGCGACGGTCAGGGGAGTCTCTGAGGCGAAGCGGCGGACGGGCTCGACAGTGCCCCGGGAGAGGAGCAGCTGGAGGGTCGCCAGCGCGCCGGATTCGGCCGCGCGGTAGAGGGGCGTGTGCTTGCGGCTGTCTAGGGTGGTTGCCGGGAGCAAGGTGAGGAGGTGCGAGAGGAGCGCGGGGTGGTTGCGGGAGGCGGCGAGGTGTAGCAGTGTCGGCTGCTTGGTCACTAGGCTGGGTGCGATGGCGGTGATGGAGGCGGTCAGGCTGGGGGAGATCGAGAGGAAGTCGGCGAGGGAGGGGAGGTCGAGGTTCTCCAGCACCAGAAGCACGAGCTCGAGGGGGAGGGAGAGGAGCATGGCGATGTTGTTTGTGTGTTTGTGTATGTGGTGTAGTGTCTTGTTCTTTGTTGCGTATCGAGTCTTGTTGATTGTCCGTGCAGCTTTGTAGATACTGCGGAGTGCTGTGTAGTAATAGTATTGATGTTGGACTCTTTGTCGTTGAAGTGCGAAAGATGTGCGGCGTGATGGAAGTGAATGTGCATTCCGAGGTGGACGGCGCCCCGCCGTTATAAACGTTCAGACCTCAGCAAAGCACAGGCCACGACATGTCGAGCTCACCAACCACCACCACCAACCACCTCCGCATCCCCATACTCCGTCGAGCCCTGTCGTGCCCTGCCGAGAAAAAAATCGAGAGGCGAGGCGGCACCGTTTCGGCCGGCCCAGATCTGGCGCCATCTCAAGGTGGAAGAAAGAAAGAAAGAAAAAAAGGAAGCTTCAACGGAAGGAAGGGCACGGATGTTTGGACCCCTCCCCCCCCCCCCTCCCCCCTCCCCCCTCCCCCCCCCCTCCCCCCGGGTTTGCGCAGGGACTAAAGGAATCGCCTATGAATCTGCCACTAGTCTACTCCGTAGCACCGGGCGGCCGCAATCCGAAGCCTGCCCTCGTCTGGTCCGCGAGGAGGAGCTAGACAAGGCAAGTGCTGGAGCCGGCGGAACGAGACTCTCGTGTTTTTCGAGGCCGGTCGGTCAGTTATCGCCGAGCAGGTGGCGGTTATGCACTCACTCGCGACAGGCAGTTGCCTACGAGCAGCGTGGTCGTTCCGGCGTTGACCGTGTCGTCATGAGATATGCATATGTATCTTCACGTCTCGGGGGGTCACGGACGGGCCAGGTGTCAGTTTTAGAATTTTGCCGCGTGCGCAGCCGTTGAGCCGAATGGCGAACGGCGAGGGCCAGATCCTGTCCGTGCCTTACCGCCCCCACCACGGCCCCTATCGTGGAAATCCCCCAGACCCGTCGCGTCTCGTGAGGTTTTCCGATTCCGGGAATGTCACGATGTCCGCTCGCGACAGCTGTTGTCGTGCGCGTTCGTCTCGTCTGTCTCGTCTTTTGTTGTTCCCCGTCCCGGTCCCCGTCCCATTCCCCGTCTCCGTCCCCTGCCGATCGATCATCCCTACTCTACATACATGAGTCCCTAGTCCCGCTGCGTCGGGTCGATGTCGAAAACACATTCACACCACACACACAGGCGCCCACCACGCACACAGGCGCCCACCACACACACACACACACATCTAGAAAGAGATGCGGGATGACGGAGGCGACACTTTCTCTTTCTATTTTGCCCCTCCCCTCTCTCCATATGTAGTACACACATCAGACGGAGCTCAGCTTCCTTCCTTCTCGAACTTTGAGCACATGAGCACATATCAGCGGCGACGACGATAATGCTATGTATGCGAACTGTGCGAACTATGCGGCGCGCTCTGTACCGGCATTCCATGCTAAGGAAGATGCTCGAAACTACTTGAGAGTGACAACTCAGCCACTAGGAAACGAGAGCATGTACCGACGACTCTGGACTTCTTTTTTTGTTTCGTGGTACTATATTCGATGTATCTAGTGCTGGTGGTGGTGGTGGTGGTGGTGGTGCTGCTGGTGGTGGTGGTGGTGCTGCTGGTGGTGGTGGTGGTGGTGCTGGTGGTGGTGGTGGTGATACAGCGCAGGAACCGGAACGAACGAACGAGGCGGAGAGGGTATTTCCGTCGTCGGGATTGCAGGTGGGGACACAGCGTCAACCGCCGATAGGGACTGTATGGTATCTACGGTATGTATCTCCATGCTCGATATCTTCATGCCCGATATCTTCATGCGCGCATGCGGGATAGATGAAGAAGAAGCAGAAGAAGAACAAAAGAAAAGAAAAAAGGAAGCAGAGAAGCAGAGAAGCAGAGAAGCAGAGAAGCAGAGAAGGAACGGCCGTTGTGCGACTCCACCTCGCTACTTCACTTCACTTCACTTCGCTCCGCTCCTTTCCCCGTATCTTTCCCGTCCGTCGCTGGTCTCGGTGGATGGCTTCGTCAGTGGCGGCGATACCGTCATGCGCGCATGCGGACTACTGCTGCTCTTGATACTCTAGATGACGAAGAATGGAAACCCAAGAAGGCGAGAAGCATCGAAAATTTTACCCCACTGCCTACTTTCTGCTAGTTGGTACTCTAGATACTTTACTTGACTTCAATCTGCATAGATATTTCCTCAGACGCTGGAGGTTTTCGTCGGTGGCGGCGCGCGGAAGCAAACGAGCGACCGAGAAATTTTTCTCATTTTTCTTCACGCTCGGGAATAACCGCTCATCCCCACCCACCGTGACGGAAGTAAAACCTCCGAAACTCTATTGCTCAGCCCGCCGGCTGCGAAAACAAAAGTTATGTACTCTGGGTACCGGTAGTTACTGTGGAACAAAACACAACATCGTGTGATCCGGCGTCGTGTTCGGCGTCGGTTGCCCGCGCCCGAACGAGCTGACACATCTAGAGTACGCATCTGAACACATCCATCTGCAAGGCAGTTACATATGAGAGTTAAGGTACGCCGGCGACAGGATTGGATGACTTCGATCGAAGGTCGAGCACGGGTAAGGCAGGCAGGCAGGCACCCAGCATCACCCAGTCGCTACCGAGAAGAGAACGGGAGAAGGGGGCTGCGGGGCCTGCCGGGGCCTGCGGCGGCGTACAGGACTCCGCAGAGGCGCACGGCGCCAGGGCTCCCCTCAGGGGGCGGGTAATTGGGGCGGGTAAACTGGTATCACGAGAGGAGACTCACGAGAGGAGAGGAGGGGAGAGGAGTTGCAACTTCCAACGCGGCGAGTGTGGGCCTATTGTTTGCATGTCACCTGTGCCTTGCCCCGCAGTGCGCACTGTCAAAGGCTGTACTTACCCCAGGCAGAGCACCTATCTACCGTATTGGTCGCGGAGGTTTCATGGTTTCGCGGCTACCATCGGCCGATTCCATTCGATCTCGTTGGCCGTGCCAGTCTGCTAGATGATCACGGCGGACAGGCAGCATCGTTGTTTTCGCCGTCGTTGTTGAACGAGACTCGCATCCGCCCTGCGATTATCACATGGTGGATGCATACCTCGCACCGTGATGTGCATCGCACACGTCCATGCAGCGCATTCGGCCGCTAGCCTTGTCGGAAGCACGAGCTGTCACTCTGGAGCCTGCATGCGCCGTCACAGTGAGTGGGTTCAGTGGGTTCCATGCGAGCCGCCGCTCGCTCGCGGCGAGCGGGGACGGGGGACGGGGGACGGGGCACGGGGGGACGGGCGGACGGGGGGGCGGGGGAGATGGGCGGACCCCTTTTCCTCGCACCACCAACCACCGCGAACCACCCTCCTGCTCCTCCTGCATTCATGCTCTCTTGCATTCCTTTCGCGTCGACGTGGACGTCTCGGCTATGCAGCGACAAAGAAGACGAGACAACACGAGAGACGGGACGAGACCCGTCCGCCCCAACATCTGCGGCCAACATCTGCGGCCAGCCTCCCTCCCTCCCTCCCGTCCTTTAGCTTTACATAGCACGCGCGCGAAAACCAGCCTTCTCTGCTGCTCTCTATCGTGCCTATCACTTGCACCAGTGGATATCGTAGCTTATGTTAGTCCACGGAACGGAACAGGCCCGTGGGCGCGCTTGGATGTCGATCCCCCAGCTACCGTCGTTAGCAGCGGTCTAGCAGCGGTCTAGCATCGTTCTGGCGTCGGTCTAGCATCCAGCCTAGCAGAGATTTCTTGGTTCGAAGTTCCAACTTCGAAACTCGGACTTCGAACTTCGAACCTTCGAGGCTGGGGCTGGGCCGCTGGTGCTGGGGCTGGGGCTGGGGTGGGCCGCGCTGGGGCTGGGGCACCGGACACGGACTAATCCCCGCCCCGCAGTCCGGGCTCGGGCTCGGGGTAGGGATAGGGGCCGGGGCCGGGCGGACCCTGAAGTCCGTGCCAGCTGGCCAGTTGCGTGCTCGCCGATTTTCGGACGCGACGCCACGCGGCGCGGTCGGGCGAGTGAGGGTGCGTGCTTGCTCACGGTGTTGACTAGAATCCCATGCCAGGTATGTTATGTAGAGTACGAACATACCTATATCGACGTGCTGGAAGTACATGGGAGTTTGAAGGGTGAGCTGAGAGCTCGGGAAAAAACGGCTTTGAACTCTCAATCGATTTGCATGCAGACGTCACGGCACGTCGCGGTGGAGTTGAGAATGGGAATGAGAATGGGAAATGGCTTCGCGGAGCATAGGTTACCTCCGGTCTTGCCATGTATCAGTAGTAACACATGCACTGTACAGAGCACCCCGAGGGCCCGACCAGCAATTCGCAAACTTTTAACTCCCGTCCGGCATCCACCATGCCAAGTTGTTAACCCTTCCCGCCCTGTACTTATGTACACGACACCTGCGCCGACCGGTAGCTCCCTATGTAGTATATAACAGGTAGCGTTTGCCTCTACACGGAAGGAACGCACGGAAGGAACGGTCGGGGATTACCCTGAAGGCTGAGCCCGGCTGCCAGGCTAAGGGCTGTCACTAGAGTACTGTGAGTCTGTGAGTATGTACATATGCACCCATAGTCCAGTCTGAGCATGGCGAGTTGCGCCCCTAGTATATAGTGCTTCTGTACACAGGGACCGTGTTTTTTCGAGACTGGCAGTCGACAGTGGACGGGTAGGTATCCTCGATCGACGACGCGAAGAGCTAAGCCTTCGGCGCATGGGAAAAATCCAATGAAGTTCCGAGAACGCTGGCGTAGGTAGGTATGTACATGAGAATGTAATTCGTAGCCGTGTGCGATGTACGGCGGCAACGTAAAAGAAACAGGACTAGATACCGGCTCGGGTGTGAGTGGTGAAAGTGGAGGTGCAAGTGATGAACGAGAATACATTTGCTCTGCCAGCAAATTCAGCTGCCAGCGACGTACCGCCTGGTGGCAGGGGCTAATCCGCAAGCTATGGTACTTCAAACAGAAGATATTGTGGCGGTCAGTACTCGTACTTTCTCTTCTCTTCTCCACAGCCAGCAGAAGGGGCAAGGGGTGTCACGTGATACTACCCGAGTGATATCTTGTGCTCTCACCTCATGCCAAAAACAAAAACAAAACCATCACCACCCCGGTGGGTGGTTTGGAAACCCCAAGAGCAGAGGCTTTCACCCTGGGTTGAGCCCAGAGCTTTCCTCGACTCCTCTCGCCGATTGCATGGCCTAGGTAGTTGACCACTAGACCACGCGGGGGTTTTTTCGTGCTGGATACTTCACTTCGAAAAACATAAAGTGGTGGGTGCTCCGCGCTGGACAAGAACAGCTACGACGAAGTGTCGCCAGCCAGATTGGAGCGTTTTGATGATTCTTCCATCTCACGGTCTCTGTTCCACAGATACAATAAGGTAATGCCCCAATCGGCCATCCTGTCGACAGAGGGCCAGCAGAACATCACGGAACGCAAATTACCGGTCCAAATATCTCTGACGGAAGCATGGCGATACCTACACAAATGTAATGCCACATCCCAAAAGAACAAAAACCCACAGCAAGAGCCGTACGTAGACCCATCATGAATTCATTGCGATAAACGATGTGGAAGCCCGTATCGCAAAACCCGGACAAAGAAAGAAACCCACGCACTCGCATTGCCACACAACAAAAGATAAGGAAACGCCACAAGATAATTCTATGCTAACATCCCCGTTCGGAAATAACCCCCTCGTCAACGGCCTTCCCTGGGACCTGCGCCTGCATTCGCTCCTCCTTCCTCACATACATCAGTTTTGCGCTAGGAGTAGCCCGTCCTAATAACCGTGTATGTTTCTCGGTGGGAGTGTCATCGGTGACAGAAGAACTCCAAAAACAAAGAATAGCTTCCAACTCGCTTTCCTCGATTCACCAGGCGCTCCAATCACCATCTTCGTCTTTCGTCCGGGAGAGTTGAAGGCTGGTTAATTCCTCGCTCGGCTCTTTGGTGCCCACTAGAACTTTCAACACCCAGTCGAACTTTGGGGACTCTTGTAGATCATGGTCCCGGGTCATCGTATTATGAACCTCTTGCATCGTCCTTTCAGTTGCCTCCTTCAATTGATGGACCACGCCTCGGATCTCAAGGTTCCAATCGCGAGCAAGCTTGGCATGTTCCTATGCGCCTATGTCATCGAAACGAGCACCACCGAAGCCACATGGGGCCTCACAAGTTCCCAGGTTGCCAGTGTCATCTGGCTTCAACAGGGCGGGCAAACAGTCGCCGATCAGCTGTTCGAGCCATTCGCACGAATTCGGGAGAGCGCCGATATCACGACGTCGCGAAAATTGGAAAAACCGCTAACATATCTGGTGAACGTTGCCGTTGGAACTGCATTTTTTGGATTTGTCCTTCAATTCGTGGGGCTGCGTGCATTGCATCCATCAGTTATCGTGGCACAGCTAGGAGCCACGTTGATCGTGACTGCTGTCCGCGCATGCGCACATATTCGGCGGGACAGATCCAACGAAATCAAAAATACCAAACGAGAGACTGGAAAAGAGTTGGATTGGCTCGCGAAGAGGCTTGGAAACTGCGATAGCTGGACCGTGTCGACTGGTCTGAGCAAGGATAGCTATTTCGCTCCTCTGGCCGCACTGCAAGCTCCTCCGTCCCCACTGGAAGCTCCTCCGGCCGCACCACAAGCCCCTCGGTTCTCCGAAACGTCGTCGAGCACAGCAACGAATGTCATGAAAACTCGTGCGCGGCTAGCCTACTGCAAGGGATACCGTTCCAACGACATAGAGAGGGAAAGCGTGGTCTGCGGTTTTCTGGTTTGTCGCTGATACTGGAAATCGGCCCTGGACGACTTTGGAATATATCAAGACCCCTAATTGTAGGACAATTCCGATGATCGCAAGCCCCCACAGGATGGATTGGTCGAGACGTTTCAGACTAACATTTAACCCGAGGTTTGGAGCATCGTTCGCGGTTGGCCCAAGCGCAAACTCGAGGAGATTGTCGTCTTCCGGGGATTTACGGATGTAAATGCCCTTTTCAATCGCTTCCGGTAATGTATAGAGCTCGGCCTTGCTGGTTGGCGTATGTGTTTCCGGAAAATAAATGAGCTGGAGCAGGGCCGGTTTCCCAAGAACCCTGACAACGCCTTCACCGTTCCACAACTCGCACACGTCCGTTGATACAGAGGACATCAAGTCGGCTTCCACAGTACCACGACTTTCTTTCGCTCGACCGATAAGTGACCGCAACTTTGGGCCCTCCCTCCCACTCGGACGGCCCCCACCATCGCGGTGATGATGCCCAGAGGCGCCAGTGCGAATATCAGGTTGTCGATCCAGCCAAACGAGTCTCCCAGATACTGCTTGGTCACCTGCTCCCCGAACAGCATGATTAACGGTGCCAAGTCGATGCCGAGGTTGTTGGCGAAGTCATCCCATCCGACAGCACTGACATGTCCGACGGCAAACATCATCACTATGATAATGGTTTGTAGGTGGCCCTTAGGCGAAGTGGGGGTGGAAGATGGCCGGGGCCGAGGCTGAAACGTCGAAACGGAAATCCTTTTCGCGTCGTCGACGCCTATCCCTCGAGTTAGCAAAAGGGAATCAAGGAATTTTTGCGCGAAATGCTTACAGCATCTTCCTCTATCCATATCCTCAAGACGTGGGTATCCCGCGAGTGGTCGGTCAATAGCCATTCGTCGTGGATCACCCGTGAAGGGTATGGACTGAGGAGTAAATCGAAAGCCGTGCCTCGGATAATTCCTGGAGCACTTTTCGCGTTGTCTTGCTCCTAATGAACGGATCGATGGTGGTGGAGATCACGGGGTGGAAGGATGAGAGAAGTGGTGTGTTTGTGTCTAGGAGCTCTAGCTACGAGAGAAGGAGGAAGAGAGACATAAATACAGAGCTTCGACCCGCTACCGACCAAATGTCGCCAGAGCCTTCCACCACAAGTCCACCGACCGGCTAGTGGGTTACTCACTGGAACTCACTAGTTCCTACAGCTCCTCGGGCCGCATCTAGGTAGAAAGAACCGCAAAGCTTGACGCCGTACCGCGCCTCGTGGCTTCGGCAATCGCCACTTTCGATACCACGCAGACACAAGGTGAATAAGGTATCAAGATATCCAGCCCTCGCTGACTTCGCTTTCTGTTCGGGTATCTCGGCAGAGGACAGGCAATCTAACAACCATCAATCCACGTTCCCACAGTCCCAGTCCCAGATAGTAAAGTTAAACCCACGATGCCGTGTAGAAGGACAAGCGGTTGGTAGTCCTTTTATCGCCGCTGAACGCTGTCACCACAAGTATTCGGAGCAAGTTGTGTACGAGAGCTAGCGGAACTGTTGCGCGTGCAGAGGTTTCCCGAGTATTTCGAATATTCGAAAAGTCGATATATCGGGTGCGGCTTGGAGTGGTAGAATGATTCCTACAAAGGTTGGTGGCGGTTTGGACGTGTAGATGGGTGATAACGCGTGTGATATCGTGAATCTGCAATTTTGTCTTTTGTCGCCACGTGTGTTCCAGCTCGACCTAGATGTCCTGACTGCGTTCATAGTGCACATACTGTCTATTCGCCGGAGAGGCGGAATACGAAACTTGACGAATCGGCATCGAGATCTGGAGCCACTTGTCATGGCCGTGTCTCACTTTAGGCAATCACTCATCAGCAACGCGAAGTTCATGCCATTGGCCGGTAGACCCATTTGCAAGAAGACGACGGGTTTGAAGTTGCTCACTCTGTTCCACAGCGAGTGTTCACTGCATTCCGCTGCGCCTCCCCTCTTCACCCTCCAGTAGCCCATGGGCCATACCTTCCCATGGTCCACCACTCTCTCCCGGGACGCCGAGTAGCTAGTCCCTCTTACCACAAGCTCTGTCGTCCTCCTCCCTCCACCTCCACTTGCGTTCCACGGCTCTGTTCCGCGCCACGTCTGCGGATATGCTCTTTGCATCGTGGCCAGGCCTGGTCGTGGCTGTGTTGATGGCAGGACTGACAACCCGTCACCCTGTTCTACAAACACTCGCTCATCCAACAATGATGTGGCCATGTTGTAGAAGCAGAGCTCGCGGACAGGCAGACCTCGAGGCTTCACAGAAAGAGAGGGAGTTTCGCGATGGACCATCATATTTCAGAAGAAGAAGTTTGATGCTACATAAAGGTAGATACATGTTAAAGGTGATGGTCCTCTCGCAGGGCGAGAGCTCCTGGCCAATAGCTCGATGCCAAGGCGCTAAACGTTACCCATGACAAGCACGTCACAGGCCCTTGAAAGGCCCGGTCATCTGGGTCAGCAACAACCTCCATCAGCTGCCCCAGATTCTCACATACCCGAGGGATTTTGAAATATGTTTCGTCTATTCTTTTGATTTATTTGTCTCGTTACTTTTCCGACCCGAACCTGATACCAGACGTTGAGCCGGGAACCCTAACCCAACAACAGGGACAACTCAAGTACCTGCTTCCTTATGCAGAGTCATGCAGGGCTGCTACCGTACCTGTTGCTGAGGGGCGCGGAGGCAGAGGCGGCTTGGTGTCATCGGTGAGTGCCAAAGAGAGGAGACATTATTGAGACCTGGTGGGACCCGATCCAGACCCGATCAAGACCGAATGCCGTCATTCAACGTTTATCTCTCTCTGTTGTCACTACTTCTGTCTTCCTGTGGTCGGTCTCTGGTCATCATCAGATCATCACCTTGTACATATCATCATCATCGCACTTAGATTCCTTTCTTGAATTAATCACGATTTTGAACCTTCACCTATGGATCCGAGCCCAGAACTACCCAGATCGTAGCCGACAAACGGCAATTCGACGTCGACATCTTCGAAAGCTGGACGCAACCCCCCCCCCCCCCCCCCCCCCCCCCCCCCCCTCCACACACGGGAGTCGGGCTTCTCGGCGCAGAGGTGCTTCCATACCTACCCGACACGTCGATGCTATATGCGTGGAGACGCATAGCAATCCCCGGACGCTGGACCTGCGGGCCGAGATCTCATACGTACGTTGAATTCTTCTGTGCAGGTGTCGCCGGGTTGTCGCGTTGCCGGCCCATGGTCGATCGATGCCTGGTGGGCCCGTCCCGGCGCTTCCCAGCACTGTGGAGTCGGAACATGCAGTCTCCCCTACCGTACCAATAATCAGGAAAACGCCGACATCATCGGTCTCCCGGAAGCATCGAAGCCAGTGCACGTGCCCCGGAGTATCGAAACAGGCGACACCGCAGTGTGAGATGGAAGAACCACGTAGAGGCTTCGATCCGGCCGCTGGCGAACGGCATCTCGTCGCTGTTCCTGGTCCGTCGCTTTGCGGGGGGGTGGAGGGGGGGCACACACCACTTTATATTTGTAAAATGCATATTTCTAGCACGGCAAAAATCCCACGTGGCCTTGTCGGCTAGGCCACCGCTCTACGCAGAGAGCTCGCGGCTCGACTCCCTGGAAAACAGGGGTTTCCAAGCCACCCACCGGAGGTGGTGAAGGTTTTTATTTTTGACTTGACGGGTGGAGCACGGTATATCACTCGGTAGTGTCACGTTTTCCCTATGCGCTGCTGGTGTTTTTGTACTTTTAACATGTATTATTCCATTCAACCTTGGTAGATCATGGCAGGTTACATAACTGTTTCTACCCAGCCGTCAGCGACCGCCGGCCGCCAGCTCGATACCGCTCCTTACCGATCACGCCACGGTCCCAGGAATCCCACACGACTGGCGATCCGTTGCCGCAGCACGAAGTTGGCAGCAGTCAGCACTCAGCAGTCAGCATTCTTTCGTCGTTCGCCTTTGCGGCATTGAATGCATACGTCCTTAAAACCCCAGCGGTATCCGATCGAAGTTCGAACTTGTGGTATCAACGGAAAGAACGACCCTAATGGGCTGGGTATCGGGAACATCGGTGTTTACCTGCAAGGTTTGATCTAGATACCTACTTGAAGCCCCGGCCGCAGTCGAAGCCAACGCCGAAACTGAATGACGATGCGGAATCAAGACCGCATACGGAGCCGGGGCCCGGAAGCCGGGGACGACGAAGTGGCAATCCCCAAGTACTTTTACAGATTCTGTGCATAACCGCCAGATTCTTCGCCGTGGTCTACCGTAATCATCGGTGAATATGGCTTTCGCCGTATTTTCCGTCGAGTTCATGAAATCGCAGAACGAGATGACGATTCCAGACCGTAGTATTACACCAACGATGCGAATGATCCGCGTATGTATGCGAGGCGGTGGGCTAGGTACTCTACCCTACCTACCAGGTACTGCAGCGAGATTACGGCGTAACAGGAAGCGAGCATCTACTCCATCCAACATGGGTTTATATCGGCTTATGCTACCAGTATGGCTTAAGCATATGACAGACTCGCTCAGCATTTGCCTTGAACTGCCAAAATGAGGCCACAAGTGATTCCAGTGCAAATTCCCCGCAAGTGCCTCTTCCACAGCCACCCCGCTTTCTGTGCCAGAGTCCGGGGCAGCCAGAGGGAAAAAAGGTTAAATCCTGCAGAGACCGCAGGCTCGCCCAAGCCCCCACATTGCACAGCGTCTCGGCGGTGGGAGCTCGTATTCCATCCCTCGCTTACGCTTGTCGTAAAGTTACACCGCACGTCAGTCCGCTAGCGTGGCTGGTATGCACGCAACTTCGCTTAGGTCTCCTGTTCGGGTTGCTTCCTGTGCCCAGTACGGGCCGTACGGAGAAGTACCGAGGTCGGCGAAGGTCCATGGCCGTGTCCACCTAGTCCATATCGCTGCGCACGCCAACAAAGCGCTTGTCTCGACTGCGCATCCTGCAGCTACCTGTATTTGCGGCGCAGGTACACTACAAGGCGTCTCTCGACGTGGCCAATCAATGCGGAGACGAAACACGATGTTGGCATGCAGCAAATACCTGGTGTAACACTGTAACTACCCCGAGGCCTCCGGTTAAAAGTGGCCGAGTATGTAAGTACTTAAGGCGTGCCATTCGCCGTCGATCCTGTCGCCTGCTGTCTTGTACGTTCAGCTCGGCATAAACGAATTTCCAGAAAGACACTATCGGCTTCACCGGCGCGACTACAAGCAAGCACGCTTCGGACGATTGTACGTGGTCCAGGATTTCGAGCTCACTTAGGTACTCCGACGTCCCGCGATCGACCATGACCTTCCGTGATACCCATCTAGCGCTGGGTGCCATTCTGTTGTCTCTCGCTGTCACGGTCTCGAATGCCGAGATATTCAACGGCACTGCGGTAGTACCAGACCGGCAACTTTGCGGAATCGAAGGCAACGGAATCTATGGGCTAGGGGTCAGGACTAGCGCGTATCTTCTTGGTTCGTTCCGATCCACTGCCGACTGTGCGTACTGCCAGGAAGTGCTGACGAGTACGATCAGGCCTATCATCGACCATCGCCTTCGCGTACGAGCAGGAATCGGCATGGACCATCGGAGTAGCCAACACGTTCTTCGGCGCCGGCATGTTCATCGCGACGCTCCACAACACCCGCAGCAATCGCGACTTCGGCGTCGCCGAGGCGGCGATCATGATCGCGCTCAGTGCGACATGTATGGCGGCATCATCAAAGCTCCCGCGCTTCGCCTCCCTCGCCAACTCGAACTCGCAGGATCTGCGACTGCAGCTGCTGGTTCTCTTCACCGCGCTCAACATGCTCGGTCTCCTCCTGGAGACCGCCACAATGGGATACTCGGTGTGGTACTGGTTCGGCGGCATGGACCGGCTGGTGCGCGCGGCGCCGTGCACAGCGCACGGCTTCTTCTTCTTTCCCGTAGACCTGTTCGGCTGGTTCCGCACACTCATGAAGCTGCTGTACATCGTCGGCTTCGTGTGGGTAGCCGTCGCGCTGGTTCTCGGGTGCACGGCTGGCCTGTTCGGCGTGTTCTTCTACTGGGCGTTCCACTCGACGCCGGAATCCGCCCCAGGCACACCCACCACAACCACGGCCTCGCCCGAACCCGAGCCTACCTTCCACTTCGCCGAATCCGAGCCGCTGCTGCAAGGTCACCCACTCTGCGCCCGGGTGCTCGAGGACGGCGAGTACGACCCCGAGCTCGGCTCGCTGGTCTGGCTTTGCGGGATCCTGCAGCCGCTGGGGCGCATGAGCTCCGCGCTGGCACGGCTGGTCTTCGTCGTGTGCTCAGTCGAGTGCATGATCGCGTGGAACCGGATATCGGGCGTGAACAGCGTTAGCTCCTTCGGGCAGCTGGCTCCGCTACTGATAGGGCTGGGGAGCGTGGCGGGCTTGTTCCTTTGCTGGGAGAACGCGGCGGGGCCGATTAGGTTCGTGCTGGAGATTCCGGACTCGGAGGGCGATGTCGAGTGGGGGAATGTCCGAGGGAATCCGAGAGGGAGTAGGCAGATGCAGAGTTTCGACGGTGAGTGCGAGGAGTGTCCTGATGTGAAGGTGGTCTGAAAGTACTGATACGGTCTCCGGGATAGTCCGTCGGCTGAAAGATGGGCTTTCTGGGCTTTCCGGCCTCTTTGCCGATGCTTGGCGCGCTCGGTGATAGTACGCCGGCTGAAAGATGGACTCTCCGGGCTTTTCGCGGGTGCTTGGCGGTCGTGAGCTTCTGTGCGGGGAGGGTGTACATACAATTACCGGCCCGAGGAAACAGGTAGGTAGAGGATAGCGTCGGAACCAAAGGGATCCGGTGGTCTCGTGGAAGCTCTAATAGTATCGGGCTCCGTGACCGGCGGTAGCGCGGATGCGTGTGTTAACTGGGAATCGGGAAGCAGCGAACGGCGATTGGGTGTATTTAGCGAAAGCATGGCGTTTCAACTTTGGTGCATACAGTGTTGTTTTTGGCTGGCCGCCAAAGGGAGTCGGGACTGGAGGGGCCGGCGTACATATCTCCATCTTTATCCTATCGATCAGTTCCAAAGTTCCAAAGTTCCCATGTACCAATAGTATACCTCGGAAGGCTACAAAAGATCTCCAATACCTATCTAGTTGAGGATGAAGAGTCATCACTCTCTCAACCCCCTAGGGTACAAGAAATGCGGCAAGTCGCAATAAAGGTAAATCGGCACGTCTCTAATCCGGCCACTCTTACGGCTCTATTACGGCACTATCACGGCCCTTGGCGCTAATACGGCCCTTGGCTCTATTACGGCCCTTGTCTCTATTACGGCTCTATGGATATAAGGGCACAGTTGCTCAGCTGGCGTTGATAATATATTTATTTTAGGTTATAGCTACTGCTGCTCGCCCAATATATACACATATATCTCCCCTCCGCGCGTAAGCAAACCGAACCTAGCTTTCCCCAGCTTTGCCCGCTCTCCAGCCTCCACCCCGCTCTCCAGCCTCTACCCCGCTCGCCGGCATTCACCCTGACATCTCAACAGACATTCAACATGACCGGCGTGCGCAATAGCAAGTCTGCTAGTGTCCGCGGTGAAGTCGGTATGGTATCGTCAGCGAGGCAGGTCTGATGCGGTACCTTTATAGGACAACATAAAAGCACAATAGTACCTGCTGTAGGAAGACCAAAGACCAATTTCAGAGAGCGAAGAGCAGTGAATGGGGATACTGTGTGGCGGAATGATGGCGCGTTGTTGGCGAGAGGAGAAGGTGTTGGTGAGTGGAGGAGGTTTTGGTGAGAGGAGGAGGTGTTGATGAGAGAAGGTGTTGATGAGAGGAGGAGGTGTTGGTGAGAGGATGAGCTATCAGCAAGAGGGGTAACTGTTAGCGAGCCCAGTATTGAAGCACCGGCGGCGGTGAACCAGCGTGGCTAGGTTTTTGACCTCGGCACCAAAAGAAGTTAAAACTTAAGCTCGTTATCTCAACATGTCCTTTTGTAAACTCTCTTTTACTTCGGCCTCTTGTCAGCGAGAGGAAACAAATATTGTTAGTAGTGGGCATCAACTTTTCTGGGAATAAACGTTGGTGGGATGAGTATCGACAGCCAAATTAGGCATAAGAGCTCAATTTGACTATTGTAAACTGGCCGCAATTATTGTCAAACGCCTATTGACTCGGCTTAGGCCAATTTACTAGCAGAAGCCTGAATTATAAGAGCAAATGAGCCGCATTTTGTGACAAGAGCCAGTTTAAAAGCAGGCTCGCATTTACTTAAAAGCAGGCTCGCATTTACTTAAAAGCAGGCTCGCATTTACTTAAAAGCAGGCTCGCATTTACTTAAAAGCAGGCTCGCATTTACTTAAAAGCAGGCTCGCATTTACTTAAATGCGGCTTGCCGCATTCCCTGTAGCCTAGGGACCGGGGTAGTGTTATACAGTGTTCTACATAGTCCGGTCGGGACTGCAGTCCGGACTGGACGGTCTGCCAAGATCTGTTCCAGTCCGGCCCTTCGGACGGATTGCCGAAAAGTAGTCCGTCCCGTCCATGGATCGCAAGGACTGGAGCGGACTGCAGTCCAATGCCAAGAAATGAAGAAAACAAAATTCTTCTCGAACTCGCGTGATTACGCCAAACTAAGGCAGAAAAAAACTCTCCCCTATGACGTGACATTTTAGTGTGGAACATTTCTATCACGTGATAATTTCCGTCGCTTTCTATTCTGCCTTAGTTTGCCGTGATTTTGCGATTACGGAAGGAAAACGGTTTTCTTTGTTTCTTGGCATTGGGCTGCAGTCCGTCCTGACCTCAAAACCTTTTGGACTAGTCCGTCCGAACACCGCTCCCGGACGGACTGCCGAGATACAGTCCAGTCCGGTCCGAGGGCCAGGACGGACGGGCTGGACTATGTAGAACACTGGTCTTATAAAAGGAAGGGAAGAATCCTGCCGGCCAGTGCACGCGGACCCGGAACGCATCGGGAGTAGGAGTATGTATATTCTAGTTACTAGGTATGGAGCTGATGCATCGTCGTGTATGCGCATCTGTAGGACCCCGCTGGTAACAGAGCGCAGAGCGAAGGGGGCTTAATAAAGGTCGTCAGCAAACGCCACTCACGGAAAAAAACCCCGCGTGGCCTTGTCGGCTAAGCCACTGCCCCGGCGCTGAAAGCTCGCCGTTCTACTCCCTGGGAAAGAGGGGTTTCCAAGCCACCCACCGGGGGTGGTGAAGGTTTTGTTTTCGTTTTTGTCGTGACGGGAGGAGCACGGGATGTCACTCGGCTAGATCACGTGATATGCTTTTGCGTTGCCGGCAAGAAGAGAAGAGTAGAAACCCCACCATGATATCCTCAGTGATCAGTGAAGAAGTCTGCCGATGGGTCACCGCCACTAGGCCTCGCGGCTAGGTATTACTGGTATCGTAAATTTAACGGCAAACGTCTAAAATGCCATACCTAAATTCACCTTGCATATCTAGGTATGTAGGACATTAGCTGTCTCCAGCGTAGCAAGAGGGCATTTCGTAGGCGAATCTAGTACCTACTACCGAGTCTCTGGCAGCGGAACGGGCATCTCTTCGGCGAATACGATAATGCATCCACGGCAGCGAGAGGACATTTGAGCAGGGCAAGCAGGGCAAGCAGGGCGAGGAGGCACTATTCAGTCGCGACTGGCAGGGCAAGGAGGAGTATAGAGGACTCGGTTATCAGCGGGGTATGTATTCGTTCGTCTCATGTTTTATCCAATGAGCTGTGTGACGTCCGCATGGCGCTGTCCAAAGTTTAACATCCAACTATCCAACCGTGGCAAGAACCATATTTGTCTCTCTCACCCATCACGGCAGAGCACCTACCACACCAGAGCACCTATTACACCTGAGCAATGCCGACGGCTGGTCCCTACGATCTACTGTGTAGGTGGTGTTTTCGGAGATTCAAACGGCTAGTGTGGCTTCACAGACACATTGAAACCAAACATCCAGAATACCAGGCAAAACTGAATGCGGCGAGAGAGCGAGAAGCCGACATGGCGCACCACGGAAGACACCCGGCAAAACACATAGACCATTCCTCGCACACCTTCCTCCCGAATAGCGGTTCTGCCAACGAAGCCGGCCCCGCCGCCGCCAACGGTACGACGATGTCTGGAGATGAAGCCGGCCCTGCCGCCACCGCGTACAATTATGACGTCCATCCTGAAAATGAAGCCAGCCCCGCACTGGAAGACTGGCATCATGTTACGTTTACGTCCCCAGATGTTAGCCCTCGGGGCTCATCCCTCCCCCCAGATGAACGTATCCCGACGAACTTCAATCCATACTTCCCATTTTCCACCGAAGAAGAGTTCGGCTTTGCAAAGATAGTGATAGAAGGAAATCTGAGTGCGGAGGTCGTCGACACGTTTCTGAAAGAAGATTGTGGGTTTAAGGATGAGATAAGGGCTTCGTTGAGGTCCTATCACCATATACGGCCGATGCTCGATGTAATGCGGGCCCAACGCGGGGAAAGCTTATCGCGGGAAAGCCAGGACGAGGCCCCGGAAGAGTCGAGTGTGTGGCCAAGCCAAGGCCCGGGAAGAGTTGAGTTTCCAAGGTTAAGGCTGGGGCCGGTTTCAAGGCGCGGCCGAGGCAAGGCCCCGGAAGAGTCGAGGGTGCTGTCGAGTCGAGGGAGAGGACGGGGGTCTGTGAGCAGGGCGGATACGGCCTTTATGTAGATAGTGAGGGGGGGCGGAGGCAGAGGCTGCTTGGGACCATCGGCGAGCGCCGGAGAGAGGAAACTTTATTAGGATCTATGTTGTGCTATGGAGGTGGGACCTGATTCAGACCCGATACGCTCATTCAACGTTTATCGTTCTCTGTTGCCACTACTTTTATTTTCCTGTTGTCGGTCTCTGTTCATCATCTGTCTTCATCAGTCCTCATTAGTTCATCAGTTCACAAGTTAATCACCTTGTATTATCATCGCTACGTTACGTTTTTTTTGAAGCATTCTGTTCTGCTGCTGTTTTCTGAATCCATCAATCTCGTTTTCTTTAATCACCTCCCATCCGCAGGCCTCTTGTAGTCCTGATTTTCCTCAGCCCAACTAATTCCGTCCCGTCTCGGGCAACCTCAAAACAGGACTGGACGGACGGTTGGCCGCCCCGAGTGCGGCGTTATGGTAGGCAATGGGTTGATCACGAAGTTCAGTACAGTATACCACCAAGTTACTCGGGAACTGTATGGCACGGTATCACCTATTTTCTTCTATATAAACCGCAATTAATCTAAGTCAGTAGCATGAATCACCAATTAGTGCCGGACGGGAAAGAAGGAGAGGAAATTAATGAGTGGAGGAGAGGGAGGAGAAAGGGAGGAAGAGTTGATAGGAAAGGTGGTATTTTATAGGTGAAGTGGGTGGATTCCAAGCAACCACTTCTAGCCCACTAGCCGCGACTCAAAAGTTTGCTTTTCAGCAAACACCGCTACATTCCAAGGTGTCGACGCACCTTTGACATCACACGAAATCATTCGACCCCCGAGTGAGTAAGTACTGTATAGTGAAGGGGAGGGTAAAAAACATGCTTCGTGGCCGTACCGATACGGAAAAAGCGTATAAATGCGGTTAAAATACGTGTTTTCACCGTATCGATACGCTTTTTTCCGTACCGATACGGCCACAAAGCGTATTTTTTACCTTCCCCTTCACGATACAGTATGAACTCCTTCCCACATCGACGAATAGGTACTCCAGCGACAAACGCGCAAGTACTGTATAGTGAAGGGGGCATTTTTTACCCCCCCCTTCACCATACAGTAATTACTGATTAAACAAAAAACAAAGAAATAATAGGGACAAACACGCAAGCAATGACTGATTAAACAAAGAAAAAAAAGAAGAAAAAAGAATAGCGCTCGCCGCACACACAAAGCCGATATCATCCTCTCGCGCAGCTGACAGAGAGGAAACTCTTCTTAGCCGTGGTTGACCACTAGCAACCAACTGAGGACACGGAAAGTAGCCGTGGATCGAGAGTGTAGAGTCACATTCATTTCCTCCCGCCGACAGTAGTCCACCTTCACTTCCTCCTCTCGCCGACAGCTCTTCTAGACTGTGAACGGCAACGGAGAAGTTACGGTACCGGAGGAGATACCCTGAATACGATGATTCACTAAGGTCAAATTCAATGATGATTTACATAACATACAGAATGTCGGCAGCGCAGGTATCACGTGACATTTGCGCCGAGTGACATAGTGTGCTCAACCCGTCACACCCACAACAAAAACAAAAACCATCACCACCCCCGGTGGGTGGCTTGAAAACCCCTCTTCCCCAGGGAGTTGAACGGCGAGCATTTAGCTCCGTGTAGGTGTCCTAGCCGACAAGGCCACGCGGGGGTTTTTCCCGTGAATGAAAATTGCTGTCGACCCTTATAAACCCCCAAGCTTGGCTCTCTTCGTCACACAGCTGGCAAGCATTGTTGCTCTTCTCCGTTATTCGCTACCCGAAACTCTGTGGGCTTCCTACACCAGGCGTACGTATCCTTCTCCTATTCTGTCCTACAGTATCAGCCCTACTTCGCCGCAGAAAGTACTTCTCACTGCCGTCGCCGCGAATATTAACAGACTGTCTATTGAGCACGCCGGCGGTCAGCCATATGAGCTCCTAAAAGCAATATATTATCAACGTCAGATGACGAAATGTGCCCTTTCAGAGCCCAGGTATTTTAAACTCTATTTTTACTGAGCCAGTTAAAACATGTGCCCATCATTGTAAATGCGACATTGCCACATATGTTATACTCGAGGGCTCTAGAGATGAGGGGAAAATGGTGGGCTGTGGGCGTGGTTTGTAAGGTGTTGAACATCACAATATTGGTATTATCATACAGCTGGAATAGAGTCTCATAGCATTTCAATAATTCTTATCCCAGGATATCATCTATTAACCAAGTCCCACATCAGCTCGCATATCTGTTCCTCCCACCCACCCGGCCCAGTTCCAACCAGTTCCTCTACTCCCGCAACGGTCCTATAAATACACCCAAACATGCATTAAAAAAACCCCTCGCCGCCCGCCACCCGCCACCATCTGCTTTCCATCTCCTCCACTAAGTGCACTTGACATTGGCGGTGTAATCGCACACCAGCCTGGTGAAGTCAAAATAAGTGCCCTCGCTGCAGGTGAACTTGACGGGCTTGCCATTCGCGTTGCAAACGTAGTAGCTAGCGCAGTCGACGGTATCGGGCAAGAACACTACTCCGGAAGCCCATTGAACCGGGCAGCTGCCTTTAGGGACGCCAGTCGGCACGGGCGAGGGAGAGGCATCCAAACTACCAGGATCGACCCAGTCGATATCGGCACCCGGCAGCTGATCCGTCGCCTTGGCGATCAGCGAGTAGAACGAGGCGCGGTCGGCACTCATGCTCTCCTTGACGGCGGTCGGCAGGATCGTCTGCGTGGCGAGGAACTGGTCGTCCAGGGAGTGCACCACCTTCGTTATCGAGGCCAAGTTCGCCAGCATGGCGGATGTGTCAACCTCCTCGGACGTGGCAGTCGCGGTAGTAGACGGGGTCGCAAAGGCCGTTAAGAAGATGTAATCCACGATTGCGTCTGCCTGGCCGGATTGGAAGGCGGAGAATTCAGGGACGGCGGTGTAGGCAGTGGAGGTCGAGGCCTTGAATTGCGAGATGAGGGTGGAGAGAGACTCCTGGCGGGCCTCGATATGGCTCGCAACGCTCAGAGCGGCGAGAGAGAGGACGACGGAGATGATCTTGGATTGCATTGTGGTGATTTCTGTTGTGTAGCGAGATGGATAATTTGGAGGGTTTGAATGAATGAAGCGAATGATAGTAGACGATGCGTCGAGGTGTTGTTTGATGATGGTGGATCCGAAAGAGAAGAAAACTTGAGATCCTGTCCTGCTCTTATAAATTCCTTCATTCTCTCTCGTAGGCATCCTGTAAATAGAAGAGTTGATAGAGTGTGTGGATTTCCACACGCAATGTACATAGCCGACTTGCCTTGTCTCCACCGTGAATAATATTCCCTATCCCTGCTCGGCGCTGACGTTCCGACAGTTAAGGCTGAGGCTCGGCTCGGCTGCGCAAGCGTCTAATTATTAGTTATGCCGCCGACGGTACCTCGTCTATTAATACCCGATCATCGGGTATCAGCCAGTTGTTCCAGTGTAATCGCGCGTGGCACGACCGACTGGGTAGTGTATCAGCCGAGTCATCAGATACAAGACAAGGCGGTGCAAGGTAGGTATCATTCAGGGTACAAATCGCGCACCGTCGGGCACCTATTGCAGTACTCCACGTTCGTACCTATCTACGTCGTTAGACATCAGGTACATACCGCTAATACGATATTCATTGTCGATACCCATCATACATATCCCCCAACATATTGTTATTTAAAACGTCGCGGAACACCGGACACAAGTACTTTGGCGCCGGTTCACCAGGGATCCGAGACTGAGACCAACAACCCGTAATGAGTTTAACTTCAGCGAAATTATGGAATCATGCTCGCTGGACAAAACCCGAGCCGACGGTGGTAGTATGTATCCGTGGTGGCTGGCTAAGTACCCGTTCTTTAGGATGGATACCCTTCCGTTGGCTGCTGCTCTTGTGTCGACACGCTGGCATGACACGTAGATGCCTCGAACTGCGGACAGTCCCTGCTTGAGAATGAATCGATGAGCGTATGCAGGTACGAATGGAGTGATGTATGATACAAGGAGTCGAGCTGCGCCTCGACCGGCAGCTGATACTTTCCCTACTGCCGCTCATCCCCTGATTCCCGTTTGCTTGGTGTTCACGGATGGGCGTCTTTAGTTCCGTATGACTCGATCGGCCGGTCGGTCAGAGTAAGCAGTCTGAGTTTGTTTTCTCGAGTCCCAAGCGTCGCTGATCATGGTCCTGCAATACCGATCAAGCGGTATAAAATTCTCCCGGCGGTGCATGCCAAAGCTCCGACTGGTCATACATACTTAGAGCTCCAGTGGTGGTTATACCCATGCGCTCTCCATCACATGTATGGGAACCGTCTGTGCAGTACAGTATAGGGGTGACTGTTGAGCAGAATCCATGAATCTCGACGGCAACAAGACATCACTCGCTTTGTAACTTGCACATATTATCTTCCAGTATGGAAAATAAATCGCGTAGCTTGGGAGCCACACATTCAACTTTAGGAGTGCAGCTTGACTCCTGAGGCTTTTAAGTTTCCCGCCAGGATGGTGAAGGGTTTTGTTTCAGCTAGTTGAGTAAGGTCTGGCGCCGTGCATATAAAGTCACTCGCACGCGTTCGTCACGCCTATCCACTCAAGGGACTCACCCTTTGCGGACGGTTGGGCATAGTCTAGATAGGCTGCATGCGAAATAAATTGAAGATCTCTCCCTCTCTCAAACCCTTCGCGGATTTGGGAGCCCCCACTACCTCAGTCAGTACTTCACTAGGCCGCTACCATCCCCGTCGCTCGTATACCTGAGCCGCGGAATCCTGGAGGCAAGGTGGAAAGAGGCCATGGTGTGCGTGGGCGGAAGCCAAAGTAACCAACATAGAATGCAGGTACAGCCGGAAACCTTGTCAGATACCCGACCCGATCCCGGTCATAGCCCCCAAACGGTGCCTGGCCTTAAAGTTCTACGGTCTACCAGTTGAAGACAGGACACTACATCACCGGCCAATACCTTCAGGAGGTGAAGAGACGTCCCAGAGCACGATGCGATGCCGAGTGAAAGCTAAGAGAGCGAGAAGATAGACAGGTAGAGAGGAGATCAGCCGGGGACGAGGAGGGCGTTGAGGTTGAGGAGTTTGAGTTCACTGCCGCTGCTTCTCCTCACAACTTCCGACATTGCATCTCCTGATGAAGAGGCAGGGAGCGAGGCGTATTAGGGAGATTAGGGAGCCAAATCTATCTTTTCTTAGTATTATATCCTTGGTGCGCTGTACTTCTATCAGTGGGACTGGAGTCGGCGCTCGCCGGCGGGTCTATCTCCCAACGGCAGATATATTCTGTATATATAGAGGGGCACCCGCCCGGAGTAGAAGATGAAGCAAGCAAAAAAAACGGGCATTTCTTCCTACCAATCCTCCTGTCGATCTCAGTATATTTGACAAATTCCATGACACCCGTTCCAAAACATCACGTGCTTCACGAACGAGTGTTTTTCCATGATTTCGTGATGATCCTCCCTGCAAGTAATAATCTAGCTAGGCACTCCGGCAAAAACAAACGAAAAGAAAAGCAGCAACCCAGGTTTGAACCGCAGCAAAAGAGCGTCCTCCCCAAGGTTGCTATCCTTGTAACAGCTTGGGACCTTGGGGCATGCACCCCTCACCTTCCGGGAAATTCGCTACGACTGAGCCATGATCTCTGCTGGTGACTTCCTCGCTTTTGAAAATGTAACCCCCCTCCACAATCAGCACTTGCTACATCTCAGCATCACCACTAATTCCACAACACCCGTTCCAAAACCAAACATTACGTTTTGCAGCCGGATAGATTGCCAACCCCCTCCACGCCGCCGGCGGGGAGGGGGCCACACAGAGGAAAGACGAGGTAGATGATGGTCATCTATTCTGTGAAGGATGATGAAAGATAGATAGGGACAGAGAGGGGCCTTTCGGATAGCTTTTTAAGTTCGCCCCCCCCCCCCCCCCGCTGACTGCCGTAAACATGCACGGTAATTACATCCGTTTCCTCTCGTCGATAGCTCCTCCATCACTTCTGCCTCTCGCCGAGTCGGCGATACATATTTAGAGCTCCGCTGTAGCTATACCCATATGATATACATCACATGTATGGGCATTGGGGGCCGTCTATGTTGTATATAGGGGCGACTTTTGAGCGGAATCCATGAATCTACATACGAGGTCCGCGAAATATGACCCGAGTGATGATCCTGTGACTACACGGGAATCAACGGTAACAGCGATTGAGATCGAGATCGCAACCGCACCGTCCTCGAAGCCGAACGATGCACCAGCTGCAGGAGAAGATTTAGTTCTTCGGCGTGCATGCCCGCTCGCCACATCGAACGCCCACTACTACTTACCGCCCCCAGCAGCACCCAACCCGCACCAGGTCAATGTCGTTCTCTCGCACAGCGGCCAGAGCAACAGCATTTGGCCAATGGCGCATGCATGGCCGGAGGAAAGACCTTTGCTCTGAAAGGAAGAAGACCTTCGCGTATACCGTGGGGGTTTAATAAACCACGTTATATGCGTATAACTTGGGGCGGTAGTAGACCAAGTTATACCTTCTTTGGTTTTTTTGTTTCATCATCGCGAAACCGTCTGTAGCCCGGTTTCGGAGATTCTTGGGCCTTGGCCATGCATGTGGCATGTCTCTCACACATGCGATGCATGGCCAGGAGGAAAGACCTTTGCTCTCTCACAGCAAAGGAACAAAACCTACGCGTATAACTTGGAGGGGTAGTAGACCAGGTTATACGCGTAGAACTCGGAAGTTATAGTTTCTTTGTTTTTTTATTCCTCGTCAACACAAAACCGTCTGTCACCCGGTTTCGGAGAAGCCATCCACCGGGAGCAAGTCGGCTCTCACCCGACTTGGACTCCTGGCGGAAGGGGGAAAGAACTTCGCCGGCAGCAGAAGAGAGAACCCCGTCCTTGAATCTTTTCTGCTCAGCCTCGAGGGTTGGATCCGTCTCTTGCAATAGTCTACTTTGTAGACCGGTTGCACGGATTCCTCGGTTCCTCGCTACTCCGGCTGAGCAGGATAGTTCTGTAAGGTTATCCTGGAAGTAAAAAGCGGGGGAGAGAAAATGACGTACCTCGAGGATTGAGCTCCGGCTTAGATGGAAGGGAAGTAGGGATGGAGGGTGGAAAGGAAGGAAGGAAGGGTGAATAGGTAGCCGACGAGGAAAGGAAGCTGTGATGGTTGTAAAGAGAAGGAGAGAAGGAGGAGTAGAGGGGGGTTTTGTAGGCGTTTTAGGAGCCGCTAGGTTCCAAGCATTTTCGCCGCCGCCAAACAGCTAGACCCCACCAAAACTTGCTCGTCAGATGGGACGAGCGAGTAAACAAGACACGCCACTAGCTGGAGACTAGTCGAAGTCACCTCGCGCGTCGGCGGCTAAACTAGTCACTGTCACTGTCACGGCTCTTAATACCACCCACTGCAGCTGCTCCGCAGCGGCTACAGCAGTAACATTTGACTTGGGCGGGCATGCCTCTTACTCATGTCCGGGATTACAGAGATATTCAGACAACATGGAGTATTGGGGGGCCACGTTACTTCGTAGCCCGGCCGTGGTTGATGACTAATAAACAGGGACATGCCGGGAAGCAGCCTTGGATCGAGAGCGCAGACCGGTTAAGTGGATCAAGAAGCGGGAGGACGATCACGGTGCAACAGGCCAACCAAGCAATCACGAGAGCACTTGTTCAAGCATTGCTCACGGTTGAGAAGCCAGCAGAAAGCCTTGTGGGAGAAGGTTGGGAAGGTGACGAAGAGAAGGAAAGAGAGGTGATCGATAGCGGAATTGCTCGCCGATGAGTGGTGCAGCGATGCGATACTAGATTTTTTTAGGAACGACGGATGTAGGGAGGAGAGCTCCACTAGACCAAGAGGAGGAGGAGGAGGAGGAGAAGGAGGAGAAGGAGGAAATGCAATTAATGATTTAACAAAAAAAAAACGTGAGAATAGAAGAGACCTCGCCATAATATATACAGTAAGACGCGGTTGGCCAGCTGGCAACTAGGCCGTACGAGACTCGCAGCTGAGTATCTCTGGCATAGCATTTGGATTTATTTTTGTTCACATATCCTGGCGGAACCATCGAAGCCAGTGCCCGGAGGAGCATCCAAACAGGCAACACCGCAGCGTGGAATGGAAGAATCGTGCAGGCACTCCGATCTGGCGGGCGGTACTGCATCGTTGATCCAGTCCATGTTGGGTGGCACCTATCCAGCACGAAAAAACCCCCGCGAGGTCTAGTGGTCAACTACTTAGGCCATGCAATCGGCGAGAGGAGTCGGGGGAAGCTCTGGGTTCAACCCAGGGTGGAAGCCCCTGCTCTTGGGGTTTCCAAGCTACCCACATGGGTGGTGATGGTTTTTGTTTTTGTCGTGGCGGACGGGGCACACCATATCACTCGGAAGTGACTTAGGTATCACGTGATACTCTTTTAAGTGTTCGGCTTTTTTTTGTTCAATTATCAATTGCGTTCGATCTTAAGTAGCCGCATGCTCGATACCGTTTCCATAGTGCTCTCCACCCAAATCTCCCCGCGGTTTTCCTCGCACTGCCGGCTATGTAGGCGAGAATCCCTACGATAAACTTCATCATCGAGGGAATAAAGGAGGCAAAACGTACGGCGAGGAACCCAAATCTCCCCATCGAGGTAAGACGATATAAGAGACAGGTTCAAGACGAGACAGGCTATCCATGGACCTGACGCAAGCGGACGTACCTGGGTCCAAGAGTCTCCCCCTATGTAGGCGTTAGAGTTCGGCCGTGCCGCTGCCATTAGGGCAATGGCGCGGACCCAACAAAATACGCTGGTCACCGGGTTAGAGAGGTTAGGGGAGAGGTTGAAAAGCGGCGGCGGATATGGCAGCAGAAAGGGAGCGGAACGGGGAGGAGAGTCTCCGCTGTTTCTCCGCTAGGCCACGATCTCGTCGTCGGCAATATATTGGGTGAGAGTAACAGTGAGAGCCATGAGGAAGGCTCGGGGTGAGCAGGATCAGGAAGTGGCAGATCCAAGGGAACATAGAGATGAGTTACTAGACCAGCTAGCGGTAGCCTCGAGCGGGGTTGAGTGGGATGTGGGGATCTAAGTGGTTCGTTTGTTCCTTCTCTCCTTCTTCTCTGCCTCTCAACATCTGTGATTTCCTTAGTATGTTGCAAGAGAGGGCCTGGAGGGGAGCAAAAGCAAAACCCACACCGAGCTCGCGGTTAGCAGCCGGAGACAGTGGGGTGGAACCAGACATGTGATACAGCCATGATCTAGTAAGGTCGAATGCTATGGTGATTAAAGAAACAAAACATGGAGGCGAGAAGAAAAGAAATCACGCCATATTATCCTCAGTGAGAAGCGTGTCACCAGGTGTCCATTGTCCACAAGGCCCTCCGCGAATCGCGGCTGAGTATGATCTCCTGGTGGCATAGAAGCCAGCACCGCAGCACCGAAAAAGGCGATACTACAGCGTAAGATGGAGGAATTATCCATGCGCTCCGCCGTTGTTATTATTCATGGCGGGGCACCCACCACTTCATAATTTTCGAGTTCATGTTTCTAGCACCAAAAAACCGCCGCGTGGTCTAGTGGTCTAGGCTATGCAATCGGCGAGGGGCGCTGAGGGAAAGTCCCCGGTTCAAGACCGGGTGAATGCCTATGTATTCAACTCTTGGAGCTTCCAAGTTACCCAAATGGGTGGTGATGGTTTTTGTTTTTTTCATGGCGGACGGGGAACGCCATATCACTCGGAGGTAGCTATCACGTGACACGTTTTGCGCTGCTGCTGGCTGTGGAGGCGAGACGAGAAGAGACCCATATCGGGTGTCACGCTTCGAGGAGAGAAACGAACCCATCGTATTATCCCCAGTAATAAGTAAATTGTCGATCAGCCACCACCACCATGCCATACGTGACTCGCGGCCGAATATTCCTGGCATCGCATATTTATCCCCGTTCATCACCTTCACCATACAACATCCGTGTGGTGGAGCGAGAGGTAGGGTGAGAGGAGGACCTGTCGGCGGGCGAAAATTAAAGTGGTTAGTACTACGGAGCATCAACGTTGGTGGGAATCAACGCTGGTGGGAATCAACGCTGGTGGGAATCAACGCTGGTGGGAACCAACGTTGGCGGCCATGGCGGGGTCAACCGAGTGGTTCCGTCGTCATCGTCATCGTCTTCTTCTTCTTCTTTAGCGACCATCATATACCGAATAGAAGATCAACCTCCATATCTCCTCGTTCCTTTGTGTGTGCTCTCCTCTCGATCCTACCTCCGCCCTGGAGTGGTGTTGGCAAAAAAGCCGTCTGTAAAACCGCTGTTCTATCCCACGCCTTCCTTCATGGCATTTCCAGATGAAGAGGCAGCGGGCGAGACGAAGTAGGGAGCGGATTTTGTTTTTCCTAGTGTTCTTTCAATGGTGCACTCTACCTACTTGAATCGCTGGGACAGGCCAGGGAGCACGGCAGGGGAAGCCACACCAGGCCGCCCGCTGAAGGTTGAGTTGGAGTTTCTTTCTTTCTTTCCTTTTCTCTCTTTCTTACCGGTGTTCGACGAAGAGGGTTGATCGGGGAGGGTTGAGCGGAGAGTAATAGGGAACCGGTATCAAGCTGAGCGGCTGGTGACGCCGTGTAGGAACGGATATGTAGGCGGAATTCCGTTGTTGTTCTTTTCTGGCGCGGGGTGGCACCTACCAGTTTATATTTTTCAAATTCATGGTTCCAGTACGAAAAAACCCGCGTGGTCTAGTGGTCAACTACCTAGGCCATGCAATCGGCGAGGGGAGTCAAGGGAAGCTCTGAGTTTAACCCGGGGCGAAAGCCCCTGCTCTTGGGGTTCCAAGCTACCCACATGGGTGGTGATGGTTTTTGTTTTTGGAGTGACAGGTGGTGCACCGGACATCACTCGGCCGTCACCATCACGTGACACGCCTTGTCCTTCTGCTGCTGGCCGTGGAGGCGAGAAGAGGCCCAAACATAGGAAAGAAACAGAGAAAAAAGGATTATCTATAAACTCGTCTCCTAGCGTCTGGGCATTCGACGGCCATAAGCCCTTTCTGGGGTCATACTAAGGTCAAATGTAATGATTTTAAAAAAGAAAACACATTTGCTAAAGATAGATGAAGATGATTTATTCGATATAGCAATAATATCAACAGCAGCGACATCTCTATATCTTCAGACTTTCATTGTCTCGACAAAGGCTACCCTCTCAAGACGGCACTCGTCGCTCGGTCGCCCGTCCTCCGCACTACGGACCTTTATTCGAGCCATCATCTCGGCCGTCCAACGTTCGACAACCTCATCCCACCACCACCACCGACAACCACCCACTCCTCCACAGTTTTGCCAAGAAGTGGCGTACCTTTCCCTTTTCGGAATAAAATTCGACTTCACGCCCGTTCACGATGGGCAAGGTCCACAGGCACGCGAAGATCAAGGAGGGCCAGCCGGTGCACGTGCCGCGTCAGCGTCATCAGCGTCATCAGCGGTCAAGCAGCGTCGAACCCAGCAAGTTCGAGCCCGATCCGAAGTTCATGCTCAACGACGACAACCGGAAAGCCACCTGCATCGAGAACATGATCCGCCAGCTGTTGCAGATCCTCAGTTACGAAATCGGCGAAGCCGCGTACGACTTGGAGCGCTATGCAGCTGTCGACTGGAAAAACTTCCTTTGGGATAGCAAGAAGCCCAGAGGACCGGAATGGAAACCGCGATTGCACAGCACCGCGTTCGACTTCCACGACGAGACGAATGACAATATCGCGGTTGGAGTCGCGACTCTCTCGGAGGCCATCGCAGACCTCAAGAGCGATAACAAGCTTCTCTTGGAGGCTATGGCCGACCTCAAGAAGGACAACAAGCTTCTCGGCACCGACCTCGCTAGCCTTCGCATCGAGTCCCGGACGGCCAATGAAATGCACACGAAGCAAACCGAGGGCTTGAAGGCGCCGGTCAGCAGACCAGCGAACCCATGTGCTGGCTGGCCCTTGCCCTCAAGATGTATGGAAGTTAAGGAGGCCAAACCAGTGACGCCCAGACCAGTGAACCCTTCTTCGCTCTGGCCCTTGCCCTCAGGCCGTATGGACGTTGACGAGGCCAAACTAGCGGCGCCCAAGATGATCCCAGTCTGGGCCACCATCTCCGCAACGAGCGGCGCGGAATCGAGGAAGAGAAGCTCGGATGAGGTGTGTGGGTCGGAATCAATCAAGAATCCCCTGGATAAGGTGCGCAGGGCGTAATCAGTCAAGAATCCGTGGGCTCAGGTGCGCGGCGCGGAATCAACCAAGAGACCCTAGGATCAGGTGCGCGGCGCGGAATCGATCAAGAATCCCCGGGATCGGGTGCGCGAGGCGAAATCAATCAAGAATCTCTGGGATCAGGTGCACGGGGCGGAATCAACCAAGGGACCCTGGGATGAGGTGCGCGGGGCGGAACCGGTCATGAAAACCTGGGAGGAGGTGATATCACGCGCCTTCCGTCACCACAACAACCATGTGTTATCACTCGGTAAACGAGTGAGATGACGTGCAATCCCAAATTTGACTGCGATGGAAACCAACGCCATAACAAAAACCTTCACCACCCCCGGTAAGTAGGTGGCTTTGTGACCCCCACGGGTGTTGAGTTGGTGCTCAAATTGCTCCATTGCGTGCGTGGCATAATGGTAGAGTCTTGACCAGTAGGTAGTAGGTAGGCCCCGCGGAGGTTTTCCGTGTACGAGATGTAGGAGAACGATAATCGCCGGTTACGGCCTCGTCGGTGGTGGCCTAATAGTAGAGGATTGCCCTTCAATGGCACAGGCACCCCATCGGCTGCAGAGAATAGGTATCATCGCACACAGCCACTTGCTGCACTAATAAGACCTGTCTTTCTGAGTCATTCGGAAACGCAGTCCGGGAGGACGGAGGACGGAGGACGGAACTTGAAGAGTCCGACTAGAGTAGAGAGTCAGATACCGGTACCGGTGCACGAAAGGATTGGTTGCTGGTGGTGGTGCGTCCCACAGGTTATATCGACATTACGTGCGTGCGTACTAGAGTACACGAACCCTAGTTCTACTATCAGTAGCTTGTCAAGTACCACTGTGCACTTCCACACCGACGGGGCACCGATGCATATGGTGATCTCACATGACCATGACCCGGACCCATGGTCGTTATCGTTCAGGCTCCCAGGCTCCGCTACTTCAATGCATTTATATCTGCTCAGGCCTCAAGTATTATGCGTCTTAGATGGACGAATGGTGGAGATGTGGGACGAATCTCGAATATCGCGCTGTGTAGCTGGAGCACGAGGTGTCATTCGGTATGTACTAGGTACTACCAGGTAGGTATGGCAACACGACAGGCCGTGGAATCAGGCAGCAGTCATCTGAAGAACTAGTTACGAGGACGTAATATACTGCGATCTTACGTTACGAGTCGGTAGCTGGATAACCACATGAGGCGTACCTACTCCGCTTGTTTGGGACAGGATAGCCGCTTCCAGAATCTGCGTGTTCCCAGTCCCAGTCCCATGAATCTGCATGATTAGTTAGCAGTAGCACAGCGGACATCCATCAGGGTGCGAAATGTACCTACACGAGGTGACGAGGAAGTCGTCCGTACGTAGTCCGCAACATTGCCCGAACGGTCCCTTCCGTCACCAGTTAGTCGATCCCTGCTTCAAGAACATACACACCGCTGCATCCAGAAGGTGCACATTCCCGAGATAACAATACTGAACACTCGACCTCCGAGCGGCGAGACCCCCGGGGCGGACATGTCATACCGGTAGTGGGAATCTCCCAGTACTGCCCGCAATGGAAGATTCAAAGCGTTGTGTCACCACCACCATCACCGGGGGCATTCCTGTGTAGCGCTCGCACTGCAGCCTGCATTCCCGGCTGCGGTTCACCACGACCGGACTGGATATCCCAGCATTCTAGATTCTTCCCCACAATTCTCCCCCCCGCGTTGGACATGCCGAGGCTAGGATTGTCCCAGCAGCAGCAGGAGGAGGAGGAAGGAGGTATCGGAACCCATGGGTCCCGATAGTTCGTATCTATGTGTGTATATATATACTACAGAACTGCAGCTGCCCAGACTCCAGACTCCGGGCTCACCTGGATCAACCCAGCTCAGCCCAGCTCAACTAGCTACCGTTCTCGTCTCCTTCGATTGCCCTGCCCTGCCCTGCTTGGCGATTCTACTTTCCTCCCCCCCTCCCCCTTCCAAATGGCTGGCTCTATGAACGAAACGACGCCGTCGTCGTCGGGCGGCATCGTCAGCGATAGCGAGAAGTCGAGGGGCACGGCGGCGGTGGAGCATCCGCACCTCGAGAATGATCTGAGAGTTGATGGCGACGATGAGGACCATATCCATGAGCCACCGGTGGGTTGAGCCTGATAGAGTTCGGGGACGGGGGGATTGGGCTGATGGAGCGGAGTGATGAACCTGCAGATGACGTTCCGCCGCTTCATGTCATTCGTGGCTATGGCCTTTCTGTTTACCGGATCACAGATTCCTGTATATCTCTTCGGTCGGTGATTTGTTGTTGTTGTGGGTTTCCTGGTTTCTATTGCTGACATCGAATGCAGGTGGAGTTCCGCCCTACATCTACGTATGTACATTGCCATCTATCACTTTACGGGGGGTTTCATGCTGAAGCTCTGGGTGCTCTGAACAGCGCGATATCGGCGGTGCGGATAGATGGATCTGGTTTGTGGGTGATCCCCTGTCCGGCGTATATCCAAGTACCTGTCCTGACCGGCCAAAAGGTCCTCGCCAATCTACTCGCCTTGGCAGCGGTCTGTCCATTCGTCGGCAGTCTATCGGACCTAGTCGGACGTCGCTACGTTAGCTTGGTATGTCCAATATCATCAATCCACCCAAGATGACCGCATCTCGCTAATCGCTTTCCCTTCAGCTGGGTGCCGGGTTCCTGATTCTCGGCATGGTGGTTGCGAGTACTGCCAAAACCATGAATATTTTCATCTGCGGGATGACGCTTTCCGGTGCGTGAGGTTCCCCCTCGCCGGAGTTGGGAAGAATCACGAACTGATGCCGAATGCCCACAGGTGTTGGCGCGGGTATCAATGAGCTCACGGCACTCGCCGCGACCTCCGAGCTCGCCCCTACGCGGAAACGCGGGACATATGTCGCCGTGTGTAAGCAGTGCCTCGCTCCGTTCATCCCGCGATTCCGCTGACCCATCCATCTTCCGCAGTGATTTTCACCATAGTCCCATTCGCGCCTTCAGTGCTGTGGGCGCAATTGATTGCTAGCAGACATGGATGGCGCTACATCGGCCTGCTGTGTGGTGTGTGGGCGGCGATCGGCTTCTTCGCCACCCTGTTCTTCTACTTTCCGCCGCCGAGAGTCAATTCCACCGGCTTGACGAGACGCCAGATCCTCGCCCAGATCGATTGGGTCGGCGGTGTTCTGTCCATCGGTGGCATGGTGCTGTTTATGGCTGGACTGCAGTGGGGCGGGTATCAGGTACGGTGGCGGGCCTTCAGATACGTGAGAAAACGGAACTGACATGAGTAGTACTCCTGGACCTCCGAGCACGTCCTCGCCCCGCTGCTGCTCGGCGGGATGATGCTGATCGCCTTCTGCATCTGGGAGCTGTACGGGACGTCGCACCCGATGTTCCCGTCACGGCTGAAGCAGGAGCCGCGCGTGCTCGTGCTGACACTGATCATCACGTTCATCAGCGGCGCCAACTTCTTCTCCATCCTGATGTTCTGGCCCACGCAGGCGTTCAACGTCTACGGCCACGACCCCGTCCAGGTCGGCATCCGCGGCATCCCGGTGGGATTTGGCATCCTTGTCGGCGCGGTGCTCTGCCTCTGGCTGCTCAGCGTCTTCAGAGGGAGGAATAGAGAGCTGATGATTGTCTCCTCCGTACTCATGACCGCGGGTATACCCCGCCCACCCCCCTCCCACCACAACACGCACTAACACCAAACCCCCAGGCTGCGGCTCCCTCGCCGTCGCGCGCGTCGACAACCTGGGCACTCTGTGGGGGTTGCTGACGCTTGCGTCCCTCGGCATCGGCGGGATCGTCGTTCCCGCCTCAATAATGACTACCATAATCTGCCCGGACGACCTGATCGCCACCGTCGCGGCCCTCACGCTCGCAATCCGCGTGATCGGCGGCTCGATCGGGTACACGGTGTACTACAACGTGTTCATCCACAAGTTCACGGCGGCGGCGATCAAGTATGTTGGCGGCTCGATGTTTCAAATGGGGATCCGGAATACGACCGTGATAAGACACGCGATCGAGCTTACCGGCGAGGCGCTGCTAGAGGAGATTCTGCACCTGCCTGGCATCGATGGGAATAAGACGATACATGCCATTGTTGTTAGGGCGGGGCAATTGGCGTTTGCAGAGAGTTATAGGTATGTCTACCTGGCGAGTATTGCGTTTGGCGCGGTTAGTATCATAGCTGCCTGCTTTCTCGGAGATATTAGTAAGTATATGGATGATCATGTGGCGGTTATTATGCATTAGGAGGTGGTAGATAGTGGCTGGGAGTAGGAGGGGTGCGAGGGATATGTTTGGGTTGAATGTAATGAATTTCACTTCTGCAGGGCTTTGGGTGCCGTGTGACGAGATATGACGGTGGGCTATACTCTGCCCGCAATGAAGCCAGGTGCCTTGCTACCACTCCACCCAATCTCCAGCTGAAGTTTCACCACATCCTCCTCGACCCGTCCTGCCCAGTGCCGTTCACATCCGCACCCCCCACATCACCCCCAGCACCCACTGCCCAGCCCGCCCTTCAGACTCAGACTTCCCCCCGGGCTCTTTCCAAGTCCGCCGATTCCGGCGAAGCTTCCATTCCCTATGAATCGCAACACCGATACATCTTTGATCCCGAATAGCGCACCCGGCCAAGCGGGTTATACGCTTGCAGTCTCTTTGTTCTCCAATGATGGATCGTGCAGTTAACTATAGTTAATACCCACGTTGCTCGAGCCTTAAGATTCCGAGAATGCCTGGCTCGTGGTGCAGCATTCATCGATGATGCGGCAGGCTGGGCGCCGGGGCAGTAACCTCGATGCGGGATCTTCTGGATAAGACGGCTGGAATTCTCGTGCATGGTATCTCACTGGAGGCTGCTCCTGGTCTCGACTCTCGAATCTCGATGGACGACAGCTCAAAATTCACGTGGGTTTCAGATGCTCACGCTGCAACGGACGGTGGTAAGCATACCTATCCTATCTACCGGCATGTAAGTCATCATTGCCCTTACTCCCACAGCAGCAAAACAGCCGGACTTGTCTATCTGTCTGAAAGCAACCCCAACAAAGCGCCCAGCACCACCCCACCCCCTCCCCCCTCCCCCCCTCTTGAAACCCCCCCCCCCCTCTAAGTCTTCCCCGTAAACGCCGTATGGAACACCGGATCCTGCCACTTACACAGGGGATCATCATTGAAGTACTCCCTCACAAACATATCGACGAGGTTCAGCACGGGCGGATAAAACCAAAACTTGCAGACATTAACCCTGGCAGCGTTACACAGCTCCTCCTCGAGCCTCGCAGCTTCATCATCATCCAGCGGCGGGAGTATATACCCGTCGTCGAAGGCATGGGGCAGCACCGCTTTCGCCTGGTGGTCGCGCACGCGCGGAAACTCGGCGACCCGTGCGCACCGCCGCAATGGGTGCTCGCGCGCCATGTCGCATGCAACGTCGTCGCAGGCGCAGGAGAAGGTGGAGTCCAGGAAGTCGCCGGACGCGAAGTCTTCCCAGGTGATCTTCCCCCAGCGCGCGAGGTCGTCGGCGGTGGTGCCCGGCTCCTGTAGGTTCCACACGCGGGAGCCAGAGGGTGGGTAGAGGTCGGCCGACGGGTGCGCTGCGTGGTACTCGTCGAAGCTGGCGGTTTGCTGCTCAGTGTCCATTTGGTGGTCCGCCCAGGCTTGTATGGAGTCCGTGGGGAAGAGGAAGGGCTTGCGCGCGAGCGGCGCGGCGGACCACTCGCTGTAGTCCAGGTAGCGCACTTGCGTGGAGTCGCCGAGGCGGTACACTGGGTAGGTGTTCGTCAGGTCGTGGATCGCCGCGGAGTAGGGTGTGTAGGTGGCGCGCTCGAAGTCGAGGATCCCCGTGGGCCGGGTTTGGCACGACATGATGTTGTAGCCGTAGTAGAGGTCGCCGTGGTCGAGGACGTAGGGGTAGTCGGGATCCATCTCGTTGTGCTCGGGGCGCGCCCACGCGTTCGCGCAGTCCTGCTGGATGCGGCATCGTTCCTGGAAGTTGTCCACGTCGGCGGGCCACAGCGTCGACTGCGAGATGCAGAACCGCTCCAACAGGTCCCAGATTGCGTCCTTGGTCGTTGCCCACGGGCCCGAGAGCTTCCCCGCCTCCTGGAAGTACCCCTTCGTCTGGCGCCGGTGCATATACGGCATCGCGACCCTCGGATCCTCATCGCCACCACCACGTATATACTTACTCCTCAGACACAGCAGGGTGATACGCATGAGGGCGACACTGCGCACAAACCGTCGCTTCTGCGCGAAGCTCCAGCCGATGCAGCCGTAGTTGATCTTCCCCGGCGGTAATTCGATCCCCTTGTCCTGCTCGCGCGCGCCCTTGAACTGCTCGGGATACGCCTTCCCCTCGATGCCCGTCAAGATGACGAACGGATTCACCGCCTCAATGTCCGAGTAGATCGTGCGCGGGACCTCAAAGTGCGGGTATATAGTCCCTCGATCGCGCAGCCGCTTGATGCGCCGCGGGATACTCGCCTCGCCGCTGACGGCCGCCGAGGGGAGCACCGTCGGAGCGTGGCTCGAGAAGCTGTAGTAGTACTCCTTTAGCCAGGCGGTGCCCGATTGCGACCACCCCTTGAACCGCTCCGTGTCTGCGTCCTTGTCGTCCTCGTACCGCGCCCAGATCCAGAGGTTGTCGCGCGGGTGCCCGTCCGGCTTCTTCGGCTTCTTGTCCTTGCTCTTGTAGTCTACTTCCGCGGCGAGCAGCGACGCCGCGAGGTCCTCGTCGCTCAGTGGCGCGCTGGGCGCGAAGCAGTCGCTCAAAGGCGGCCAGGTGTGGAAGCTCTCGCTCGTCATGGTGGTATGTGGGGTATGTGGATGGTATGGGATTCGCAGCACATCGGCCAGCGGCGAGACATAAAGTACCCCCTCCCCCCCCACCATCCCCCGGCCATATCCTTTGCCTCAATTGTTTGTTCCAATCACGACGAACAATGAACCACCTCCACGACCCCACGATCAAACTTCAAAACTTCTTTGTTTCCGCCAGTAACATCCACCCTCCCTTTCACTTACAACACAACCCTCCCCCTCCGCGCCAGCGCCACCCATCCAACAATAAGACATACCCCGCCCAGCGGTGTAACCGGTCCCAGGACCTTCCCCCACCCGTGCTCCTTAACCCTCTCCGGCCCCGCCAGGACCATGGCATAGATACTCCCCGAGAACATCGTCATCCCCGCCGTGAAGAACCCCGCCGCCAGCGGGTTGTGCGATGAGAGGAGGAGGGCGAGGGAGTGCAGCAACTAGGTACACATTTCCCCGGTTAGCAGAGAATGGATAGGGGGCGGGGGGGAAGAGGGGCGGACTTGGTAGTGCGCGGCGGTCTCCCAGTTCTTGATTGACTTTGGGTCCGTGACGCGGGCCTTGAGGCCGTGCGCGCCGAAGGCGCCGAGCGCGACCGCAGAGGCGCCGTAGATGCAGCCGAGGGTCCAGGGGGTGGGGATGAAGCGGGACATTTCTATGGCGGTGGTACTGCTGGAGGTAGTACGGCTCGTAGGTGTTACGGTGTAGTTGGTACCACGGGATGGTGGGACGTCAGTTTATACGCACGCACGCACGCCTATCGCGATATCGGCTCGGATGCCCATTGCCGAGAATGATCTGATCTGATCCCTGCATGCACGCGCCAGCGGCCGGCGATCATGGGTGAGCACTGAGCACTGAGCCGAGCAGCACATCCTCGCCATCATAGGCATCAATTACATTAGAGTATTAGGCTACAACTCCTTCATAATCGCACTCAGCACAGATGGAGTGTGGTGTGGTAACAGTTGCCCGAATGAATAACAGCTTACGCACACATCCAAACATCGGACGAAAAGGAAAAGGAAAAGGAGAAAAAAAGATAATACACAAGTAACGCCTGCGCAGCCCAAACCCAAACCCACCCCACTCCCTCGCTCACTCCCTCGCTCACTCCCTCACTCCACCACCCTCCCCCTCAACCTCGCCCCCTCGCCAAAAATCAGCTTCGGCTTCCTCTCGGCGATATCCAGGATAGTCTGCGCAAACACGCTGTTCGCCCACGCGAACCACGGCCGGGTATAATCCGTGACCCTCGCGACATTAACACTCTCGTGGATAAGCCCCTCTCTCGCGTTCGCCTTCAGCACTGCCTCAACCGCAGTGACAATCTCATCATCATCATCCGACGTCATAGCCTGCACCAGCAGTGACAGCGGCCACGCATTCTCAATGCCGATGTGCGGACCACCGATCCCCGCAAACTCCTGGCCCACAAGGAAGTAGGGGTTTCCGTATCTAGAGAGCACCATCCTCCTCGTGTTCTGGTAGGTATCGTCGGCCCTGTCGACGAAGCCGACGAGCGGCAGCGCCAGCAGCGACGGCAGGTTGGCGTCGTCCATCATGATGTGGCTGCCGTAGCCGTCAACCTCGTAGGCAAAGACGTTTCCAAAGACGGGGTGTGTGGTCACGCCGTATTTCATGACCGCGGCGCGGATCGCAGCGCTTTTCGCCTTGAGCGTGGCGGCGAGCACGGGGCTCTTCCCGGTCGCGCTAAGAAGCTCCGCCGTGCGCCCGAGCTCGACCGACATGAAGGCGTTCCCGGGAATGAAGAATTGCAGGATGCAGGCGTCGTCGCTGGGCCGGAAGGCGGAGCGCACCAGGGACGTGTTGGATGCTAGCGGATTCCCGATGCCGTTGAGGTTGAGCGTTTCCGTGCCCGCGTTGGTCTGCCTCTGGAAGGTGTATGTCATGTCGTTTGGTTCGCCGCCGGGACCGAAGGTGCCCACACTCTGCTCCTCGACCACGTCCAGCACCGTTTGCACCGCCTGCAAGAACTTCGGAGTGATGAACGAGGAGTCCTTCGTTGCTGCGTAGTACTGATTGCCGAGCGACAGGAACGACGCCAGCGAGTCGATCTCGTATTTGCACTCGAAAACGACGCCGGGCTCGTACACGGGGTGCACGACATCGCTCTGTCCGTTCGACGTCGGCTCGAGGCCACTCGCGAGCGGCGGCTGGAACGCATTGCAATACGGCGACTCGAGCACATAGTCAGCCTGGGTATTGATCGCGCCCAGGAGCAGCGTCTTCAACGCGGGATCATCCTTCGCCAGCGACTGGTACTGCGTGAGCTGATTCGTGCTGTCGCGGAGCCACTGCGCATTGATATCGCCGGTGACGATGAAGCTCTGGACCTGCTGCGGATCATCGGAGTCCAGATGCCACCGCACGGTCGTGTCCAGCGTGTTCGGGAAGCAGTTCTCAAACATCCGTGCGAGGTCCACGTCCACCATCTTGCTCGTTATCTCCTGGATCTTCTTCTCAACGGCGTCCGACTTGAAGAGTCGGCATTCCGGCGCCGGACGCTGGTACGGGACTTGGTACTGGCCGGTCGTGAATGGCGGGTGCCGCCGTGCCGCGTAGTCTTTGTAGTCGGGACATGCCTCGCGCCGGTACTTGTCTTTCAGGCTTGTGGCGCCCCGTCGCTCGGCCGGCGTTCGCGGAGTCTTTGCCGTGGCGGAGTCGGATATGAGGAGGTACACGAGGAGGCTGGAGAGTATGAGCATGGCTGCGACAACGAGGGTTCGGCGACGGATGCGGAACTGGTGGTTCCTGGAATGGCGGAACTTCGAGGGAGACGGCAGGTAGGGCTTTGGACTTGAGGGAGCAGCGGGGGCTCGGTTGGTGTTTATATGCAGCCCGGGTTCGGGGAAAGCGGAGGAGGACGGCGGAAATGGCTTTGCTCGGTGATGGATCATGCACTCCACGGACAAGGCAGGTCTTAGCAGGGTTGTGAGGCGGGACAAATGCGGTGCTCGCTCGTGGCGTCGTCAAGTGATGTCGGGGGAGCGGTCGGTGATGTAGACAATGGGGGAGGTGCTTGCTAGTAGATCTTTCGCGGTGCCTGGGGGTCGCAGAGGAGACGCGGGACAATACGAACGAATGATGTTGTTGCAGGGTGTTGGTCGCCATGCCAAGTTGGCGGAGCCCGGCAGGCGACAGGGGTCACCGGGGGCGCCCATGGAAGTAACCATAACGTTAATCACCACGGACATCACCGCCACATGGTGAACCCTTTTCCGCGGCGAACCATCTCGAGTTCTCAGCAGCCTCCTTCGCCGCTTCAATAGAGCAGCCACGCTGGACGTCTCGCTTGCATTGCATCGGCCACTTTCTTTTTCGGCACTTTGGCCGAGGAGTGCGGATCACGAGCTCGAATGGGCGCGATCAGCTGCAGGCCTGGGGCGTCTGACTGCGGCCCACTGCAGAAAGTGACAAGGCGGAGGCAGTTTGCGGCAGGTGCCAGTCATGGTACATCACCTACAATCCAAGGTTCAAACGGGAAAACGGGGCCCGCAAACAAGAAGTCAATCAGGATTGCGGGGTCGGTTATGATCGAGGAGCTATGCAGAGTACGGGGGATCACAGGCATTATCACCGCCTGGACAATGAGAACCAGCCAATCAATTCGAACTTCAATATTATGTACAGCCAATATCCGACTCACTCTCAGCACTCAGCATCCAATCTCCTCAGCACTCAGCCCCCCCCCCCCCCCCCCCCCCCCCTCAGCACCCAACCATAAACCCCCCCGCCTCGTCCCTGACCTGAGCAGATTCACTACCATATAGCTACCACTCCGCCTTTACTTTGCCCGCCCTGTCATTCCCATCCGCCTGTTTACAGATGCTCCCCGCCCTCACCCGAGTCTTGAGGCCTGTCTTTTCATTGAACAACTATCCCCGTCCTATTAATTCCAAGAACTGAAATAGAAAGAACGAAGAAAGACGAACCTCGTACTCACTCCCCTGATCGCCCTCGCCCTTGTGCACGCCCATCACCACGCCCGTAGCAATATCGCGATCATCCTTTTCGCCCGTCTCTTTATTTCGCATTCCATCAGCCCCATCCATCCCCATCCCACCCCTTCCCTTACCTCCTCTTCTGGGTAGAGTTACTCACTAGCATCACCAACAGTTTTATATTCGACGCGCATTCCTGGGCGAAACTCTTGTGCCATACCCGGGCCTTCGTCGGCGTCCATGCCAAGGCCCTGGCCGGAGTAGTTCGAAGAGGATGTGGCGACCATCGTGCGGTGGAAGTCTCGGCCGTGGCTTAGTGTTGCGCTGGGGAGCGAAAGGTGGATTCGCAGCGAGGAGGTGATGTTGCGGGTTGACATTGACATTGTGGTTGATGGGCGGAGGTGGTGGGGGGAGGGCTGCTGATATACGAGTAGACAGTCCGGAGATGGGGAGGGGGGATGGGGGGGGGAGGGGTCATCGTGATGTAGACAAAGCGGGTGAGATCATGGTATCGTTCGTGCCCGCAGATGGGTCGCGGTGAAAGACGTCATCCTGTAGTAACGCACTGCCCGGGTACCCTGAGGTCATCGCGGGTAAGATGCAAGCCGCGGCGGAGAACGAGCAGCTGTGATTAGAACCGCCACAACGGCAGCCATGAGGGACGGTTCGAGATAACCGTGAGAGTCCCAGAGACTATCACGTGATATCACTCGTCTGTCCCGACCAAAAATGTCAAAAATTGGAAACAGCTCAGAACCAGAACACTCGTATTAGCCTCAGTGTAATCATTGAACTACGAGTGGCTCCATTCAATCTCGAGTCGCTCCATTTGCATTTCACGCCTCGAAGCCCGAACACCCATCCCGACCCGAAACCGCCTAGCGTCTCCGCAGCTATCTAACCCCTGCACTGCTATCCCCATCCACCTCCCTCACCTCAGCACAGCTCCCCCTCCCCTCCCCTCCCTTACCACCACCACCACCACGCCCACACCCCAAGATGTCCTACCAACCCTATGCGCCTTCCGCCTACCTCCCCACGCCTCTCCGGTCTAACCCGCACCTCAACCTCAACCTGGAGCTAAAACTCTTTTCCACCCCCTCCTCTCGAGAACTATACGAATCCCTGGCGGAACTGCACGCAATAATCGTGACGCTAGAATTCCTCGAGAAGGCCTTCGTACGGGACTCGATCCCACCCTCATCCTACACCCCCACCTGCCTGCGCCTGCTGGGCCAGTACAAGACGCTCCTCGGCAGTCCTAGTGTCGCCGCCGCGTTCGGAGATCTACACGCGTTCCGCGCGCGCTACGGCGTCGATTGTCCCGCTGCTACGAGGAGGCTAGAGACCGGGCTGCCGGCCACGGTCGAGCATGGGGCGGGCGAGGGCCAGGAGCGGCCGATGTTGGTGGCTGCGCCACATTTGGCAACAGGAGGGGAGGGCAGGTGGAGGAATGTTTCGCCTAAGGCGGCGGCAGAGGCTACGCAGAATTTCATCACGTTCATGGATGCGCTCCGCCTGAACTATCGCGCGAAGGATGAGCTGCATCCGCTCCTGGCGAGCGTGATCACCGCGGTGGATGTAGTTACTGGTGGAGGAGGCGCCGGTGGGGAGGCTGGCGGTGGCGGGTTCGAGGGCAGGAAGGATATTGTTAAGTGGCTCATTGTGCTCAATCAGATGAGACCTGGCGATGAGATCGATGAGGGTCAGGGAAGGGAAATGCTTTGGGATCTGGAGAGGGGGTATAATAGCTTTTTGGAGGGGCTGGGCTGAGGAACGGCAATATTCATCAACACTCATCATCATACCCCCCCCCCCCCACCACCACCCCCCCACCAAACGTGTAGTCCAGTAACCGCTCCTAGCGCCATCGCTTAACCCCACCACCACCCCACCCCACCAGGGCCACCACTCCACGCGTCCCCCATCCCCCGCGTCCCCCCCACCCCACCAATCCACCACCACCATGTCCCGTGCCGCGAAAACCACCTTCCTCGCCACAACCGCCGTGTGCGGGCTGACCCTGCTGGGCGTGCACTACCTGCAGCGTTCCGAGCGCGCCGTAACCCCCCCTCCTTGCCCCATCCCCCCCCCCCATCCCCCATCCCCCGACCCCCGACCCCGTTGAGAAAGTCTAACGCGACCCATTCAAGCAAATGCACGAAGGCGTGATCCGCGACGAGGAGCGTAGCCGGATCAAGCGCGAGCGGCAGGACGATTTCGATCTGCAGGCGAAGCTGAAAGAGGAGTTTTTGAAGGAGCAGAGTGTACGGGAGACTACACGGGAGGTGGAGGGAGGGAAGTAAAGAGGATAGAGGGGGGGGGGGTGTAGGATAGGTTCTGGATTGTATGATACTACGGTACGGCACTGGGGGGTAGGCTGGGGGGTAGACTAGGGGGTAGAGTGAGGCGAATCTCCATTTTGTTCACGGGCTTGTACTGGCTGTGGTGGGGGATGGCTGCATCACAGTGAACATGCCAAGTGAAGTCACGGTGAATTCGTTATATAGCATGTACACCTACAATTACGCAGGAATTGCATTCCATATCACCACATCATCTTCACACCTTTTGACCCGGTACCTGACTAGTGTACACAACTATCCTTCGAACGAAAGAGCGTACCCACCCCCACCCCCCACCCAACCCCCAACCCCCGAAAGCGTCACAGAACAGAACGGAACGGAAAGTAAAGTAAAAGAAGCAGCAAACCACGCAGCCGACCCAACCCAACCCAGCCCAACCCATCAATGCAATTCTCGTCGTCGTTACACCACGCCTAGCCACTCCACTAATGCCCACTCCACTCAATAGTGTTCAAATCCACGCCCTCCTGCACGAGTTCCCACAGCGGACTCAACTCGCGCAAGAAGTTGACACGTGCCTTGACGGCCTCGAGGACGTAATCGATCTCCGCCTCGGTGGTAAACCTTCCGATTCCGAAGCGGATGCTAGAGTGTGCGCTCTCGTCGGAGGACCCGAGGGCACGGAGGACGTACGACGGCTCGAGGGATGCAGAGGTACATGCGGACCCCGAGGAGAGCGCAATGTCTTTCAGCGCCATCAGGAGAGACTCACCCTCGACGTACGCGAAGGAGATGTTCACGCAGCCCGGGTACCGGTGCTCCGGACTGCCGTTCAATGTCGTGTGCTCCATCGATAGGAGCCCGTCTTGCAGGCGCTTGGAGAGGTAGGAGACGCGCGCGTGGTCGTACTAAGAAGAGTCAGCGGCTGGTAATGGTAGAGGCGCACTACCCTATTTCTCAGTACCCCTGCACAATCGTCATGGCACCGCCGACACAACGCCTTTGAGGCATTGCTTCGTGCCGCGACGCTTGGATTGTATAGCGCAAGGTATCATCATAGAAGAAGGGAAGATATGCGGCAGGGGAAGGGGCATTACCGAGAGTTCCTCCTTGGCTATCCGACAAGCCTCGCCGAAGCCGACAACCAACGGTGGCGCCAGCGTTCCACTCCTCAAGCCTCGCTCCTGTCCACCACCGGAAATGATGGGCTCGATTCTGACCCTGGGCCGTCTTCGAACGAAGCACGCACCGATACCCTTCGGTCCGTAAAGCTTGTGTCCGGAGATGCTCATCAGGTCGACGTTCCACTTGTTGACCTCGATCGGGATCTTTCCGACAGCCTGGGCCGCGTCCGTATGGAAGAAGATCTTCTTGCTCCTGCACAGCTTTCCGATCTCCTCCATGGGCTGGATCACACCGATCTCGTTGTTGACGGCCATGATGGAAATGAGCGACGTGTCGGGTCTGATGGCGGCCTCCAGCTCCTTGAGGTCGATCAGACCATTAGCCATGACGGGCAGGTAGGTGATCTCGAAGCCCTCCTCCTGCAGATGGCGGCACGAGTCGAGCACACATTTGTGCTCCGTCTGCGACGTGATGATGTGCTTCTTCTTAGCCTTGTAGAACCTGGCCACACCCTTGATCGACATGTTGTTTGACTCGGTCGCGCCCGACGTGAAGATAATCTCCTTCGCATCGGCACCGATCAAGCCGGCAACATGCTCACGCGCCTCGTCCACCGCCTTCTCCGTCTCCCAGCCGTACGCATGCGTCCGCGAGTGCGGGTTTCCGTAGAGACCTGTGTAGAACGGCAGCATCGCGTCGAGCACCCTGGGGTCCGTCGGGGTCGTCGCCTGCATGTCCATGTAAATGGGACGCGAGCCCTCGTCCATTATCGTCGCCTGCTTCAATATGCCTACTTGCTGTCAGCCAATCGCCGCTAGCCCCGGTGAGAGTGCGCAGTAAGCAAGCAAGCAAACATACCTGCCTGGGGCGACATCATCGCATCGGCCGTCATTCCACCGCCCACGTCGATATCCGACGGTAGCCGGCCGGTCTGCTTCAGCACCTCATTCGTCTCGATCTGGCGGTTCTCGACGTTGACGGCGGCAGGGTTCTTGCTCGACGGCGAGACATAATTCCGGCTCCTCTGCAGCGGTCGCAACGCAGCTGGCGATCTGAGGGCGGAGGGGCGCGTCGAGGCGAGGAAGGTGCGCGAGGCCAGTCGCGAGGCCTGTGCACATCGCGCCACCATGGCGGGGGAAGGCATCGGGGATGCGATATGGAGGGGAATGCGTCGGGTATGTATGTGTTGTATCTGTGGTCTGTGGCAGGGGTGGGGAACCCGAACTGCAGTATGTGGGTGTGTGGTGTGTGGTGTGTGGTGTTTCTTCGCGCGAAGAGAAGTGGTCTGATGCCTACTCGGGTGGTGGTGTGGTTGTATGAGGGGGTAGTTGTAGAAGGTGTTGTGGCGGCGGCAATGCGATGTCGAAGCGGATCTGAATTCTTCCTCTGACGCCGGCAACCAACGGCTGCCATGCCAAGCCAGGCGGGGGTGGTGGGGGAATTAGACGAGTCGGTATTGGCGGGTATGATGATATCAGTGGACCGGAGGGGGATATGACGGCAATGCGCGGCCGGGAAGACGGTCCTCCCTATTCGATGACAGAGCAGGCCCGGCCGAGCGAGATACTCTACGTAGATGCGGCCTTTCTTGAAGGCCATCTGTCGTGCACTCCCACCAGCCACCACATGTGCTCGCGAATCGCCGCATGCCAATCAATCCATGACAAATCGACAGCAGCATGTCTCGACGTCGATGCTTAAACAATCTCGGAGTCCGGGCTGCCCTATAGAGACGGGCTTAGGTAATGCTCCACTTGATGACGATTGAGTCACTGTATTTCACTCGATTTCTCCATTTTTTACACGGCCGACCCAGCTTCATTTTCCTGGAAGATCCGGTCTTTCTGAGCACGATGCACCTCGGTGTCTGTTATTCCTATATCTCTTCTTCTTTCTTTTGGCATAGGCTTCTCTCTGTACTCCGTTCTGTTGGCTAGACCTGTTGTCCGCCGTCGTGCTCAACCCGAAGCCCCGCACTTTCACTAGGTTTGCTTTGAGTTCGCTCTTCGCCACCAATTTCACCCAGATTTTCAATTTTGTCCTCCCACCTCCAGTAGAATATCACGTTCTCTCAACCATACTCATACTCACACCCCTTCATCCGTGCCATTCAATTCTCGTTGTCGTGATTGTGGGTTGCCATACCATAGCAATTTGCAGCAGTCACAGGAAAATTCTTGGTGGGGCTGTCATTCGCCGCTAAGCCTCTTTAAGTCGCAGATTGCACAAACTTCCGCAACGCAACTCTGTCGACGACACAGCTTACCAAACCACCCCTCCGGAAACCCAGATCACCCCCCATCCATCTCGACATCATCCACACTCCCTGTGTGCTGCGGTCGCGATAACACACATTCACCATGCCGCCGCCTCCTCACGCTAAGCCTGAGAACGTTCTCAAGGTTCGTCGTCGCTGTTGCCCCACTCGCTGGCTGCTCCTCACCGCTCGAGAGAATCGCCAATCGCTAACAAATCCTTCTCGACAAACAGCGCGCCCAGGAGCTCGTCGCCGTAAACAAGAACCTCGGCGCCCTCGAACTCCTCCACGACCATGTCACCTCGAAGCGCACCCGCAACTCGCCGATCGCCTCTTTGGAGCCGGTCATGATCTTGTTCGTCGAGCTCTGTGTTAGCTTGAGGAAGGGAAAGACTGCCAAGGATGGTCTGTACCAGTACAAGAACATCGCACAGAATACTAGTGTGCAGACGATCGAGGTGGGTTCTATCTGCGATGAGCGAGAGCTGGCGATCACGCGGCTGATATATAGACTTTGCATGTGTAGCTGGTTCTCCGGAAGTTTATTGAGCTTGCCGAGAACAAGGTCACCGAGGCACAGGAGCGGGCTGAGCAGATCACTCTGGACCAGATTGAGGATCTCGAGGCCACCGAGACCCCCGAGTCTATCCTACTGTCCACCGTTTCCGGCGAGCAGTCCAAGGATCGCACCGACCGTGCCGTTGTTACCCCTTGGCTCAAGTTCTTGTGGGAAACTTACAGGACCGTTCTGGACATCCTCCGCAACAATGCCCGCTTGGAGACCATGTACCAGAGCACTGCTCTGCAGGCGTTCCAATTCTGTCTCAAGTACACTCGCAAGACCGAGTTCCGGAGACTTTGCGAGTTGCTCCGCAATCACGTTCAGAATGCCGCCAAGTACGCCAGCCAGATGCATGCCATCAACCTGAATGATCCCGATACTCTACAGCGCCACCTCGACACCCGCTTCCAGCAGCTGAATGTTGCCGTCGAGTTGGAACTCTGGCAGGAGGCTTTCCGTTCCGTTGAGGACATCCACACCCTTCTGAACCTGAGCAAGAGGCCCGCAAAGAACATCATGATGGCCAACTACTACCAGAACTTGACCAGGATCTTCTTGGTCTCGGACAACTACCTCTTCCACGCCGCTGCCTGGAGCCGTTACTACAACCTCCTCCGCAATAGTGCTGCGCAGGTAGCTTCCAACCCAGCGATCAGGAAGGACTCCCCTGCCACCACCGATGCCGACTGGACTCGCGTGTCCTCGCTCTACCTTTTGGCCGCGTTGTCCATTCCCGTCATCAGCCAAGCACGCTCCCGCGGTGCGTTGCTCGATGTCGACGAGGCAAAGAGGACCAAGAACACTCGCTTGACCAACCTTCTCGGTCTTGCTAAGGCGCCCACGCGTGCTTCCCTGTTCAAGGACATTCTCAACAAGGGCCTCCTAAAGCGTGCCCGCCCCGAGATCCGCGAACTCTACACCATCCTCGAGGTCGACTTCCACCCTCTCAGCATCTGCAAGAAGATCTCTCCCATCTTGACCAAGATCGCCGACGACCCCGACATGAAGCCTTACGTCCAGCCTCTTCAGCAGGTCATCCTTACCAGGTTGTTCCAGCAGCTCTCGCAGGTTTACGACTCAGTTCAGCTTCAGTTCGTCCTCGACCTGGCTTCCTTCCCCTCGCCTTTCGAGATCAACCCTACTGTCATCGAGAAGTTCATCATGAACGGCTGCAAGAAGGGTGATCTCTCGATCCGCATCGACCACTCCGCTGGTGTCCTGACCTTCGAGTCCGACATATTCTCCTCCTCCAAGGCTCTGCACCCTGGATCCAGTACCGGCTCTGCCGAGAAGGATACCTCCATCCAGAAGCTCCAGAGCACTCCCTCCGAGATTGTTCGTACTCAACTCTCGAGGCTCGCAAAGGCGCTGTACCTCACCTGCACTCATGTCGACCCCGAGTTCCTTCAGGAGCGTGAGGCTGCTAAGGCCGCTGCCCACAAGAGGGCTCTTGTAGGTGCCGAGAAGGAGCACGCCGAGACCCTTGCCCGCCGCACGATCATTGAGAAGAAGAAGGAGGCCGCCGAGTCTGCCCTGCTCAAGAAGGAGAAGGAGGAGGCTCAGATCCGTGCTGCCCGTCAAGAGGAGGCCCGCGCTGCCGAAGCCGCCCGCGTCGCCGAGCAGCAGAAGAAGCGTGAGCAGGAGCGTGTCAAGGCCGAGCAAGAGCGCATCCGCAAGGAGGAACTCAAGAAGCAGCTCGACGAGCTCGCGCTTGACGCCAAGATCGATGTTGAGAACATGGGCGACCTCGACAGCAACCAGCTTCGCATGATGAAACTGCAGCAGCTCGAGAAGGAGAAGCGTGACATGAGCGAGCGTCTGCGTCTTACTGGCAAGCGTATCGATCATCTGGAGCGTGCCTACCGTCGGGAGGAGGTCAAGCTCCTTCCCCAGGATTGGGAGCGCCAGAAGGCTGAGGATCTCGCTGCGTACGATGCCGCCAAGACGATCACCCTTGAGACCTCTAAGAGACAGCACGATGAGGCTGTCGCTCTCAAGAAGCGCCTCGGACGCCTTGTCGGATCCTATGAGACTTTTAGGGACGATATTAAGCAACAGCGTTCCCAGGAGTTCGAACAGCGTGGTAAGGCTGCCGAGAGGGAGCTACAGAAGGCTATGGACAAGCGCCGGAAGGAAGTGCGCGACGCCAAGATCAAGGCGAAGGCCCTTGCCGAGGCTGCTCGTGAGCGCGAAAGGCTCGAGAGGGAGGCTGAGGAGAAGAGGATTGCCGACGAGGAGGTGCGTCTCAGGGAGGAGGAGGAGGAGAGAGCCAAGAAAGAGGCCGAGCTGCGCGAGCGGATGATTCGCGAGAAAGCGGAGGGCGAGGAGCAACGCAAGTCAGTGATCCCCGCATCAATCCATTGCTTTTCTCATGCTGACACGTCACAGGAAACTCGACGAGACGGCTGCCAAACAGCGTCAACGCGAGCAGGAAGCCGAAGAACGTCGTGCCCGCGAGCGTGCCGAGCGTCAGAACCGTCCCGTCGCCGCACCCACCAAGGCGCCCGATGCCCCCGCCGCCTGGCGTCCTGGTGTCGCTGCTACCGGATGGCGTGAGCGTGCTGCTGCCAAGGCCGCCGGTGGTGAAGCTGCTCCATCAGCCCCCGTCCCCGTTGCCGCCACCGCTGCACCCGTCGCCGCCACACCTGCCGCCGCTGCACCCGCAGCCTCAAACGGTCCCTCGGAGCGTCCCCGCTTCCAGCTCGCCCCCAGGTCCGTCCCCAAGGAGGACCTCCCGCCCGCTGCACCCCGCGATGCCGCTTCCTCCGCCGCTGCCGCCATCTCGCCTCCCTCCGGAGCCGCCCCCGAGGAGAAACGTAGCGCCTACCGCCCTCCGGCTGCCCGTCGCACCGGTGGTGCCCCGGAACGTAGCGAGACTCCCCCCACCGCTGGCGGCGACAGACCCTCATCCGGCGCTGGCGGCAAGTGGGTCCCCTCCAGCAGGCGGAATCTAGGCGAACGTACCGACCGCCCCGAGTCCAGGGATAAGGACCGTGGTGACCGTGGTGATAGGGACTCGAAGCCCAAGGAACCTAGGGACACGGCTTCAAAGTGGAGGTGAACGGACGCGCTGGTCATTGGTTCATTGGTTGATGTTAAGTAGTGCGTATTTTGAAAATTTGTGTGGGTTCCGGTATGCTTTTTGCGTCGTGTGGGGTAATAGGATGTGAGCAACGTGCGTAACTTTGCGTTGCATTCGATGTGCAGAATGGTGTGAATGGTGTGAATGGTGTGAATGGTGTGATTGTGATTGTGATGGTGATTGTGAATCCGTTGTGTGAATTGGAGCAATGCATGGTCCTTTATTCATTGACGATGATGCCTACCAGGCTACCTGCAGATCGTGTTTGATCATTAATGACATCCCGTATGTGTATCACTACCGGTGGATACCTGCTGGCTGGCTGTCGGGAGCATATGATACTACCTATCTGTGATTTCTTCAGTAGTTCAGTCCAGTGAATATTACGGCGGAACGGTAGGTTGGTAGATCCGCACCCAAAACTTGAAAGAAGCCAGCCTCCGGGACATCGCAATGACTGCTGATTATCGAATGGCTGCTACGACGGCGGATCACTACATAAGTACATCTGAATATCGGTGTTGTATCACTACTCACTACTGGCCGTACCTGGTAACGATAAGTGAGCTCTGTCGAAGCTCGTTACTAGCAGGATTCACCTCTTCACTTGAGTACTGCGTTGGACGCTGAAACTCCCTTACCTTTTTAAAAAAAAATCCCCTTAATTCAAGTGATATCACATGCGCCGCGCCGTTCCGTTTCGTTCTTGTAGGTGTGCGGGGTTTTTATTCCGCACTTCGTTTACATGTAGCGCTCAAACCTCAGGGTTGTGTGGGTAGTACCCGAGATGAGAGTTGCGTCTCAAGTGTTACCCAACTCCTGGGCGGAGAAAATGTCAAAACTTTTTATTTTTATTTTCAAGGTGCTCTGCACCTGGAGATATCCTTAGATCTGATGACCAAAGACAGATCACGTCCCGTAGACAACTAGGTAGATCCTCATCTGACTACAAAGATTTCCCTACTTCGTGGGTAGATAAAGGGTATCGTGAACAACTCTATTAACCTATGCTGCAAAATACAGAAACAAGACAACGTTTATGGCTATTTATCATCCTCATCATCACTCTCATCAGCCACTATCGTCGGCGCGCCATCAGTGCCCTCGTCATCGCTACCCTCATCATCGCTGCCAATGCCCTTCCACTCCTCATAGTCGCCATCATCGACCTCCTCATCGCCCGCTTCCGTCGCCTCCTCGTCCACGTCAACATCAGCGTCAGGATCACTCTCGGCCTTACGTTTCCGCATTTCACCGAGCTGACCCATGCGACCCGCGCCTTCCAAGTCCTCATCCTCCGTTTCACCATCGGCCAATTTCGGCACGGGGGTGAACCAGGGAAGTTTTCCACGGATGAAGTCGTTCAGCACCATTTTCGCGACGCCGTCGAGATCGGGTTCGCCACCCTTCAGCAGGCGGCCCGACTTCCGCGCCAGGATCTCGAGGAACTCGATGTGTGTCTTGTACCCGCCGCGCGTGATCTCATAGGTGCGCTCGATGTGCTGCGGCTTGCATTTTGCCAGCACCGCCGGGATGTATTGCTCTGGGTTCTCGACGTTCTCGACGCGCACCACGCCGTGCAGCAGGATGTCCTCTGCCGTGTCGGTTACGGACGGGGGCACGATCCCCGGACAGTCGATCAGGTAGATGCGCCGCATCAGAGTGATGTATTGCCATACCTTGGTTTCTCCTGGGATGGGAGCCACTGTGCACACCTTCTTGGCGCGGAGGGTGTTGATGATGGAGGATTTGCCGGCATTGGGGTAGCCGATCAGTCCGACCGAAATTTGTTTGCGGTCGCTGTGCAGGGAGGAGAATTGTCGGAGCAGCTGGATAAGAGAGCCTTTGCCGAAGGAGTTGGTGATGGAGGCGTGGAAGGCGAGGGTTGGGTGGGATTTGGAGAGGCGACGAACCCAGGCAGCCTAGTAGTTGCAATGTCAGAATTATCGTAATAAAAATTGCGTGATGCAATCAAAGTAAAAATGAAGATGAGGAATGAATGTGTGAAACGTAACTAAGAGCACCCGCACGAGCCCCGCTAGAAGCGGGGAGCCATGGTGCTCAACTCAATACGGAGCACTTCCGCCCCCTGGTGACCCTATCCAAAACGGAAGAAATCGACTGGACATCCTCGCCAAAACGACGAGGAGCCGGTATAAACGGGGACGGAATTGATCTCCCACTATTGTAACAGACTAGATCCATAGGTTTCCGAGATGAACTCGGTGGAAATAGCCTTGACTTAAAACAGTGGGGTGCTGGAGAGCACAGGTTGGGAATTGGGGTACGGGCAAGAGGGAGGGGGAAGGGAATGTTGGGAGCGGTGGGTCTTACTGCTACGCTGGTGGGTACCAAGTCACACTTGTTGAGGACAAAGATCAGATGCTTGTGTGGTGCTTCCTCCTTGATGTATTTTTCAACACTGTGGCACCGAGTACCCAAGGGATCTCGAGCATCGAGGACATGTATTACGACGTCGGACGAGTCGATGACCTGCAGCAGTCTGTTAGCAGCCCATTCGCTGACCTCGACGCAGAAGAAAACATACCTTGTATAACTCGTTCCAAATTCGCTTCGACTGTCCCTTGGAGAAGATAGGCTCTCTTGCCTCTTTAATGACACCAGCCCTCTCCTCCTCGCCCAACTGTCCACTCAGAAGTTTATCCGTCTCCAGTTTGTCGGCATACTTCTTTTCGACGGTCTCCAGATGGCCGGCCATCTCCTCCATGCTTCCAACATCAATCTTCGGCCGCTTTCTCTGCGCCTTAGGACCGAAGGTCGCAGAGAAAGGTTGGGTTCCGACCTTAATCTTTGCCTCATGCTCCTTCTGACCCGGAGTCTCAAGCAGACTCATGGGGAGCTTATTACTCTTCAGGAGCACGGTGTAAGGATCCTTGCTCTTCTCCGCCATCGCCTCTCTGAAGCCGGTCAGGGCCTCCTGGGAGATGACTCTGGTGTTCCCGAACCATTTCCGGTTCGGCTCGATACGGGCTGTGGGGACAGCGCGCGACTGGAAGGGCGCGGCCTGCACGACTTTGCTGCCGTCGCGGTTGAACTTTGCTCCACCGGTATCGCGCAGGTCGTTTACTCGCTTGACTTTCTTCGCGTCGCGGTAGAAGTTCTCGCCCTTGGTCTTGACATTGGCCATGCCATCGCCCGCAGTGGACGAGCGGTCTCTAGAGGGAACGCTCTATTAGATTCAATGCGTGTTGCACCGGGTGAAGTGGGACATACCGACGACTCTTCTCTTTCTTGAAGTTACCCATCTTTGTTGTGGTACTTCGGGGTGGTAGTGGTGTGAGGTGGTGGTGGAATTAGAACCGCAGGCTGCGGCCTGGAGAAGAAAAGGGAAAAGAAAGCGGGCGTGGTGGGGGTTTTGGTGGGTGTGTTGAAATAGTCGTTTTAGGATCGGGGAAAGTGGTGAAATTTTTCTTTTAGCGTAGATAAGTTTTAGCCGCAATTGTGCTTAATGCACGTGATGCGAGTGAGAGTAATGACCACAGTGTCGCCAATAATTGAATTCATCCAACCATTGGCGATCAGTAGAGCACGGATACGAGCGTAATCGCGGCCGCTGAACAGTAAGGACCCACGAAATCGACATTCGCAACTCGGGACATAGTCAATGCAGGTAATATCGTGTGATTCGTGCCCACAACCCACGATTTCTAATAGCAGAACGCAACACCACCCTTCCCCACCCAACACGCCGGTTTTGTTCAAGGAAAGGTGACAGATTGAAACAGAGAAAACCAGAGACATTCACAATTCTAGCAAAACTCCCATTACAGCATCATTAATATCCGCTAGAACCGGGTGCCTGCGGATGACTGTTAGCATTGAGTTCGAGTTGGTGTTAATCGGTAGGGGAAATGTGCCTTCTCGTCCTTCCTTAAGCTCATGAGCATGGCGCGGAACGCAGTCTTGTCACTCCGTCCGGAGCGCACAGCCTTGTCGGACATATCCACCAGCTTGGCGATACGCTCCCAGGCGGTGCCGCCGGCGACCGTGTTCTCGCGGGAGTCCAGGAATTCCTGTGCCTCGCGACTACAGCATAATCAGCTTCCCATCCGCATCGACCCAAGCTACGAGGTAATGTACCGAGTATCCTCCACAGCTTTATCGCGCTTCGAATTGTAGTTCTCGTAGAAGTCGTCGATGTTCTGCTGCGCCTTTGCGATTGTCTCCAGCTTCCGTGTCTCCGAGAGCTCGTCGCGTCGCTGGATCTCGAGAGCTTGACGCTCGCGCCATTGTCTAGTAGTAGCTGATTAGCTCCGACGACGGTGGGGTATCGGTGTTGCGGGCGGGGACTCACTTGACGACCTCGGGCTCCTCATCAACCTCCGTGCTCATCCCTGTGTACGTGTTGTGGCCGGGCATGTAAGGTTCCTCTCCGCCGGTGATGGTTCCACCAGGTCCATCGGTCTTGACATGACACCTGTCAGCTCCGAGCCCGCCGCGAAAGCTAGCTCCGTGTACTAACCTCATGGTCCAAACTCGGGAAGCTGCTCTCGAAAGCTGTAGGGACGGAGTCTCCACCGCCGAGAAGATTGTTGTCATCTTCGGTAGCGAACAGGTCCGCGTCAGCGCCGAGAGTGGCCTTCTCGCGGGAGAGGAAGTCGGCGGCTGGATCGCTGTCGAGGCCGAGATCGAGAGTGGTCGCGCCGGGGAGAAGGACGGGTTCGAGCTGGCCATCGTCGAACTCTTCGATGGAGGGGAAGTGAGTAGCCATATTCGCGGTGTGATGTTCGGGACTAAGGGACAGTTAGATGGAGAAGTTGTTTGCTGATAGGGTGTTGGTGTTGTGTTCCTCCACTCAGTTCCAAGCACAGTGGAAGCTTCCCCTGAAACCGAATTTTACCCGGCGAAGCGAGAGTTGCCAGCCTACCAACTTGTCGCGTATTCTGCAACGCCAGCAACCAACATCGTCTACTCTACCTCACCTCAATATCATAGACCTCAACGACCCCCCGCCATTACCTCTACCGCCACTGACCGTTCCAAACACAAACGTCACCTTCATCATGGCTACCGCCGTCCCGAACGACGTCGACCGCAGTCTCGAGGAGGCCGGCAAGCCGCCGCCAGGGATTGTCCTTCCACCACGCGACATCCGCGCCATCGTCGAAAAAACCGCGGGATACGTTGAGCGTAACGGCCAAATCTTCGAGCAGCGAATCCGCGAAAAAGAAAAGCACAACCCCAAATTCTCGTTCCTCGCCACGTCCGATCCGTACTACAATTTCTATGCCTGGCGCCTGGACGAGATCCGGTCCGGCCGGGGCACCACGCTCTCTGCGGGTCGCGCCAACGTCGTCGCCGAAGCACCGAAACCCGCAGGTCCCAAGGAACCCCCAGAATTCAAGTTCTCGGCACGGATGCCGAACATTTCCGCGCAGGATCTCGACATCGTACGGTTGACCGCCCTCTTCGCCGCCAAGCACGGCCGCGGATTCCTCACGCATCTTTCCCAGCGCGAGGCCCGTAACTACCAGTTTGACTTCCTCCGTCCCAACCACAGCTTCTACCAGTTCTTCTCACGATTGCTGGACCAGTACACGGAGCTTCTGCAGCCGCGTGGCGGACCCAGCGTAGAGGAGCTTACGCGCAACGTGCAGGACAAATTCCACATTCTCGAGGTGGCGCGCGAGCGTGCGGAGTGGACGAAGCACCAGGAGAAGGAGCGGGCAAAGAAGGAGGAGGAGGAAGACCAAGAGCGGCTTGCGTATGCGCAGATTGACTGGCACGATTTCGTGGTCGTCGAGACCGTCGTCTTCACCGAGGCAGACGACCAGACTGATCTGCCGCCGCCGCAGAACCTGCAGGATCTACAGTTCGCCTCGCTCGAGCAGAAGAATATGATGTCCCTCCACCCGTCCGCCCTACGTATCGAGGAGGCGATGCCAACTGCAGACGACTACGCAATGAACTACCCTCCCGCGCAGCAGCAGCAACAGCAGCAGCAACAGCAGCAGCAGCAGCAGCAACAAGTCTGGATCCCGGCGCCCGCCCCACCGCAACCCAGCCACAACGAGCCACAGCCAATGCAGCTCGACCACCACCAGCAACAGCACCCCAAGCAAACCAGCATGAAGATCCGCCCGTCGACCTTCCCCCGCGCGCTCCAGAAACGTCACCAAGAGGCCACCGGTATCTGCCCCAACTGCCAACAGGCGATCCCGCTGTCCGAGATGGAGGCGCACATGCGTATCGAGCTTCTCGACCCGCGCTGGAAAGAGCAGCGTGCGCGCGCGGACGCCAAGTTCGCCACGACAAATCTCAACACCAACGACACGGTGGCGAACCTGAAGCGGCTGGCGAGTCAGCGTGACGACCTGTTCGATAGTGCGACGGGAGAACACATCTCGCCCGAGGAGGTGGAGCGACGAAAGAAGGCTGCGACTGGCGGCGCGTGGGATGGAACGAGCGAGAGCAGGGAGACGGTCAAGATGCGGAGCTACGATGTCAATGAGCAGATTCAGGCGATACATCGGAAGGCGGTGCAGGCGGCTAATCCTGGGGTCGGGCCGAGAAGAGCGTAGTCTTAATGTAATGTGGATGGTTGTTTGTACGATTCTTTTGCTGTCTTTTTTTTTGCTTTGCGGGAATTTTACGGTTGTGCTTTGCTTCATCGAGTGATACAGTGTGCTCAATGTTTGATCCAACCATTGATTTTTTTCGTCTCGTAGTGTACTCTACTATACATCGTGCGGTCTATACATCTAGATATCTTACACCCGCCACATTTTCCGTCCAAAATCCATCCATCCATCCGTCTACTCAACCCCCGCCAGCACTTCCTGACACCTCCCACAAACCCCACCCACAGCCGGCGCCTTATAGATCCAGCACCTAACACACTTTTCATGCCTCGCCTTCCTAACCTTGACCACGCCTCCATCGAACTCCTCCGTCTCCTCCCACGCCTCCATCCCCACCTTTCTCTCCCCATCAGTAATCTCCACACCAGAGACGATACACAGCGCCTCCAAATCCGCCCTCCACCTCTGCACCGTCTCCCTCAGCTCGCTGCCTTCGGGAACAACCACGTCCACCTCAACCTCAAGATTAACCTTAACCCTTCCTTGCGCCTTCGCGCGCTCGAACGCGCGCTTGACAGCATCATGTACACCCTGCATCTTCTCGAACTCGACCAGGAGCTCGGGTTGCTCCCACTCCTGCTGGGGCGTGAAGAACTTTAGCATGCGCTGCTCGTCCTCGGGCACGACGGCAAGCAGCGCCGGCGGCGCGTGGCTCCATACCTCCTGTGTCAGCAGCGGCACGAACGGGGCGAGGAGCGAGACGTAGTTGCGCAGGATGAGCGCGGCGGTGGACTGTGCTGCGCGGCGCTGCGGGGATGAAGCGGAGTCGGAGTATAGTCGGTCTTTGGTCACGTCCAGGTAGAATGCCGACAGCGCGGTCGAGGTGTACGCTGCTAGGGAGGTCACGGATTTTTGGAAGTTGTAGGTGCGCGTGGATGCGAGGACGGTGGTGTGTAGGCGGTGGAGCTGCGCGAGGGCTACGCGGTCGAGCAGTGGGAGCGCACTGTACGGTGTGTATGTCCCGTCCCAGTCGGTGAGGACGCCGAGGAGGAAGCGGGAGGTGACTCGCGCCTTGCGGAGGACCTCGTGCACGTGCGAGAGCACGGTGGGGCCGATGGAGACGTCTTTGGTGAAATCGGAGTAGGCCACCCATAGGCGGAGGATGTTGATATTCGGAACTGAGGATTTGGGCGTGGTCGTAACGTCTGATGGCGAGACTACGTTCCCGAGGGATTTGCTCATTTTCTTCCCCTTGGAGTCGAGCACGAAGCCGTGTGTGAGAATCTGTTTGAACGGTGGCTTACCCCGCGCCGCGATCGAGGTCAGCAGCGAGCTTTGGAACCAGCCGCGGTGCTGGTCGCTGCCCTCGAGATAGAGGTCGGCGACTGTTTCCCGCCCGAGACGTTCATTGAGTGTTGACCACGAAGTACCAGAGTCGAACCAGACATCCATTGTCTCCATGCCGCGGGTGTACGTCTTCCCATCAGCCTTGTACTCAGGCGCGAGGAAGATCTCATCCGGGACCTCGGGGGTGAACCACGCATCCGTTCCCTTCTCCTTAAGGACGGAGATGATATGGTCCACATTCTGCTCCGTCAACAGCGGCACACCCGTCTCGGCGTCGTAAAGTGCTGGAATAGGGACTCCCCATGCGCGCTGCCGTGAGATACACCATTCATTCCGTCCCTTCACAAATGCCGTTAACCGCGGCCGTCCACTCTCAGGAATGAATTTGACATCCTCCAGCGCGGCTACGGCAGGCGCCTTGATATTCTCCGCGTCGGCGAACCATTGTGCGGTAGCACGCACGATGATGGGGAGTTTCGTTCGCCAGTCGTAGGGGTATTTGTGAACGAACTTGTTCTGCAGGTGGAGCAGCGAGCCGGAGGAGGCGAGCATGTCCAGCACTGCCTTTGTGCCACCGTAGAGTACCTCCTTCCCCACGAGGTGTGGTAAAGTATCGGTGGTGTAGCGGCCGTTGTTGTCGACTGGTGAGAACGGCGGGATGTTGTGCTTCTGGCAGACGAGGTAGTCGTCCATTCCATGTCCAGGTGCCAGGTGGACCAGTCCGGTTCCCGAGTCTGCCAAAACAAAGTCTGCGGCGATGATCGGGTGCGCGGGGGTGTCCGATGGGAGGAGCGGGTGTGTGTATGTCAGCCCAACCAAGTCGGCGCCCATGATTCCGCTCTTGGTCACTTCTAGCTTCTCCCCTTCCAGGGCACCCCGTAGATACTCCACCCTCTCCTCCGCTACCAAGAGCTTCCCGTAACTCGTCGTAGCTACAACCGCATACAGCATCTCCTCCCCCACTGCAACGGCCTTATTCGCGGGCAGCGTCCACGGCGTAGTGGTCCACACGGCCACACTCACTTCCCCCTCCCCACCGACCTCACCCAGCAGCGGCATCTTGACGAACGCGGCCTTACTAGCATGCTTCTCGTTATACTCGAGCTCCGCCTCCGCCAGCGCCGTGCCCGAGCTCGGCGACCAAAACACCGGCTTAAACCGTCTATACACCAGCCCCCTTCCCACCATCTCCCTGAACACCTCCAGCTGGCAGATTTCATACGCGCAATCCATGGTCTTATACGCCTTCTCCCACTCCGCCATGACACCCCACCTCTCAAACCCCTTCCGCTGGCTCTCGACCGTCGCTGCCGCCAGCTCCCTCGCCTGCCTTCGTATCTCCAGCGGCGTCATGCGCTTCCCCCTCTCGACCGCATCCGTCACGCTCCCACCGCCAGCGCCAGCCTGCAGTGCCTTAAGCTCAATCGGCAAGCCATGACAGTCCCATCCGGGAATGTACGTGACGCGCTTCCCCTCGAGCACGGCCACGCGGTTCACCACGTCCTTCAGGATCTTATTCATGGCGTGTCCCATGTGCAGCTCGCCATTGGCGTAGGGCGGGCCATCGTGGAGGACGAAGTCCTCCTTCTCCTCCTTCTCCTCCTTCTCCTTCACACCTCCTCGCCGCGCTTTCTGCAGTGCGTACACCTCCGACGTCGAGCGTGTGAGCAAAGAGGCGTGCTGTGAGACGTCTGTTGACGGCCGGATCGGGAACGATGTGCGCGGGAGGAGCAGTGAGGACTTGAGACTCGTCGGAGGGACCGCGTGTGCGGCCGTGCTGAGACGGCCGGTCGAAGTGGTGAAGCGCCGCATCGGGGGAGGAGGTGGTCGTGGTGGGGCACGGTGCCGAAGCGGAAGTTGCCGGGTTTGCTGGGGCATGGTGTGGACGTTGGGGTGCATCAATGCTCACTCGAGGGCGCGTTTTGGGCGAGTAATATCCTGGGAGGAAACTCTTCATGAGTTAGGCAGGAAAGGTCAGGTTTCGGTTCGCCATAGGTAGTCTAGGTAGGCCGTATGCGACAATAAATTGATGTTCTCTTTCTCTATTCACTCGAGTTTATTCACATAGGTACCCATGATGGACTGGGAATCGTAGTGAATGCAGTGAAAACCGTACACAGCGAACTTGAAGTTTTACACCCCCTCTCAATTCCCCTCCTTGCACAACAAAAATCCCCCTTCAGTATCAACCAGTACCAGTACCATTCATCACCCCACCGCTCCCCGACTCCCGAGTCCTCGATAATCTCCCTTCTGCCCACCTCTCCGATCCAATAAGTAAAAGTACATTACATTGCAGCACAAGCACAAACAAGCACAAGCACAAGCACAAGCACACAAAAAAATTGAACGCCTCACGTACCTAGTCAATAAAAAGTACACACTACCTAGAAGACAAGACAAAATGCGAACAGAAAACGGAAGACAGAAAACAGAACACAAAAAACAGAAACCTCCGCCGTGAACACGCCCTCACGCCTATGTAAAAGCAAAGTAGACAAGCAACGACAAGCAAAGGGACATAAAGCCAGTCAGTCAGTCAGAAGAAAAGACAAGAAGAAAGTAAGTTACATCCCGCGAAGCAAACACACCACCAGCACCAGCACCAGCACCACGGACATTTTATATATCCACCTCCGCCGCCGGCGTCGGCGTCGGCAGCAAGTTGACATTCTACATCATCTCTCCACCAACCGCCTTGAAGTCGCTTGGGCGAATCCTCTTCGGCCTTGCGTGGCGGTGGGGATTGACCGGCTTGCGCATGTACGGACTGTCCTCTTCGCTAGGGAACGGCTCGCTAAACACCGTCTTCTGCTGGTTCGCGAAGGGCCCGTAGCCCATGCCGCCATTGGCGTTGGGCGTGATGTTGACGTTGACGTTGGAGCCCTGCGACAAGCCCATGGGGAATTTGTTGAACTGCTGGTGTTGTTGGTGCTGTTGCTGCTGCTGTTGGTGCTGCTGCTGGAAGCCCGCCTGGTTGTAGCCGTTGTAGCCTGCGTGCGGGAAGTTGAACTGCTGCTGGTGCTGCTGGTGGTGCTGCTGCTGGAAGCTGTTGGCGCCGCCTTGGAAGTTGTAGCCTTGGTTGGCGTTGTACGCGTAGCCGGCGCCACCGCCCATGCCGTTCATACCGTTCATGTCCATGCCCATCCCGCCGTTGTTGAAGCCGCCGTAGCCGTTGCCGCCATACGCCTGCTGGCCGTGGTTGGGGTACTGTTGCTGAAAGGCTTGCGCGTTATACATATTCTGGCCGGCGGCGGGTCCGTAGGCGCTTTGGATCTGGAACTGTTGCTGCTGCTGTTGTTGCTGTTGTTGCTGCTGCTGCTGGTGCTGGTGCTGTTGTTGGTGGTGCTGCTGCTGGTGCTGCATCGTCTGCTGCTGGTTCCGCATAGCGGCAGGGCCACGAGGGACTTCGGGGCCGAGGTCGTCTTCGGCGGGGCGCTTCTTTGACATGGTAGCCGTGGATGGGATAGGAGTGCTGCTCGCTGAGGACTTAGTGACCGAGGGTGACCTGTTCGCAGGAGCAACGACCCTCATCGCGGCAGGCGCAGCGGGGGGGATAACAGCGGGAACAACTTTGTGATTATCCTGGGCTATCGGTGCATCGACCGCCTTCTTGACACCCCCGTTTTCCTTCTCTTTCTTGTACTCTTCGACTTTATTCCTTGTCTCAATATCCGGATGCAAAGAATCCAACAGTATCTCCTTAGCATCACATGTAGGACAAACAAAATCGCTCTCCAGCAATGCGTTTTGTATACACTCCTCACAGTACACGTTCTTGCAGCAGGGCGTCTTGACCGCATCTCTCATCATCTTGTGGCACATGCTACATTCGATGCCTCTGTCCTGCAGCTCCTTGCTACCCTTAGGTTCTTCGGCCTTGCTCGCCACGCCGCCGGCCTTCTTCTGGTACGACTCCCACGATGCTTGATCGGCAATCGCGACAACGTATTCACCATCCGCGTTAACCATTACAGAAGTTGGGTTGGACGAGTTGAGCGTCGGGTCGTCGTTGGCCTGCGGCATAGGCTTCTCGACAGTCTTGAGGAAAGACCGCGGAATACCGGTCGTGCGCTTGATCCGTGGCCGACCATCGAAGTTGGGGTCTGCGTTGGTTGGGCACTGCTGAATCCAATGGCCTGTATAGACATTAGCGGTTGCAAACCGGTATTAACGGATTATCACCGACCTTTCTCCCCACAACGGTAACAAACATATCCGGCCGGTGGAGGATGACTGGGCGCAGGTGCCGCGTTCTTCTTGAATCCCTGGTTTCCACCCCGGTAGACAGGTGTCGCACTGGCATTGAATGTCAGTCAACATACATGAAACAAACTTAGGGGTCTACATACGTTGCCAGTTGCTCCTGCGTCTTGTTCCACTGTTCATCTTGGGCCTGGAACATCGCCGCAATTTTGTCCTCCTCGGATTCCGGACCAGTCGGAAGCGGCGCATTGCTGTGTCCATCGCTGTGCTCTGCTTCAGGCTTCTTGGCAGGCTGTGCGGTCGTGCCAAAGTTCTTCTCTCGCCGTCCAGCATTTGGCAGAGCAGTAGTGGGCATCTTGCCGCTGACGTAGCGCTGGGCAGTACCGCGTCCTGGCTTCGAGGGAGGAAGCCGCTTCGCGATAATCGACGTGGAACGCGGTATTATCGTCGTGTCATCGTCGTAAGCTTAACAGCCATATATTAGCATCATCCATTACAAATTAGCTACGGCCAGATTCTCGCCATCCACGAACCTTCATTGGTGTCTTGATTGAAAATAGCCAGATCGAAGTCTGAACCATCTCCTAGCCGGTTGATCTGGATAATCTGTCTCTTGAGCTCAAACACCGAAATTCCGGTTCCGTCAAAAGCAACCCGCGACGGTTCCTTTTGCGATTTGAACTTGAAGAATACTGAAGAAGACATCGCGACTTGTTGTAGTAGGTACTCGTGTTCGGATGGTGAAGGCCGTTCGTGCTGGCGGTCTTGTGCTGATGCTGAGAATCTGCGATTCCAAGTCCTTCACAAAGTACAAATGATGGAATGGGAGTGGCAGAAGGACCGTTCCGTCTTGCCTCTTCCTCGGTGATCGGGTATGAGTGCGAAAATGAAGTTGATTTTATCTCTTCCTTCCCCCTTTCTATCGCAAGAGGCTATTGGCAGGTTGTGAACCGGAGAAGCTGCCGGTCAGTTGAAGAAGTCTGTCGGATTCAGGTGTCGATCCACAAAAACTCTATACACAACAAAGATCGCCTCTTTAATTCTCTCTCTTCGCTCTCCCTTCGTGCTTTCTCTCTCTTCTCTCTCTTTTTTTTTCCGTTGAAAAGCGTGGTATATTTATCTCGGGGAATGTTCAAACACACAAAGTAAGGAGTTGACAGGAAGGTAAAACCACCAGACTGACAGATGGATGACAGAACCTGAGCCTCAAAGGGACCACAAGCCAACTGCCACCGACTAGAATCTAGCGGCGGGTACAAAAAGTTCGACTTGAAAGAAAACCAGCGCGAGCGAGCGACGAGCGAAGTTGCCAACACAAAAAGAAAGCCAACTCTTGAAATTCTTGCTTGTGCACAAGTAGTACCAACCCGACGAGGTTGAGCAAAGCGACCGATGCAGAAAACCCCCACCCAGTGAGTGCTATGAGTTGTTAAGAGCGGGAAGAATCGGCGAAATCTGTGGTTGTGGTTGTTGCCGTGGAGCCGAGGGTAGGTTTCGATGATCTCCGGTTCAGAATGAGCGTTAGATGTCGCGTGTCGTGTGTACCGTTTCAAGACTCGCGGGTCGATGAGGCTGAAGCTGTCGAGTGTGTTGTCACTCGTGTGTTGGTTGAGTTTGGTGAAATCTAGCGTGTTCTTTTCCGGGAGTCAGAGAGTTTGTCGATTTGCGATGTCGCGGTCTCGGAAGAAGCGAGAGAGCGAGAGAGCGATGCCGAGTTGTAGTCGCGCGCGAAGAGAACGACAATCACAGGTACACGGGGATTGCGTGGAAGTGTCTGTTTTCTTCGTGATGGTGCTAGTTAACAAAGGGGTGGTGAGGTGGTCAGCAAGAGTTTGGGAGTATGTTGAGAGAGGGCGAAGAAGTAGGTGATGCAAGAGTGGGGCAGGTGTAGTAGTTGTGGGGAGAGTGTGGAAGGAAGAAGGAAGGAACTTTGGAAGAAGGATGAAGAAACAGGGAGGGTGTGAGGGAGCGACTCAAACAACGAGGAGCGATGTGCCAAGCCACACCTTGCAGTGGTAATAGTGTGGATTACTGCAGAAAGCCACACGTCGGGCCACACATGGAAATAGCGTCAGCCACTGACGCCGGAAACATACAAGCCAAGCCAGCAGGCTGTGCCACACAGGCTTTGCCACACAAAGCACGTCAGCCACACTCTCTGTCTCCAGCCAATCAAATCGCCACAATCGCTCGCTCGCACCACTAATGGGCAACTCTGCAACACCCCCTTGTTATCACAAGTCGTCGTTAAGTCTGTCTGTCCTCCGTCCGGCTTTGCCTCTCGTCTACTCCACCTCCTTCCCACCACCCAAAACCCCCAACCATTAGACGCGTGTTTGGAGCCTGCACCACTCGAATCTCGAAAATTCAATCTGCGCTCGACATCACCTCCATCGCCTCCATCGCCACGCCCCCCGACCACAGAAGCAAACACCACACGCTCAATCACCCTACACCCGACGCACTCGCACACCCACCTTCAATACGTGCCCCTGCGCGTCATCTCGTTTTTCTGGTATAGTCAGGCCGTCTGATCTTTGTCGCCATGGCTGACGGTAATCTCTCCTCCAAGTCGCGTAAACAACGGAAGAAAAGAAGTGCAGATTCTGACTGTCCATTTGTAGAGGCCTTCACAGAGATCCGCCGCCTGCAGCAGGAGCGGAATAGTGCAAAGAAGTCAAAGGCTTTCGATCCGGAGACCCAGCGGGAGAGTTCTTCGACGAAAGTTGCCTTTACCGACACCTTCGACACCACTCTGTACGACCGTGCTGGAGTGGACAAGTTTGCCGGATACAACACCTCGATCGCTATTGATGGCGAGGATGACGATGCCGATATGGTCGGTGGCGACGGAACGCGCCGCCTGGTGGGGCAATACACTGCGACGAAAGAGATGATGAACGAGTTTGCAGGTGGCAATGATGACATAGATCAGATGGCCGACCATGCGAAGGGTAGCCAGATTGCCGACCGCGAGACCGACTACCAGAAGCGGAGATTTGCACGAAAGTTGTCGCCAACCCGGAAGGATGGATTTGCCAACGGCAGTGAAGCCGATACAGACGGCCGAAGTTACAAGGAGGTCATGCAGGAGCGCGAGTTGGAGCGTGAGGAGGAACGTGTTCGACGCAAGATTGAAGAAAAGCTGAAGAACGGCGACAAGATGGAAGGCGTTGAGCACGAGGCGACGTTGAAGGCGGACGACAAAGGAGGGGATAGCGCAGCAGAGGGCACAAGGAAGAGAGTACGTGTGCATTCCCGATTTCTTGGTTTATTGGTTATTAAGATCTTTGCAGAAGAAGCGATGGGATGTTGCTGGCGAGGGCGCGGTCACCACTAAGGAAAGCGATGAAGCCACCAAAAAACCACGATCGAGCCGGTGGGATGTTGCAGGTGCACCGGATGCTACACCAGTGGTCAAGAGATCTCGATGGGACCAGGCACCGTCGCTCTCTGCCGCCACTCCAGTCGGAAACCAGGGTCTCGTGACTCCGATGCACCCGTCCTCTTCCGCGTCCGTTCCCCAGATGCCGCTCACGTTCGGCCTTGGAGATAGGAATGCGCCGCTTTCAGACGAGGAGTTGGACGACATGCTGCCGAAGGAAGGCTACAAGATCCTTGAGCCACCTGCAGGATACGCTCCCATTCGCACACCGGCACGGAAGCTCATGTCGACGCCTGCACCTATGGGCTCGGCATCCGGAATTGGTGGCTTCATGATGCAAGAGCCGGAGAACGCAAGGGTCTTGGGTAAACAGATGCCCACCGACATTCCCGGTGTCGGCGATCTCCAGTTCTTCAAGGCTGAAGATATGCAGTATTTTGGAAAGTTGGTGGATGGTGCAGATGAGAACCAGATGACGGTCGACGAGTTGAAAGAGCGCAAGATCATGCGTCTTCTCTTGAAAGTCAAGAACGGCACTCCACCAATGCGAAAGACTGCACTTCGTCAGCTTACCGACAACGCTCGACAATTCGGGGCTGGACCTCTGTTCAACCAGATTCTTCCGTTGTTGATGGAGAAGACTCTAGAGGACCAGGAGCGTCATTTGCTTGTCAAGGTCATCGACCGTATCCTGTACAAGTTGGATGATCTTGTTCGGCCCTACACCCACAAGATCTTGGTTGTCATCGAGCCTCTCTTGATTGATCAGGACTACTATGCCCGGGTCGAGGGTCGCGAGATTATCAGCAACTTGTCGAAGGCCGCCGGTTTGGCCCACATGATCTCCACCATGAGACCCGATATCGATCACGTCGATGAGTACGTGCGAAACACCACTGCCCGCGCGTTCGCTGTCGTCGCCTCCGCTCTCGGTATACCGGCGCTGCTTCCCTTCTTGCGAGCTGTTTGCCGGTCTAAGAAGAGTTGGCAGGCCCGTCACACCGGTGTCAAGATCGTGCAGCAAATTCCCATCTTGATGGGCTGCGCTATTCTGCCTCACTTGAAGGGTCTGGTAGAGTGTATCGGCCCCAACCTCGAGGACGAGCAAGCCAAGGTCCGCACTGTCACCAGTTTGGCAATTGCTGCGCTCGCTGAGGCCGCCCACCCCTATGGTATCGAGAGTTTCGACACCATCCTCCAACCTCTGTGGACCGGTGCGAAGAAGCAGAGGGGTAAGGGTCTGGCTGGTTTCTTGAAGGCAGTTGGGTATGTGATCCCGTTGATGGACGAAGAGTATGCCAACTACTACACTGGCGAGGTCATGGGCATTGTACTTCGAGAGTTTCAGAGTCCTGACGAGGAGATGAAGAAGGTCGTCTTGAAGGTCGTCAGTCAGTGTGCCGGAACCGAGGGTGTTACGGCAGCCTATCTCAAAGAGCACGTTCTGCCAGAGTTCTTCAAAGCGTTCTGGATCAGACGCATGGCGTTGGACAAGCGCAACTACCGCCAAGTGGTGGAGACGACGGTCGATCTCGCGCAGAAGGTTGGGTGCGGTGAAATCATTGAGCGAATTGTTGACCACCTCAAGGATGAAAGCGAGCCCTACCGAAAGATGACACTCGAAAGTGTGGAGAAGGTTATCGCTTCGCTGGGAGCCGCCGACGTCGGCGAACGGTTGGAAGAGAGGCTTGTTGATGGTGTCTTGTTTGCGTTCCAGGAACAGAGCATCGAAGACATCGTCATGCTGAACGGCTTCGGTACCGTTGTCAATGCGCTCGGAACACGCACGAAGCCGTACCTTCCTCAGATCGTCAGTACCATTTTGTGGCGACTGAACAACAAGAGCTCGGCAGTGCGTCAGCAGAGCGCGGATTTGATCTCTCGAATTGCGGTTGTCATGGTACGCCATTCACTCCTCTCTTCTTTTGATGCGCAGTTACTAACAATCACAGAAACAATGTGGTGAAGACGCGTTGATGGGCAAGCTTGGTATTGTTCTCTACGAGTACCTTGGTGAAGAGTACCCCGAAGTCCTTGGTTCCATCCTGGGTGCTTTGCGATCCATTGTCACGGTTGTCGGTATCAACAGCATGCAGCCCCCCATCAAGGATCTTCTTCCCCGGTTGACGCCTATTCTGCGAAATCGACACGAGAAGGTGCAGGAGAACACGATCGACCTTGTTGGCCGTATCGCGGACCGTGGAGCCGAATTCGTCAGTGCGCGAGAGTGGATGAGAATCTGCTTCGAGTTGCTCGACATGTTGAAGGCACACAAGAAGGGTATCCGACGAGCTGCCAACAACACTTTTGGTTTCATCGCAAAGGCCATCGGTCCTCAGGATGTGCTCGCAACACTACTCAACAACCTGCGTGTCCAAGAGCGTCAGTCCCGTGTCTGTACTGCTGTCGCCATCGGTATCGTTGCCGAGACTTGTGCTCCGTTCACTGTTCTTCCTGCCCTCATGAACGAATACCGTGTCCCCGAATTGAACGTCCAGAACGGTGTGCTCAAGGCTATGTCGTTTTTGTTCGAGTACATTGGAGAGATGGCTAAAGACTATGTCTACGCGATCACCCCGCTCCTCGAGGACGCCCTCATCGACAGAGACCAAGTGCACCGACAGACCGCCGCATCGGTTGTCAAGCATATCGCCCTCGGCGTTGTTGGTCTCGGTTGCGAGGATGCCATGATGCATCTGCTCAACTTGATCTTTCCTAACATCTTTGAGACATCTCCCCACGTCATCGACCGTATCATCGAAGCTGTGGATGCGATCAGAATGGCGATAGGACCTGGTTTGGTCATGAACTACGTATGGGCTGGATTGTTCCACCCCGCGCGAAAGGTCCGCACGCCGTACTGGCGGCTGTACAATAATGCTTACGTGCAGAGTGCGGATGCGTTGGTGCCGTACTACCCCAACCTCGATGAGGAGAGACTGCTGAGGCATGAACTATATATTGTGTTATAAGGGACTAGATTGGCTTAGTCGGGTTTGTCACGGAGGGGTCTATGGATGGACGAGTTAAATGATGCGCGCGCGCCTGTTCTGTTGATTGTTTCTTTTTCTCGTTTCTTTGCGGCGGTGGTGCATGTATTACTTTAGGCTAGAGATCGATGGTTCCCATTGCTTTCAGCCGCATTTTTTTTCCTGTTCATTCCTTCCTTCCTTTCTTACTTCCTGTCGATGTCTAGAGAGTCGGTAACTTGGTCTGTTGTATCCTGGGCTTCCTTTTGCTGTTTGTCGTTCATGGTACATATTGTGACGGTGATAACGACTCGTATCACCGTCACCTAAAATAATTCTATGTCAGTCAGTCAGTCAGTCAGCTTCAGCCCATCGCATTGAAGATGTTGCCGTTGTGTGTCTTATGGTCTTTCCCATCGAGATTCGCGGCCTCGCGGTCAGCTCCATGGACACCCTGCATCCATCCGTCTTGGCAAACCACAGCCGAGCAAGCCAGAGCTCCCCTAACATCAAGTCAACACGAACCCAGCCAGACCAGAGCTCACGGGAAAGCCACGACACTAAACCCCATACACACGGACCACGCCGAACACGTTAACAACCACCACAACACACAACCCTTCCGTCCATCCCTGAACCGACCGACCGAACGACAACAGAACAGCCCTCTGCTTCCATCTTCTTCAATTTCAAACTCAATCGTCTTCTTCACCCAACACACGCCCGCCCAATCCAATCATGTCTTCCTCCGCCGCAGCAGGCACATACAGCAACCCGCTGAAGAAATTCAAGTGAGCTCGGACCTCCTCCTGCTCCTCCTACTCCTCGTACTCCATCCTCCTCCACGTTCCATTTTTGCTGACTGCCAATCGCAGGCTGGTATTTCTTGGGGAGCAGAGCGGTATGTTCCCTGTGGAGGTGGAGGTGAATGAATGGCTCGGGAATCGAATCGGACTGATGGTGGTGGATGCGAATAGTGGGCAAGACGTCGTTGATCACACGGTTCATGTACGATTCATTCGACAACACCTACCAGGCCACCATCGGCATTGATTTTCTTTCCAAGGTGCGTTCGTTACGGATGTTTGAGTGGGAGGGGGTATGTGTGGGTTGGAGCGGAGGTCCTGATGATGAATGCGCGGGCAGACGATGTACCTCGACGACCGAACAGTGCGGTTACAGCTGTGGGACACCGCCGGGCAGGAGCGGTTCCGGTCTTTGATCCCGTCGTACATCCGGGACTCGTCGGTAGCGGTCGTGGTCTACGACATCACAAACCGCACGTCGTTCATGAACACGTCGAAATGGGTCGACGATGTGCGCGGCGAGCGCGGCAACGACGTGATCATCGTGCTGGTCGGCAATAAGACGGATCTGAACGATAAGCGCCAGGTCACTACCGAGGAGGGCGAGAAGAAGGCGAAGGAGTTTAAGGTCATGTTCATCGAGACCAGTGCTAAGGCTGGCCATAATGTGAAGCCGCTCTTCAAGAAGATTGCGCAGGCGCTGCCCGGGATGGAGGGATCTATGCCGGATCAGAATGCTGAGAGTATGTGCTGGATCCTTTTGATGGTGGATACGGCTAATCTGTTGGGCAGTGATCAATGTCGATATTCGGAACAACGACAGTACGCAGCAGGAGGGGTGTGCTTGTTAGACGGACATTGCGGGGAGCGTGACTTTAATATCGATGACGCTAGATGTGGGAAGCTCGAGGGGGTCTATATTACGACGGTGACGGTGATGCTTAATGAATTCAGTGGGCGAGGCGAGGTGGACCGTTATGTATCTGTGCCGATTGATTGAATGACTGATGCATTTATACTACTGAGGATTGCTATGCCCTCGTTATTGATTATGTTTTCGATTTGGGTGTAGATTTGTGTATCTGCTCTGCTGCTTCCTTACCTCATTTGGAGTTTGGTCTTGTACAGCAGAGTTTCGGATCATTCATCCTCCCATCCTCCCGTTGCCGTCTACTGCTACCACTGTGGCCAACATCCACCAGTGTCCCAAACAGGACGGCCCTGCAGCGACTATTGACGTCGCCCATTACCACTGGTTTCCCATGTCTTGCCCTCTCCTCCACCACTCTCCACCACTCTCCACCACCATCATAAACCCCATCTCCATCCGTTAGCCTCCCAGCAGCCATCGTCATGGCGCCCATACCCCCCATCCCCAACCGCCCCTCCTTCACCCGCAAAGTCGCTGCGCGAGTATCCAGCCTAATCGCCAAATTCGAAGCCCTATCATCCACACCCGCAACCCGCAAATCTCCGCTGCCGCGGAAACGGACCATTGCCAGTATCGTCACGCCAGGGGCCAGCACGCTCCCCCGCTCCCAAATCCGGCGGTCGATCCGGAAGACGTTTGCACGCTGGGAGGTCCAGGATGTGGAGCGGCCGGTAGTCAAGATCACGCCCCCGCCCAAGCGGATCATCAGGAAAGGGAAGGCGCGGATGGTGGCCGGCAGGAGGAGGGTCAGCTTGCCGGAGCAGAAGAGGACGGTGCTGGCGGCTGCTGCTGCTGCCAGGAGGGTCGTCAGTGAGGAACTTGACGGGCCCGTGCCGATGTCGGTCCCGCTGGAATCTGTGTCTACGTCTGATACGTCGGCGTCTGAGGCTACGTCTGAGGCTCTGGCTCCGCCCGTGGCGAAGATTGTTCCCTCGTCATTTTTTAGGCAGTTAGTCGTCGAGGAGGCGCCCCCACAGCAGAGGACGGGGGTGTTCACTGATAGTGAGGATGAGGCGTTGCTGGTTGTTCAGGAGATGGTCAAGGTCGATTCGAGGAAGTTTAGGATTCGGAGGCAGGGGACTACGGGTAGTCTGTGGAAGAGACGGATCACGCCGCCGAAGATTTCGGTCAGAGATTTGGTTTCGAGGTTTAGAGTGGGGGAGGCGAAGGAGCCCGCGGGTGATGTGGCTGGTGGGGATGAGGAGGATGCGCAGGAGAGCGAGACGGAATCGGATGAGGAGAACCCAAGTGAGGTGGTTCATGAGGATCGGTCTTTGGAGACCGAGGAGAGTAGTTCGGACTCAGAGGCACCTGTTGCACCACATCCCCCGCTTGCGGCGTCGCAAGAGATATCTCATGTTGTTGTGCATGGCGATCTGGTCATGGTACTTCTCTTCTTTCCGGCATTGTGGTGGCTGGAATACTGACTGTATTGTTTCCTAGCCGGAAACTTCTCCAGCCACTCACATACGGATAATCGGCGGCGACAGTATCAACAAGCCCTTCATCGCGCTCACGAGACTGGACACACCTCCCCTCCCCTCCTCCAAGAAATATCGCAAGACACCACCACCTCTAAGTTTCTTCCGAGCCAAAGCTAGACGTTCCCAATACAGTATTGCCCCATCAGTGGGCAGTAACACGGGTGAATCCGAGTCTTCCTCGGTCCGGACAGGGACAACAACCGGTTCTACTACCTCAAGTGGCAGCTGCTATCTCAGCAGTAGCTATTCTAGCTCGAAAATGAGCTTTCGAGGTGGAATCACCATCTGTGCAGGACTACCGGCGGCATCGATCATCACCCCCGTGCCTGTCAACGCTGTGGCAAATTCGGCGATTCTCGCGATGGTTAGTCGTGTTAATGAACTGGGGGGATTCAAGCTCTAGCAGAGCGTGTATTGTCGGAGAGAATTGAAGAAGTATAGATACGTTTGAGTGAGTCAAGTGAGCTGTATAGGAGTTAATTTGTAGGCGGGTTAGAGTTCGTTAGAGTTGGTTACATTGGCTGGTAAGAGGCATTTGGTATTGGAATTACGCGCGAATAGCTCCTGTGGTGGAAGGGTCAGAGTCAGTGCTTGTTATTGCTTTTCTCGTTGGATTGCGTTCTGTACAGTTTCCAAATAGATTACATTCACTGTATAGCACTCGCTCAATTCTCAATCGCAACCCCCGTGAAAGCGTATTTGTGGTCATGACAGTCTTGGCGGGAAGCAGGGGGAAGCACCACAATTGACCAGAGTGTCTCTCACCCCCCACTACCACCACACTAAACCAGCTACCAAACATCCATACCCATCTACCCATACACACCCTCCTTTCACGACCTCACCTCGAGCACTCGGCAGCTGCGCACCCCCCTCCCGATAGCTCCCACCATCCCGCACATTACCGCCCAGCATGACGTCCTTCCTCGAGAGCGCCTACTCGATGGTGCACATGGACAACACGGCCGACCAGCCGTCCGTCCAGCAGCTGCAGCAACAACTCGAGAAAGGGACCGACGACGGCAAGATTGACACGATGCGCAACATTCTCACAGTGATGCTGAACGGCGACCCCTTACCGCAGCTGCTGATGCACATCATCCGGTTCGTGATGCCTAGCAAAAGCAAAGCCCTCAAGAAGCTGCTCTACTTCTACTACGAGATATGTCCGAAACACGATGCGAGCGGGAAATTGAAGCAGGAAATGATCTTGGTCTGCAATGGCATCAGGAACGATCTGCTTCATCCGAACGAGTACATCCGTGGTGCGACGCTTAGGTTCCTGTGCAAGATTAAGGACGCGGAGCTCCTGGAACCGCTGCTCTCCTCGGCAAGACTGTGTCTGGAGCATAGACATGCGTATGTCCGGAAGAACGCCGTGCTCGCTGTTAGCTCGATATTCCAGCATTCCGAACACCTCATCCCCGATGCTCCGGAGCTCATCTACACTTTCATCCAGGCGGAGAACGATAACACTTGCAAGCGGAATGCGTTCGTAGCGCTGAGCTCGATCTCCCACGAGAAGGCGCTGGATTATCTCACCCTGGTCTTCGATGAGATTTCGAGCCTGGACGAGTTGACACAGCTGGCGCTGATTGAGTTTATCCGGAAGGATGCGGTGATGAACCCCGGGAATAAGGTTTGTGCCGTCTGCGGATATCCGGGTCGGTCCATTGTGTGCTGATCAATGCCTCGCAGTCGAGGTACCTGCGGTTAATATTCGATCTTCTCGAGGCGTCATCGAACACTGTGGTCTACGAGGCGGCAACGAGCTTGACGGCGCTAACGGCAAACCCCGTCGCCATCAAGGCGGCTGCTGGGAAGTTTATCGAGCTGTGCATCAAGGTGTCGGATAACAACGTCAAGCTCATCGTGTTGGAGAAGGTGGATCTGCTGAGGAAGAAGAATGAGGGCGTGTTGGATGGGCTGGCTATGGAGATCCTGCGGGTACTGTCGAGTCCCGATATTGATGTCCGCCGGAAGGCGCTGGATATCGCAATGGACATGGTGTCGAGCAAGAACGTCGAGGAGGTGGTGATGCTGCTTAAGAAGGAGCTGGCAAAGACCGTGGACCAGGACTACGAGAAGAACAACGAATACCGTCAACTCCTGATCCATGCCATCCACACCTGCGCGATCAAGTTCTCGGAGGTGGCAGCCAGTGTCGTCGGCTTGCTCATGGACTTCATCAGCGAGTTCAACAGTGCGTCCGCGGTCGATGTCATCACCTTTGTCAAGGAGGTCGTCGAGAAGTTCCCCAACTTGCGCGCGCCCATCATCGAGCGCCTCATGTTGACGCTGGGAGAGGTACGATCTGGGAAGGTATACCGTGGTGTGATGTGGATTGTGGGGGAGTACTGCGTCGAGGAGAAGGATATCCGAGAGGTATGGAAGCGGATACGCGCCAACCTGGGAGAGATCCCCATCCTGGCCTCCGAGCAGCGGCTTTTGGACGAGCAACCCGAAGGAGACGCAGAACAGGCCGCCGGAGCGAAGCAATCGGTCCCGTCCGGTTCGCGAAAGGTCCTGGCCGATGGTACCTATGCCACAGAGAGCGCTCTCACCAGTGATTCCGCTGTTGCCGCCAGGCTCGAGGCGGTCAAAGCTGCGTCGAAGCCTCCACTCCGTTCGTTGATCCTCGATGGCGACTACTACCTCGGAACCGTGCTCGCCTCCACGCTCACGAAGCTGGTAATCCGCCACGCCGAGATCTCCGACGACATTGAACGGACAAACGCTCTCAAAGCTGAGGCGATGTTGATTATGATCAGTGTCATCCGCGTGGGTCAAAGTCAGTTCGCCAAGGCTCCCATCGATGAAGACAGCATCGACCGTATCATGTCCTGCGTGCGGTCGCTCGCAGAGTTTGAGACCAAGAAGGATGTCAAGAATGTCTTCCTGGAGGACACCAGAGCTGCGTTCCGTGCTATGGTCCAAGCAGAGGAGAAGAAGCGCACCGCCAAGGAAGAGGCCGAGAAGGGACGGAACATGACCCAGGTAGACGACGTGATCAACATCCGTCAGCTCAGCAAAAAGTCCGCCACCGACGGCGCCGATGAGCTCGGCCAGGACCTCGAGAAAGCCACTGGCGGTGACGCCGGCAGCGAGGATCTGTCCAGCAAACTCTCCCGCGTTGTCCAGCTCACCGGTTTCTCTGACACCGTCTACGCCGAGGCCTACGTCAAGGTCCACCAGTTCGACATCATCCTCGATGTCCTTCTCGTCAATCAGACCACCGAAACCCTCCAAAATCTCTCCGTCGAATTTGCTACCCTTGGTGACCTCAAAGTGGTCGAGCGGCCCACCACCCAAAACCTCGGACCTCACGCCTTCCAATCCGTCCAGTCGACCATCAAAGTCTCCTCCACCGACACGGGCGTGATCTTCGGCAACGTGGTGTACGACGGCGCGTCCAGCACCGAAACCAACGTCGTAATCCTGAACGACGTGCACGTCGACATCATGGACTACATCCAGCCCGCGCACTGCACCGAGACGCAGTTCCGCACCATGTGGACCGAATTTGAGTGGGAGAACAAGGTCAACATCAACTCCAAGGCCAAGAGTCTGCGCGAGTTCCTGGATGGCCTCATGAAGGCGACCAATATGGCGTGTCTCACCCCCGAGGCCAGTCTGGAGGGCGATTGCAGATTCCTTTCCGCGAATCTGTATGCCAAGAGTGTTTTCGGTATGCATACCCCCCCCCCTTCCCTTCCCTTAGCGACTGGTTGGATAGTGCACGGCTGATGCTGATTGATTGTGATACACAGGCGAGGATGCTCTGGCAAACCTGAGCATAGAAAAGGACGGCGACGACGGCCCGGTCACGGGATTCGTAAGGATCCGGTCGAGATCGCAGGGGTTGGCGTTGAGTCTGGGCAGTCTTAAGGGGTTGAATAAGGCTGAGTAATTTGATGGATGGATTTTTTTTTGTTTCCCTCTTCTCTCTTTTTATTTCACTATCGTTTTCTTTCTTTTATGGGGAGCGTGTTTGTGCTGTGGTTTTTTACTTTACTTTACTTTGCTCTATATTTGAACCGTTGATGTTTTGATGATGACGGGGAAAGGCACGGGAAAGGCAGGGAAATTTTTCCTTTTGTTGGCGGCGGTGGGTAGATGTGCTTCAATGCGACACTCGTCGACAATTTCCTTTTCTCTCTGCCCGTCTGGCCTCCGTCGTGAGATAGGTGGACGAATCGGACCCGAGTGGCTGAGGGTGTGAAAAGCGAGTGAGATTATGAGAGGATGTATGTATACTCTAGGTATCGAGAGCCAGTGACCTCGCTCTGATTGAACGTACTTAAGTAATGACTGGCTCTATTTGCTATTTGCTATCTCTCCTGTTTATGGAAAACATGGTCTAGGCACTCCCGCTCAGCTCCCAGGGCTACACTCCCTTCTTTGCTACGCTCACCATTGATAACTACTGGGAGACATCACGCATCCTACAATGTACCTAAGTGCCCGATCAAATCGGATCACTATCTATCACTACATATCACCGTGAGTGATTATTCATGTCTACCCACCAGCCCATCACTCTGGCGCCCGCCTGCGTCTATTTCCCGCGTGCTGGCGCTCGTCCTGTTTCGAAAAAAGCAACCAACTCATCGTGTCCATAGTGTGCCGTCTCAGATGACGGGTTTGCGGCGTGCGCAGTGTGCACTTCCCTGTTTCCCGTGCTCGGATCACTGACGTCATCCATGATCCGTCCGAGCTCTGGCTGAGCAGGTACTTGTTTATCACTATGTAACAATCCGCTCTCGAGCTCTCTCAAGCTCTTTACCACCCGCAACACCGTAGACGACGTACGATATACGATACACACCACGATGCCGACCTCGAAACCCCACGAGCACGAGCCCTCCCTCGAGAGCGCGCTCACCCCCACCCAGCGGCACGCGCTCCTCCGCCTCCTCGACACGACCACGCACTCGATGCGCCAGCAGATGGGCCACACCGCCGGCGAATCCGCCGAGACCACCTCACTGCGCACGGCGGCAGTGGGCAGCTTCACCTCGTGGGCGAACCCTTTGCGCGCGCGGATCTCCTCGGTCTTAGGAGCTGCGGAGCCTTTCTCCACCTCCGAGGACGAAGCCGGGCTAGCAGAGCACGGGGATTTAATCCTCTCCTCGCTCCTGCTGTTGGTTTTATCGACAGAGCGCTACGACGCGCGCTCGCGGGTGCTGCTGACGAGGCTGTGTGCGGAGCTGGGGGTTTCCGTGCAGAAGCTGGCCGAGCTCGAGGCTTCCACCGCGGCGTCGCTGCTAGCGGCCGCACGGCACATGTCCGCCGAGGCCGAGACCGCCAGCCGCGCGGACGCGGCGCGCGCAGGTCGGAAGTGGAAGTGGGGTATTGCGTCGGTGGCGGGGGCGGCGTTGATCGGTGTTACGGGGGGACTGGCAGCGCCGCTGGTGGCCGCCGGGTTGAGCACGGTGCTGGGGACGGTGGGATTGGGCGCTACGGCTGCCGCCGGGTATTTGGGTGCCCTGGCCGGCAGTGGCGCATTGGTAGGGACGCTGTTTGGTGCGTATGGGGGCAGGATGACTGGGAGAATGGTGGAGAAGTATGCGGCTGAGGTGAAGGATTTTAGTTTTGTGCCTGTAGGGGGTGCGGAGGAGGAGGGGGAGGAGGGGAGGAGGCTAAGGGTTGCAGTGGGGGTTACGGGGTGGGTGGTGGATGCGCAGGAGGATGTGGTCGCGCCGTGGAGGTGTCTCGGCGGACATGGAGTGGAGGCGTATGCGCTCCGCTGGGAGGTGGAGGCGCAGCAGGAGCTGGGGAACGCACTCAGGACGATGCTGGGCGCTTATGTCTACGGCAAGGTCAAGGGGGAGATCATCAAGCGCACCGTCTTTGCAACACTGTACTCCGCGCTCTGGCCGCTGGGTCTGATGAAGGCGGCAAAGCTCGTGGATAATCCGTTCTCGATCGCCATGAGACGCAGCGAGAAGGCGGGGCTGGTGCTGGCCGATGCGATTGTGAACCGTGCGCAAGGTGAGCGGCCGGTGACGCTCGTGGGGTTCTCGCTGGGTGCGAGGGTGGTTTATACTTGCTTGCTGGAGCTGGCGGAGAGGGGCGCGTTTGGGCTCGTCGAGAATGTCGTCCTCATGGGCTCACCAGTGCCGGCGACTAAATCTGCGTGGGAGAGGATTAGGATGGTGGTTTCCGGCAGGGTGGTCAATGTCTTCAGCGAGCAGGATTATGTCCTCGCGTTTCTGTACAGGACGAGCAGCATCCAGCTGGGCGTTGCCGGACTACAGAAGATTGAGGTGACGGGTGTCGAAAATGTCGATGCCGGGGAAACAGTGGCTGGACATCTGAGATACCGGTTTGCGGTGGGAGGCTTGCTAAAGGATCTGCTTGAGGGGGATATCGAGGTCGACGAGGCGGCGAAGCAGCAGGATGTTTTGAAAATATTGGAGACGGAAGATGAGAAGAAGGGGGACGAGAAATGGGATGAGGTTGAGGAGGGGAGGAGAATCGTGGCGGAGAAGGAGAAGCAGTAGAGGCATATCACATTTAGAGCGTACAGGGAGAGAAGCAGCAATGTCATATTCATTCACCAAACGCCGGGTCTATGCACCATATCCAACCCACCCAGCCCACGTCAATGGTCTATGCACCATATCCAACTCATACAGCCCGTCAATTTTACCTCACCACCTCCTTCCCCTTCCCCTCTACCTCCGCCTCCGGCTCATCTCTCGGCAACATCATTCCCATCCTCGCCAAAAGTGTCCCCGCAGGCCCACTGAGTCCTCCCTGTCCCTTGAAACTCTCGAGAAGGTTCTTTGCCAGAGTGTAGTCGATATCCACCACCTCTTTTTCATTATCGTCGTAGTCATCTTCGCTATCGTGATCATTATCATCCTCCTTTATCTCCTGGATTTTCGGCACAGTGTCCCTTGAGATAGCGCCGGCCTCCGTGAGCTCCTTCTCTATCTGGTCCTGAGCACGGCGAATAGCAGCTTCCTCTTCTGCGTCCGCTGATGGCGGCGGAAGTCCCATCATGTCCCGCATCATACGCTCAAACTCGTCTTCGTTGAAGGACACTGATTTGTCCTCTCCAACCACTTCATCATCCTCATCGGAGATGTCATCATCCGAGTTCAACTCCTCGTCGTCGCTAAACGTGACACCATCGGGACCAGCCTTGTCGTCGTTGAGAAACTCCTCGAACCGCTCCACCATCCGCTTCAACTTCCCCTCCTGGTCCGCATCGCCTCCCCAGCCACCCGCCGCCGGCGCACCTTTCAATCCCTTCTCAAACTCGGTAAAGTCGATCTGTAGCCAGTCCTCGCCGTCTTCTTCATTGCTCCATGTCGCGATCTCTGCATCCGTCGGACCGGCATAACCTGAATCAATCATCGCCCTTATCTCACGAACCAGCGTCCGGCGGGTCTCGCTAGTTAAGAGCACCTCACTCGCTTCCGCAAGCAACATCTCGAAGCCGGCGGTAACCTTGACACCAACATCCGTCCGCCCCTCTTCGGTCATCGGAAACTTGGCCTCGTACGGCGGTAGCCACACCTGACCCTTTAGCTGCGCAAACAGGACCTTCGTGAACCGGGCACTGATCTCGACCGTATCCCTCCACGGAAACCTAGTCGTCGCGGGGCTCTTCTGCAGTGCCCTCAGCGAGACCGGATCACGAACATAGAACGCTTCCACGGCCGCCGCAATACTCCCCGGGCTGCTATGCAGCACGCCCGCAATCTTCCTCGGGACCACAATCCTCGCACGATGTGCGTGCCTTTCTGCCGCAGCCGGGTATTCCCTCGTCCTCGCGAGCGCCTCAGTCTCCACCCGCTTATCGCGGACCAAGCTTTCCGGATCGCACCCAGCCAGGAATTTCAGCGCCTCATCAAGCGAGATCTCCTTCTTCGCGGTCTTCTTAGCCGCCGGGGGAATGATCAGCAGGCGGCCCTGGTGCAGCCAGACGCGGTGTGCGGCGACGTCGGGATTGAGCCAGCGCGGCAGCGCGTGCGCCGCCTCGATCAGCAGGAACTCCCCGTCCGAGTCGCAGACGCGGATCCAGGCGTGCGGGGCTTTGCGCGCCGCTTCGAGGAGGATCGACACTGCCAGCCATTCGTCGTCGATTGCGTCGCCGTATTCGAGTGTGCCCGACAGGTAAGTGCCCGAGGCGGAGAGCGAGATGTCGAATGCCGAGGTGCGCTGCCAGATGTAGCTGTGCGTCCAGGCGTGTGCGATGGAGAGGATCGTGTCCCGGAGGGAGGTGAGGGCGGTGGCCGAGGCGTGGGGCGCGAGGAGGTGCGCCGTGAAGGCGAGGGTGTCGCTGGGGAGGACTCGTGTAGGGATGCCTTGGAAGGGCCCGGTGAAGTGCTTGGAAAACGGGTCTGTCCGTGGGTCAGCAGAGGGCACGGATTGGGTGGCCATTCTTGGTAGGTGTGCGGGTGACTGGAAGGGAGGCGGCGATGGGCGGCGATGGGCTGGTGGTGGCGGCGTGGGATTTTTGGCGGCGGGGTTGCAGTTGCAGCCTGCAGGGACACGTGCTAGCGTGTGCTGTGATGTGACGTCGCGTTGTTTCAGGTGTGGATCAACGGGAAGGATGCAATGGCCAAACGGTAGCCACGAGGTCAATTTCGAGAAACCAAAAAAAAGAATCAAATGGCAAAAAGCTCGTCGCATCTTGAATCCTACTATATGTACGGTAGATATATGGGGTGTAATCCTGGAATGTGGCTATTTCTGCACTTGGTGTGCGGGCGCCTGTCGTCAACCTGTGTGGCAATTAGCGTGAGAGACTGCGGCTATCTGGCGCTGATTACCTTTCCGGCGGCAGTGGCGGGATTATGGTGCATGATCTCAGGATATCACTCAACATGATACGTTTGCCAGATGCATGCGTACGATAAACCCCATGGCTGTTTAATAGAAGCAATTGAAGACGGATTCTGAAGACATAATTTCAGGTTCATTGTCCCCCGTGTGATATGTATGGAGGGACTCTCGTGACAATGAGCCATCCTTCTCGATACAACATGAGCCAGGAGGATGTCCCAACGAGCCTATTTCCCATTGCTACAGCTACTCATGAACACAGCGTGTTGGCGCTCGCAGGCGTCCTCTTGAAGGCCAGAATCAAAGGGCAAGCCATCAACCGGGAAGCCGGTGCTCTTCTGTAATAGAATGGCCAACCACCAGGTAAGCAGTTAAGTCAACACGAAGACCTTTGCATTCAAATGCAGCCCCTGACAAAAATAAACACAGCCAGCCCATCCGGACTCTGTGGGCGGCAAGTCTCCTGTCTCACGAACCATCCTATTTTCTTCCATCACATACTACTGCCCAAATATCCGTCTACCTACACACTACCAAAGAATGCCGAAGCGCCTAGCAACGGAAGTCTTCGACGACTGCTACTGCCCGTACATCTGCGGGCCACATGCACCGGGCAGTCCAGAAGCGTGTCGGATGCCGTGTCGCAGGAAACACATGCTCCACCCGGTGTGTCTACAGCAATGGAGGAGCGAGATGAGGAGACTTAGAGACCGAAAGTTGCCGTGCGGGTGCGCGGGGAGTCTGGCGGCTATAGTCGTGTTGCGGTGGAGGTTTCATAGGTATTTGGATTGAAGATCCTCCCATAGCTAAGTGAGTAAGTACTTCTACCTGGGAGTGGGTTATGTCGCGGATAGTGAGTTGTAACAACCCTTGCCGGTCTGTTTCTATTCAATTGAAGTAACTATCACCATTCCCTCGTTGACGCTCTCTTTTTTGGTTTATTTATTGCTTCCAAGTGCGAATACATGGAGCTTCCTCGTGCAACCCCCGCCCAACTGTCATCTCGGTGTGTCTATTTAGGTTGGCTGGTGTGGCAGCATCAAATTGCACACGCCTGCTCGTGGGAGAGCTGCGTATGGAAAGTAACAAACTTGGTCGCCACCATCTCACGTTTGTCGCTATTCTTTTTTTGTTTAATCAGTAAGTATGTAATTGTTTGCGGGTTTGTCGCTATTCCTAGCTATGGGAATGTGTTCATAATGACTCACTCGGAGCTGGAATGACTTCGTGTGATGTCAAACATCTGTCAACACCTTGGAATGTAGTGGTGATTTCTGCACAACAAACTTTTGAGTCGCGGCTACTGCGCTAGAAGTGGTTGCTTAGAATTCCACCCGCTTCACCTATAAAACCCCCCTTTCCTCCCAACTCTTCCTCTCTTTCTCCTTCCTCCCTCCACTCATTAACTTCTTCTCCTTCTTTCCCGTCTGATACTAATTAGTGATTCATGCTACCGACTTAGATTACCTAGTTTAATTATTTTCCACGGTCCGATATCGACAATAGGGGTACTGGCAGTAACGCTACTGTATAGTGAAGGGGGGGGGTAAAAAATACGCTTTGTGGCCGTACCGATACGGTACGCCCACAAAGCGTATTTTTTACCCTCCCCTTCACTATACAGTACCTTCCTTCCTTCCCATTTCTTCCTCCCTTCCTTCCTTCCTTCCACTTGATCTCGAGATCAAACCTCGAGGTAAGTTTTTCTCTCTCCCGCCACACTTTTTACTTCCAGGATAACCTCACAGAGCCATCCTGCCCAGCCGTAGCAGCGAGGAACTGAGGATCCGTGCAACCTGTCTACAAAGTAGACTGTTGCAGCACGAATAGACGGACCCAACCCTCGAGGCTGAGTAGAAAAGATCCAACTTGAACGGGGTTTTCTCTTCTGCTACCGGCACAAGTTCTTTTCCCCTTCCTCTGGGAGTCCAAGTCGGGTGACAGCCGACTTGCTCCCAGTCGGTGGATGGCCTCTCCGAAACCGGGTGACAGCCGGGTTCGTGTTGATGGGGAAGAAAAAAATAAAGAAAGTATAACTTCCGAGTTGTACGCGTGTATCGTGGTTTATTAACCCCCACGTTATGCGCTGAGGTTTTCTTCCCTTGCTGTGAGAGAGCATTGAGCAAAGGTCTTTCCTCCTGGCCATGCATGCGCTTGTGTGAGAGATATGCCACATGCATGGCCAAGGCCCACTACATGCCTCCGAAACCGGGCTACAGACGGTTTAGGACGAGTACATAAATAACCAAAGAAGTATAACTTGGTCTACTACCGTCCCAAGATATACGCGTATAACGTGGTTTACGAACCCCCCACATTATACGCGGAGGTCGTCTTCCTTTCAGAGTAAAGGTCTTTCCTCCGGCCATGCATGAGAAGCATGCTTGCACCATCGGCCAAATGTTGTTGCTCTGGCCGCTGTGCGAGAGGGCGATATCGGCTTCTTAATTGACTGCGGGGTGCACTCTCAATCCATGGCTGCTTCCCGGCGTCTCCCTGGTTCTTGGCTGTCAAATATACTGAGATCGATAGGAGGATAGGTAGGAAGTTGTGACCATGTTGTTGCTTCCTTCTTCGTCTACTACGAGCCGGTGCCCTTCTATATATCCAGAATATGGCTGCCATTGTGAGATACCGGTAGACCCGACAACGAGACTTGACAGCAGAACACATCTCCTCCTCCGGACTCATCATACTGCTCGCATGACCGACTCGTTGACTCCTTCCGAACAGTGCTCCTTAAAACTTCACTATCACCTTACAGCGGTTATGAGGAGAGATCCTTCATATGATCCGGCCGCCCTATAACTATTTGCGCTACGCTATTTTAACGCGTGCCCAAATATTTAGGTATCGTGGGTTTGAACTTTGGGTGGGTGTCTGCCGGGGCCGGGTTTCCCTCAGTATCCACCTACTTAGGTACCTTGTACATCCATGTACCACTTTCGTCCACACGTCCAAAGCAGAGTCTCCAGAGTCCAGATCAACCGCCGAGAAAACGAGCAAAGTCGCCACCAGTTGCAACAATCACGGTAGATATATGGGGAGCAAGCACCGCGGTTGAAATAGAGTTATTATTATTAAAGCGCCATATACCAGGTAGTAGTTAAGCGAAAATTAAAAGGCAGGCAGATCGGCGGCGCCGTTTCAACTTTCAGGGATCATATAATGTAACGTTTTTTCTTGGGGGTGATCCAGGGGGGATTCGGGGGGCTTGGTCACGGGTGAACAGTCAAGACGGAGAACATGGTCATACATAAAGCAGTTGTATGTATTGATCCCACTCCGTTAAGTCTCCCGCGCCGTCCATATGTAAGGTACATGTTCTCTCCATGTATCTAATAGAAATGAGAGAGAAAGAATCAAGCGCCTAATATAAACGAGTGGAGGTCTAAATTCGCCGTGCGAGTGATGGCACGTGATACAGTACCTATTGGAAGCCCTTCTTTTTACGGACCCAGACAAGCTCACTGGAAAAAAAAAACCGAATCCCAAGAATCACTCGACGACACGTCATGTACGGCAGGCGTCTACTCGACTTCATTCAAACATCTATCTCCCGTCATCCCAATTCTCCACATTTTCTCCCGGCCGCGGCTTCCGGCCGTACGAGATATAGCTGCAGCACCGGAAAATTGAAATCAGCGGTCTAGTCCACTCCAGTCCGCGCTATCCTGTCATAGTAGGTAGCACCAATCATGATTCACGAGCCGACTTACTGTATAGAATAAATGTGCGTGTTGGGATCACTAGCCGCCTCGCAGCCCTCGCGGCAGATCTGGTCCGCCTCCTCATCGTCCATTCCCAGAATCCTCGTGAACGCGGCCATACCTAGGTAGTGTTCGCATCACCAATCAGCACCATCCCTCCCCATCCCGCACCAACACTCTTTTTATTTACCGTAAGAATGAAACAGCGTCTCCGCCTGCTCCAGGAGGCACCTTCCCGCAAGCTTGAGCCGCTCCTCCTTCGCCCACACGCCAAACGGCTGCTTCAGCTCGAACGAGTGGATATCGACGAAGCCGGCGGCGCGCAGGCGCGCCGGGAGCACGCCCGACGTGATCGGTGGTCGGTTCACTAGCGTCATCGCCCGCGCGATCAGGTCGCAGTAGTACTTCGTCGCGTTGGTCGCCGACATCGTGCCGTCGTCGCAGTAGGCCATTGCTGTGGGGGTAGGGGTTAGTGGTGCGAGGCAGGGGGAGGGGACGGGGAGGCGGGAAAGGTACCCCCCGTTTCGGAGAGCTCGACGAAGCCGCCGGGTTCGAGGCAGCTGCAGTGGCGGGGTTAGTATCGTAGTGTGTAGACGGGTGAGGTGGGGGAAGCTTACCGGTATGCCTCCGATAATACGTAGTCCCATTCGGTAATTCCCTGGGCGACTGATTTTGCAGCATCAGCAAGAGATCCTCGATTCTCGGAAGTAGTGGAGACTGTGAGCTACCATTGCGAAAGTGGATAAAGTCGAATGCGTCCTGTTGAGCGGTCAGGTAAGCGTGAGCGAGTGAGCTTTCTGTTTTGCTCGGGGCAGCTCACGTTATTGTCTGTCCATTCGCGCTCCACGTCGTCGACTTCAAAGATACTGGCCGGGTCAGTACATGTTAGGTTGGCATGCAACGGAAAGCTCCAGAGGGGCCATGGTACGGTAGACTCACCAATTCGGCGGGACCCTGATAGGCTCCATATCAGCAAGAACATCGCCATCGCCATCATCGCCATCGCGTCCACCAGGACGCGCACCATTTCGGTTGAATCGGGCTATGTACATACTCATATCTCGTCAGCAACCCCTTCCGCGACGCACTTGTTCATCCACCCAACCACGCACCCACGCACCTCAGATCGATCCCCGTAACCTTAGCTCTAGGCCACTTATCCGCCATATCGATAGCCCAGGCGCCGGTGCCTGTGCCGACATCCAACACGCTTCTTGGATTCTCCACCGGAGCTTTGTGCAGTTCCTCGTTCAGGATGCGGAGTATGAGTTGGTGGTGAATATCCATCCTGCACGAAATTTAGTTGGAGGAGCGAGAACACAGAGATCCTGCTAAGATACATACCGGTCCTGCTCCCGGTCGTCCGTCGGCATGTAGTTCTTCTCGTCGCCAAAGTATTTGTGGTAACTCCGTCCTTGCGGGTGGGGGTTAGGTACTAGGTCGCCGGCGTGGGAGTGGGATGCATAGGTACCGTTCATGATCAGGTACTCCTGGATCGACTCCGTCAAGCTCAGTGTGCCATGGCTGATGGCGGATCTTGACAAGCGCCTTCGTGGTTAACGCGCGCTCGCAGGCAGTGGGGGAGGGGGGGACGTCGGCAACCGGCTGTGTATACCCTGGTGGTTGATAGTCGTTATCCCGGAACTACGCCGCGCAGGTTAGATAGTCGGACCGATGCCTGTCGATATTTCCGGGTGACCTACCTCTGGCTCGGTGTTGGTCGGGTTGCATATCGTCGCAACGTGAGGATCGACCTCGATGATAGACCTGTAAGTAGCCATTCTCGATTCTTGCGTGTATGTAGATATGTCGAGTACTATAGTGTCGGCAGTGGCGGGAAGAGAAAAGTCAAGATCGATCACTGCAAGAAAGCCCCGCTCGCCCGCCCTTAAGTAATGAGTGTGCAGTCATAGAATAGGGTATGCCAGCGAACGTGTCTTGAATAAGTGCACTTTGAGAACCGGACCGGACCGTTCTATGAATATGCACGAGCAGTAACCGATCCCTCCCCAATCGATTACATATCTACGTCGCTAGAGTGGTTGGTGGAAATGTGGGGAACGACGGCATCTTCCTTCCGCGCTCCGTGGCTAGCTTCTTCAGGCCAGGCTCAGCGAGAGAGCGAGAGCGAGCCGAGGATTCTCTCCCGGACCTGGGAGGGAGGGGATCGGAGGGGAGTGGGACAATGCGGTCCCGTTGGCCTTCCCGCTGCACATCTAGGCGAATTTGCGCAGCTGGGAGTCTGGAAGTCTGGGACATCGGTGTCTTTCATCGACAGGCAAAATCAACCGCCTCGGCTGAGTGGCCATTGATGATTGGTCAAGAGCCGAAGGTGGTGATGCTCATGCCGATCAGCCGTCCAGGCATCAGTACTAGTACTAGTATGATAGTGAAGCCCCTCCCTGATTGTGGGGTAACTCGTATAGAATCTCATTTACGCGTAGCTAGCTCTGATCGCGCAGAGGTGGAGAGCGGCTGCTCCTCCGTATCTCGATCTATGTTTTCCAAATAACGGTGTTCCAATTGGTGTCTCACGGGTATGGCTCAGTGCGAAGCTAAGAGGGACCGTTGCCGGTGGACGTCAACTAAGGAGTTAGTTGGTGGGGACTAGCCGTCTGCCTGTGCATCACGCGCTCCGGATGTAAGAAAGGGCTAGCAGTTACCAGGGTTTCGTTTCGAGGCAACTCAATTTTCGTTGGAAACCGGACCCGCAAAGCAGAAACAACAAACTAATGTTCCGATGTATGTAACTGGCGCTCGGTTCTTGGATATCACATCTTCTTCTCCATCATCACCAACGCCTCCACAAACGCGTGGATATCCTCCGCATAAATGTACGGGCACTCGAACGCGGGGAAATGGCCACACTTCACCCCCGCCATCATCATCAACAGTGGCCCATCAGGAGTGTGTGTGCGTACGTACCCTGTCGTGTCTCTTCAAGACCGCTAGCGGAACATCCTTATTATCGTGCTCGATCCATTCCAGTGGCTTCTGGATTATCTCCTTCGGAAACCACGAATAGCCGTAGGGAGATCTGATCGTGATAGTATCTGTCCAGTCGGTTTTTGTGGTTCTGATGTTGTGGTACTATGTACACACCACGCAGTGTCCCGTCCGTTAGCGACACACCCACCGGAAAGAAGCATTGGGCCGGGAGCAACCTCGCGGTACGGATGAATCCCCCTGGGAAAACTCTCAGTGAACCAATAGAGCGTCGCCACCTCCAGAATCAGCTCCATGGACGGGTCCTCCTCCGTCCAGTCGAGAAACTTCTCTGCGATCCACGCCAGGATCGCAAGCGGACTGCTCGCCAGGACATGCGAGATGGTGTTGGGCCGTGTGCCGTGGATCAGAGCGTACGCGGTGCCATCTTCTTTGTGCATCTCACCGCGCGCGACACACTCTTGATCCACTCTGGGAAGTGAGGATACCGCGGTGGGTGGTTCCGAGAGGAGAACATACATGTTCACTTGGAGTTTGTTTGTCAGAGAGAATTCCTCGGGGGTGGGGGCGAGAACGAACGGTGGACCCCCCGACAGGCCGGTTTTCCTGACAACCCCCGCGCCACGAGCGAGCCAATATCGCCGCCGACCGCGACATACCCGGGAAACCCCAATCCCACAACCAACCGGTCCACCACGCTTGCCATTTCGCTCAACAACAGCTGCCGATCCGTCGGGGCGGTGGAGAAAGCGTACCCTGGTAGGCTGGGCACGATGATGTGGTAGTTCTTCTGCTTGTCTTTCCGGAGCGCTGTAATTAGTGGATAAAATTCGTAGTAGCATCCGGGCCAGCCGTGAAGGAGCACCAATGGCACCGCATCCGGATCCTCGGAGAACGTGGCGACGAAGTGGACGGTGAAGTCGTCGATTTCGGTGGTGAACTGTGGGAGCGAATTGAGCTTTGATTCCGTTGCTTTCCTGTGATGGAGGCGTCGTTTAGCGTAATTTCGGGCGGGCTGGATGGGGGGGTGCTCACCAGTCGAAATCCTGCCATTTCTGCTTCGCTTCAGACATCCACGACGCAGTTATGCCGTAGTGACGATCATCACTTGTAGCGGTCGCGGGTGGAAGCTTGGAGAGCCGGAGAAGCGTCTTGAAGTCGGCGATGTCGTTGTCAGGGATCGCGACAGTGAATTGGGAGACGCGCAGGGTAGGCTTGAGGAACGACGGGAGCTCGTGTTGGGCCATGGCTGGAGGTCAATTCGGCGTGTAGATGCCGGATGGATTGAGGCGGGGTAGCCACTTAGCAAGGCGCTCCGGGTACGTCTTTATACATGCATCACGCTAAGACCTCACGTTACACAGGGTGTTCCGGACAGTTATTGTACCGGATCTGCACCGGATATTACAAATTATCGTCAATGAGGGTGCCCGAGGAGTCATAGCTAGGAATCATGGTGCGATAGAGGTTATATTTGCGAGTCTTATAGTGTGATGATCGTTCGCGCGAACGCTCGGGGGTGTGTTAGGACTTGGCCTTTCAAATAGCAGTCTGGGAGAGGGGGGATATATACCTGATGATACGGTTCTGGGTGCGTCTGGAGTGCAGAGTCAGAGTAGCGGTGATCTGCTCGGCTAGGAATGCGAGGGTCCGCACTGCTCTTGTGCGCGGCAGACGGCGTCGCAATGGAGCCGAGAATGATTGGTTCCGGAGCGTCGGAGGCGGGAGAGCAGGTCGGGACTAATGGCCACTGCTTACTACAAGCGAGATGCGGCCCCAGCACTACCAGAGAAAATGCCGTATCTACCGGATCGATGTCTGTGCTCACCACCTTTGTCTGGGGACCATGAGTGTGGTTGCGAGCCGGGAGACTCCGGGAGCAGAGTCTTCGGGATTGAGGGTGGTGAATCCGTCTTTGACTGGCTGCTTGTCAGCCTGTTCGAAGAGGAGGGGATGCGGTCCTGTCGAGGTATCTCGCTCATCGCTGCGGCCTTGTTGCCCCCGTGGACCGAGTGTCCGAACAGCTCAAGAGTAGGGCGGGTTCGAGAGTATTCTTGGGAACGGATGATTTTGTAGTTACGTAGTCCGGACAGAGAGAGAGAGAGAGAGATCTTCCTTTTTATTTCGCATGCAGCCTAGGTATCTAGACTATGGCGAAACGTAGTCCGGACACGAGCAGGGGCTGGCCACGCGATCTCACGCGGCGAGTGATAGTTAAGTAAACCCGTGCTGAACCGTGGCTCCAACCGCGGCCCCAACTGAACGACTAGAAAACCTTCACCACCCCCGGTGGGTGGCTTGGAAACCCCTCTCCCCCTGAAGTCGGACCGGGAGCTCCGTGCGCTGGGTGGTGGCCTACCACGCAGGGGTTTTTTTTCCGTACAAGAAGAATGTTGATTCCGATGATAACATGTAGCTACGCACCTGATACTCACTTAGACGCCTCAAACCTGCCAGCAGACAAAGCCATAGTACCTAGATGAACCATGGAACCGAGCCGGAACGCACACCAAGCCATCGACTCGTAAAAACCACGATCACGGCGAGTTCTTGGTTCCGTGGTTGGCAACGGATGAACCTCGCGGGGCGGGTTGAGTATGTCAGATTACGCCGTACGGAGCACATGGGGGATCTCTCCTCATAACCGCTGTAAGGTGGTGGTGAATTTCAAGGAGCACTATTCTGAAGGAGTCAACGACTCGGCCATGCGAACTGTATCTGGAGGAGGAGATGTGTTCGGCTGTCTGGTATCGCTGTCGGGTCTGTCTCCTAATGGCAGACATATTCTGTATATATGGAAGGGTACTAACAATTTGACACCTCCAGATTACACGCCTCGGGGAAGTCCAGCATCGGCTGAGGTCAATGTTTTGATGAAAGCCCCGTAAAGAGCTAGAGGTCTCTAGCGTTTTATCATCGCGAAAGCAGTTTTCTACATACATAGCCCAGTCCAGTTAAGTCCAGTCCGTCCGGACCCATAGACGGGACGGACTCCTTTTGCAGCGCACGGAGCGGAGAGGGTTGAGCGGAGAGCAATAGGGAACCAGTATCGAGCTTCCAGCCAGCGGTCGGTGCCAGAGACCGAGTGGAAACGGATGTGTAATCTGCCATGATCTACCAAGGTTGAATGCAATGATGATTAAACTATAAAGGAGCCGCCATCACAAAGCATGTCAGGTGATGACTGCTATCGAGTGATATTCCGTGCTTAACCCATGATGCAAAAAACAAAAACCATCTCCACCCCCGGCGGGTGGCTTGGAAATCCCAAGAGCTAAATACATAAGGTATTCACCCGGTTTTGAACCGGGGTCTTTCCCTCAGCTCCCCTCGTCGATTGCGTGGCCCTAGACCCCCTAGGGTACGAGGAATGAGTGAATCACTCATTGACTGCACCCGAAATGTCGCAGAATGAGATGCTCCTCATTTGGTGACAGATACGCGCCGTGCTAAATGCATTATTGCTAGTAAATGCAGCAAACTCCCTCGTGCTGATTGCAGTGATGTTAGTAAATGCGAATCTCATAGTTAATACGTAAGACGTGCAAGCAACCAGCTGCGATGGTGGTGGTGATGAATGCGCCATTGTCATAGAATGCGTTGTGGTATGTATAAGAGTACCCAAGTAGTCGGCGAGAGGAAACAGATGTAGTTAGTGTGGATGGCTAGGGCAGCGGGCAGGCAGGCAGCAGGCAGGCAGCGAGCAGGCAGCGGGCAGGCAGCGAGCAGGCAGCGAACTTGAAGGCCGTCCGAGAGGCCTTATCTCTCTCTCTCATCATCTTCATCATCGTCTACAGAATACACGATCAACCTCCACCTCATCTCTCTCTCCAGTCATCACCATCATTTACGGGATAGATGATCAACATCTACTCTCGTCTGCCACCACACAACGGACTTGTAAACGGCCAGGCCTGGGAATAGTTCGGCCGGCCCGTAGACTATCAAGGCCCGGCGAGAGAGCTCAGAGCTGTCGGCGGAAGGAGGCAGCAGGATAAGGACGTATCTGCCGGAGAAACCGAATGTGGTTAGTGGTGTGCATCAACATTGGCGGGCATGGTGGGGTTTTCCTCCTCCTCCTCCTCCTCTTCTTCTTCTTTTCGCCATCATCACAGCTCCTTCTCCCACCACAACTGCTATTCTCAAATCCCGCCGCAACTGCTACTGCTACTCCCGCCGCCACTGAAATTCTCACTCCCGCCGCAACTCCTACCCCGCCGCAACTTCTTCTCCCGCCTGCCGCAACTGCCACTGCTACTCCCGCTGATATCTCCTCTCTCATATAGCTCCTACTCCCCCGCAACTCCTTCTGGGGCCGCAATTCCTGCTCTCGCAGACAGTTCCTCTTCATCTCGCTGATCACTCCTCCTCGCTGGTAAGTCCTTCTCGCTGACCACTCTTCCTCACTGACCACTCCTCCTTCTCGCTAGTAGCTTTTTTTCTCGCTGTCAACTCCTCCTCGCCGACAGTCCCCCCTCTCGCAGACATTCCTCCTCGCCGACAGTCCCCCCTCTCGCAGACAGCTCCTCCTCACAGATCGCTCCTCCACCACTCTTCCACCACAACAGTGTTGTATCCGCGGCGAAGAGAGTGTGGTACCCGCGGCGGCGAGAGTATGGGACTACCAACAGCTGACAGTCAGCGCAGGACAGCAAGAACAGCGGCGAGAACGGCAAGTATAGCAAGGACTGCGGAAGGAGAGTGTGCTATCCGCGGTCGGGAGAGGGAGGTACGCTGCGGCGCAAATGGAGGAAGGCATAGGAGGACAAGCCGTATACTAGTACCACATATGAATGTAACGCATTTTATAATACTGCAAATTATCCAAAATATCGCATTTTGCAACAATACCATCTCAAAACCCAGCGCATTCTACGTCTTGTCGCATTCATCATTCTGCTGCATTGAGTGACATCTCCGTTAATGCGACATCTTGGACCTCATTCCATTCACTAATTGAGTGAAATCATTTTAGGATGGTGTTTCTTGCGACCTCATTGACCATAAAATGCTAGTTTGCCTCATTACTTGTACCCTAGGGGACCACTGGACCACGCAGGGTTTTTTCCGTGATGGAAACAGCAAATTGGAAAATATAAAGTGGTGTGTTCCACCCCGTGATGGGACAATAACAACGGCAACGAAGCGACGCCCGCCAGATCGGAACCTGTCCTGCTTCATCGATACACCCCCGGGGCCCCCACAACTGATCGTCTGGATGATTATTCCATCTCACGCTGCGGTAGATCCGTACCAGAAACATGAATTCGATTCTTATAAAGTGGTGTGTGCCACGTGACGGATAAGAACAACGACGCAGTGTCGTTTACATATCTATTCTCAGCTGGCTTATAGAGCGCACCAAAGATATAACACTACGTACGAACAGACAGTGCAGGCAACAGCCCAGCCCAATCAAATCCAGCCCGCAGCCCGGCGCGTCTAGCCCTGCCCGGGCTGGGCTGGTCTTGGCAGCCCGGCTTTGAGCAGCCCACCAGCCAGGCGCGCCCGGGCTGGTGGGCTGCAGCGAGTGAGCTGTTGTGATTCGTCTCACTGCTACTCTTCGTTGACCAACGGATTTCCTATCTATTGTCGTAAAGTTACCCTACCAACTCTAGGATCCAGCCTGCCCAGCCCATCGGCGCCAGCCCGGGCTATCAGATCAGCCCACAAGCCCCAGCCCAGCCCATGGGCTTTTCGGGCTGTTGCCTGCACTGCTAACCCGTAGTAGACGAAGAAGGAAGCAACAAAACAGCCACATCGTCCCACCTATCCTCCTACCGATCTTAGTATCTTTGATAGCCAAGAAACAGGGAGACGCCGGGAAGCAGCCGTGCATCGAGAGTGTAGACCGCAGTCAATCAAGAAGCCAATGTCATCGTCTCGCACAGCAGCCAGAGCAACAACATTTCGCTAATGGCGCATGCATCTCACTCATGCATGGCCAGGAGGTAAGACCTTTGCTATGAAAGGAAGAAGACCTCCGCGTACAACGTGGGGGGATAGTAGACCAGGTTATACGCGTAGAACTCGGAAGTTATACTTTTTTTAGTTTATTTCTTCCTCGTCAACACGAAACCGTCTGTTACCCGGTTTCGGAGAAGCCATCCACCGGGAGCAAGTCGGCTCTCACCCGACTTGGAATCCTGGCGGAAGGGGGAAAGAACTTCGCCGGCAGCAGAAGAGAAAACCCCGTCCTTGGATCTTTTCTGCTCAGCCTCGAGGGTTGGATCCGTCTCTTGCAATAGTCTACTTTGTAGACCGGTTGCACGGATCCCTCAGTTCCTCGCTACTCCGGCTGAGCAGGATAGCCCTGTAAGGTTATCCTGGAAGTAAAAAGCGGGGGACAGAGAACGACGTACCTGAGGGTTGATCTCAAGATTAGGTGGAAGGAAGGGAGGGAAGGAAGGAAAGGAATGTGGGAAGGAAGGCAGGATGGGGGGAAGGAAGGAAGGAAGAAAGGAGAGTAGTCGAGGAAGAATGGAAGCTGTGATGGTTGTAAAGAGAAGAAGAGAAGGAGGAGTAGAATGGGGGGTTTTATAAGTGATTTAGGAGCCGCCAGGTTCCAAGCGAGTTTTTGCCGCCAAGGGCTAGACCCCACAAAAACTTGCTCGTCCGGCGAAACGAGCGAGCAGACCTGACTCCAATCGTCGGAGACGGGGTCGAAGTCACCTCGCGCGCCGGCGGCTGAACTATTCGCTGTCACGGCTCATAGAAAAAACAGTTACATCTTCCTACTTATCCTCCTATCGATCCTAGTATATTTGACAGAGCGGTAAGCGGGTAGGTTTGACTCGAGGGAAGGGCTGGGCGGCGAGCAACAGGAAACTGGTATCCAGCTCGCTGCCAGAGGTCGGTGACAGCCGGCTGGAAAAAGACATCTAATCTGCCATGACCTGCTAAGGCCGAAGGCCATGATGATTAAACAAAAAAAAAAACCGAACTGTGGCTCGAACCAAAAACCGTCACCACCCCCGGTGGGTGGCTTGGAAACCCCGATAGATGGACCGTTGTCCATGCTAACTCCGCCGGGTGCGTGACCACAAGGCCACACGGGGTTTTTTCCGTGCTGTAAATTTACTACGCGCGGTTATGAACCCGTCGCGCCAGCATGCGCAACAGGCTTATCAACCACACCAGGTGTTGAACCATCGTATGTAGTCCCCATATACCCCAGGATACATGCAATGCGGCGTAATGAATGCGTACCTGTCGTCTCTATTGACGGCAAATAGTAGTACTTGCGAATGTCACTGTAATTCTCCACTACTTGCGGTAACGGCACAAAATCTGATGAATGATGGAACATGCAGTTGTCAATACTCGCCGTCCTTCGCTGTCAGACAGCCCTGGTCTTCGTACAGCGGGTATGCATCGTTGTCCTACGCCGTCCTGCTGTGTCGGGCCTGCCTCACCGTGGATGCACACTATAGGCTATTCACCGCGGATTGCACACTGACTTCGCTGTCGTTCGTGGTTTCTGCCGTGGGTATTTACTGCATTCGCTCCTGGTCTCACGGATACCACACTGTCCTTGCTGTGGATAAGCTGCTGGCCTTACCGCGGATATCGCGCTGTTCTTGATCGTCTTTCCTGTATATAATGAGAGAGAGAGAGGAGGCCTCTCGAATTTCCCCACCCTCCATCAAGTTCTCCTTGTTCAGGGTCAGCTCGCCACGCTCCGATCTTTGGGAGTCCGGGATTCCGCTGAGCTGCTGGAATCCCCTGCCAACTAAGGCCAAGGTAGCTCTGGGTTCAGCCAGCTGCTCGTCCAACTTCCAAGTGCCTGCCCTGGGGTCTTGGTCTCTTGACCATCGCGGTCGCCCGATGTTTTGGTGTCCGCGTCCACGCTTGCCTCTACATCATTCTTCTTCCCACGTCTTCCTTCAAATCCAACCACCACGAGCTGTTGACTCTGCTTTCCTCCCCGTTCCTGTCCGATTTCGTCGTCTGGTTGTATGTCGCCGCTCGCTTAGAAATTTAGCGGGTAGTATGTTGCGTGAACTGCGTAAATCTCCTGTGCTTGCTGTACGGTGCACAGCCGGGTCTCGTGCATGCCTGGATATCTCGATCACTGTGTACCTAGGGGAGCATGGCATGGTGAGTCGAATGACATGCACAGTCAGGTGAAAATGGACGGGACACGCGACAGCCGCCTGAGCCTTAAGACTAGCGTTTCGAACCCAGGAGTTGGGACTGCAACTGCCGGCAGCTGCCGCTGGTCATACATTATCACTCGACCTTTCTGCAGCCTACGCGGCGGTTCTTCATGATTTCGCATTCGCTCCAAAAGGGAAAGGGAAAGGGGAGAAGAGATGGCGGGACTTGGAAGAGAGGGAAGCTTCCAGTCATGACCTGATAGTGCTCGCGGCAGGGGCGGCGTATATGTGACCGTCTTCATCGGCGGGAGCAGGAATGCCGGGCGGCAAAAGCCACGCAAGCCCCATAGAAAGGATTTGGAAAACCTTCAAACGAAGGGACAGAGCACAGGTGGCAAGAGCGGGCGAGTTGGCCCGTAGGGAAGAGAGGAGATCGTGATTCCGCTAGTGCAAGTTTGAGGTTTAGAAACCTCTACAAAACCCCCACTGCTCTCCCACTGCTCTCCCACTCTTTCCTTCTCTCTTCACACTCTCCACTCTCCACCTTCCTCCGCCCGCTACAAATTTTCTCCTTTGCAAATCTTTTCGACCTCTTACTCACACCGGTTTGTTTATCTCGGCTCTTAGAATGAAATATCATAACAACCTCGCCATCCTAGAACCATCACACACCATGCCTAGAATTAACGAGTTGGAACAGAGTGGTCGAATGGTCAATCACAAGACCTTCGACCCTCTGGGGGCTACTCTTCCGGAGACCCCGAAGTCCCTCGCCGAGGGGCATGAGGGCGCTGCCACCACCATCGAGTCATCTTGCGATGACTCGAGCGACGATGATGATGATCTGATCTTCATGTCTACAAGCAGTAGCAGCGCGCTGATAACATCGGCGGATGTCGTCGGTGCTCTCGGCGCGACGTACGCCGCCGCCGTCAACGGTGTTCGATGCTTCCTCTCCTCCGCGTACGAGTACGCCGAGCTCGTGCAGTCGGTGCTCGCCGTCGCCACCACCACCATCGCCGCCGTGGTGGTGAAGGCCATCATGCTTCTTACTATCCACGGGCTGCCGCCAAGGTTCGCCCAAATCGCCAAGGGTGCGGAGGTGTCTGCGGACGCGATCTCGGTCGAGATCGTGGTCCCGGCCTGCCATCGGTTCTTGGACTGGCCCTCAGTCGTGTGACTGAAGGGGGAGGGGAGGGGGAATAAGGAATAGCTGGCTATTCCTCAGAAATAAAATTAATTTTTTAAAGTCAAACCTTTCGTGAGCCGTCCGCTATCTGTTGGTGTTGTCATCTAGAGTCAACCCTGAATCCGCTTTCGCTATGTAGAACAGAGCAGTTTTGCGAGGGCTCTTCCACCAATCACTCTCCAGGCTGTCAAGTGGGTCGTGAGAACGAGAATACACAATGCGAGAGAGTAGGCAGAGGTTGATCTAAACATTTCCAGGTCCTACGGGGCCCTAATAGTCTTCCATCCGGACGGATTAGTATTTCTAAACAAAAGAAAGATATTAAAAATTAAAATTAAAGAAAACAAAAGAAAACAAAAGAAGACAAAAGAAAACAAAAGAAAACAAAAGAAACAAAAGAAAACAAAAGAAACAAAAGAAAAGAGAGGAAAAGAAAACCCCAGCACTAATCAAGGACGATTGGATCGTCACGGCTTCCTAAGACCAGATCGGCGATCTGCTCAGTCTGCCGTCTGGAGAAGCGGGGCAGGCACGACGGCGGCGGTCGGGCGTCTGCGCTCTGCCGGCTGGAGCGGCTTCTTCTTCGTCTTCGTCCTCAATCGTAAACGGGGGCGCTGAGTTGCCGTCCCCAGAGAAGATCGTAGCCTCGGCAGGCTGCAAGGAGTAGGCGGGCTCGGCTGCTGGCTCGGTGCTTAGAGCGGGCGAGGGAGAGGGCACACGGCTGCTTCTGCTACTGATGCCCCATATCGTGGAGGCGGGTGCGGAGACTGGTGGCGGCGGGTTGGGTGATCCGGGAGCCCGGATCGCGGCGCTCTCCTTCAGGAACATCGGTTAAGACCGCGCCGTCGGCAGCGGCGACAACGTACCCGTTCACCAGCTTGTAGCGGTACTTCTCGAAGCAGTCCTCCTGGAGAAGAAGGTCCTGCTTTGAGAACGTGCACTTGTACGAGATCGTGAGCTTGTCTGTGGTACTGGTGGTGATGCTGGTGCTGGTGGCGGCGGCGCTGTGTGTATTGTTAGATATGGATACAGAGATGGATCCGCATGAATGAACGTACCTTCGCGCGCCGGGTCTTGGCCACATTCGCCCCAATTGGCCAGCCCTTGGCCAATTGGGGTGACGGATCTTTGTTCACGGGACGAATCCCGGCGAACGCTGTGTGCAAATCGAGTCAGTGAGTGATGCATCACATGGTGGCGAGGGAAGTGTGAATAGCTTACCTTGACCGGCGCCTTAATGGTCGCCAGGTCGCGGAGGAGGTGTCCGTGGGCGGAAGTAGAAGATGCTGCAATCATCTATCCAACTGTGAGCGCAGTTCGCAAACAACAATTATAGATGAAGTATATGCGAGGGACAGTTTGTGTGTGGGGTCGTATGTTGGTTGTCGGGCGAGAAGGGGAGAGGGAGGGGACTTACATTGTTTCTGGATGCAGAAAGAGCAAGCGCTTGGGGTGGTGGATGTAGAAAGATGTCTGTGGATGAAGGAAGAGCAGGTGCTTAGGGTGGTGGATGTAGAAAGAAGAGAGAGAGTGGGGGCCAGGAAGCTGGTATTTATAGGTGTTCTAGAGAAAAACGTCAAATCGCGGCTCGTCAACTGATGTGTGTCCTACTCTCACACAGCCCTTCCAGTACCGTTTCGCGTGCCGTATATCCTCAACATCTAAACGATACGATCCCTCGCCGCTACCATCATCAACACGATACAGGCTTCAAGCAGCATAATTATTAATGCCAACCCCATTCGCCACCGTCCCCAGATTCCGCATCTTCTCACCACTGGCAGCCTTGCTCTCCGAGACTCTCGTGACGAGGCCGGGCTCAACCTAACGGCGTTTGTCTCGTCGGCTGCCTGATGCTCGTTCTGATACTGAATGTATGTAGTATGGTGTCGCTAGGTATTGGCAAATCCACGATGCGTGTGTTTTGTCTCTAGTTGGTTGAAAACGGATGATCCCAGTCCAGACACCAGCAGCGCGTGGGAAGTCGTTGTGAACTCACAACACAGAGGCAAACTCTGAGCTGTTGTGATTGCGTCGTTTCGTGAGTCTCTCTGAGCACTCCGGTCTGTATTTCGGAGTCGGCTTTTTCTGGCTGATCATCTCCGCGACCGTACATACTTCTTACTGTTGGTTTCTACTTCTACGGGGTTTGGGCTTTCATACTGTATAGTGAAGGGGGGGTAAAAAAATACGCTATTTTCCGTATCGGTACAGCCACAAAGCGTATTTTTCACCCCCCCCCCTTCACTATACAGTAAGTGGGGAAATTACTCATGTCGCCGAGATCTATTGGGTAGCGGGTTTGAAATTCGACATGATAAGTACGAGTGCTGGTCAGGAGTATTCAAAGTTTCCGACACGAGATGGATCATAGTGGATGATTCGGAAAAGCAAGTCCTAGTTTTGGTGGATGTCGTCGTTTTGGTCACAAATATCACATGAAGAGCAATCAAGAAAAATGAAGAACAATCAAGAAAAACCAATAAGCACTTTTATTTTGTTTCCCCCGAGCTCACAACAGACACAGGTGCGCGAGCCTGACCAGCATCGTTCCTCGATCTAGTGCAACATGACCCAGTGGTTCTTTCCCTTGTACTGGTACTTTCCACCAGCCCTGTCCTTGTCACCCTGCCGGCACTTCTGGCGAATGTGGTCGACAGCGGCGGCGACAGTGTAGCACGGCGCATTGTAGGTACCTCCGCACATCGAGACGGCGCCTCCCTTCCAGCCGGCGATCTTCTTGCACTTGGATCCTCCGCCGTTGGTCTGCCTGCAGATCTTCTTCTTGAAGTTCATGATGTCGACGATCATGAAGTTGATCTCGTGCTCGGTGGGCGAGGCCCAGGACGTCTCGCAGAAGATGTTGCCGGGCATGAGCGGGTCCTCGGCCAGGCCTGGCATGGTGCTGTTGATGTCGTCGGGGACACCGAGGGAGCCGGCGGCCATGGTCTCGCTGTAGAGAGCCTCGAGGTCGAAATCGTCGGTCGCCTCCAGAGCGTCAGCGGTATCGATATCGGTGATGTTGGAGATGCTCGCGCCAGAGCTGGCGGGAACCGCCGAGACGGCGACGGTCATCATCGAGAGGACCATGACGGTAATGAGGTTGGTGCGCATGTTGATCTTGTTGGGGGTTTTGATTTTGTGGTGGAAGGGTTTGGTAGGAAAGGGGAGAGGAAGGATTTGGTGGTTGAGGTATGTAGGGATGAGGGGAGGGATGAAGGGCTTGGTGTGAAAGATAGGGAGAAAGGGAGGAGGGAGGAGGGAAGGATAGGAAGCCTTATAAAAGATTTTGAGCGTGCGTGCGAAAGAACCCTAGCGCAATATTTTAGGCGGCGAAAATTATGAGTATGAGTTCTAGGGCACCCACACTCGCAAATCCTTGGTCTAAGCCCTACTTACTTACCAGCCAGATAATCATCACCACCTTTGACGGCCGACATGCGCAGTGCATCACTTTTAATCACTCGTAGACCGAGTGACATCATGTGCCGACTATCCAGCAAAATCCCACTTCATATCCGACAGGTGATCGACGCAAAGAACAAAACCCTGCACCACCCCTGGCGGGTGGCCTTGAAATTCAAGTGGCAGAGCATCACAGCTTGTACATTTGACCCACTCGCGTGTGGGATGATCTACCTAGACCATTACTACGCGGAATGTTTCCGCGCAAGCCGGGGTGATGTGTGCTGGTTCTGTGCTGAGATGTCTCGCACATCTGGGCCAAGTGAACGACCCAAGCTGAGCAAAAATGCGTCACCCAGTTCATCTACGGTCAGCGTAACTTCATCTACTGATATATTGTTTCCTTGTTCACCACTCGTATGCCTTCCAGACTAGGTATGGCGAGCTCTTCCACTAATCGGGCGCCACACAAGCCACAGGGACTCACTCAAAACGAGTGACATCTACTCCATATGTGCACACGAAAGTGGGGTTGACTGATACGTCCGGTTTAGCGCTACAGCGTTCACGGGTGTGTAGTCGACAAGCTGGTGAGTGAGCCGATGATTTATCTTTGGATGCACATCACTCGCCCACGCCACGACGTTTTTGATACGGAAAGCGAGGGCCGCTCCGAGATGTCACACCGGCCACCGTCTAAGGCTCCCACATACGAGGAGGTCCACTATGACACCTAGGCGGCAAACGTCAACCCAGAGAAGAGACTAAGTTTACCGGGTCGTGTGCCATTCCAGCCTCCCAATTTTGTTGGGTGTCTAGCAAACGCTACGGAGAAGCTCCGAATATAGCTCGAGCGGAAAAGGCGGTGGCTTCCTGGAAGCTACCTACGTTCCCGGACGTGTAGTAGCACGATGTAATGTATACATATTTACCCGGATGGTGATACTCAAAATGTTTATGTTCAAGTTTGAACCCTAATCAGCGGATCCGGTCTTGAGCTTTAATTACGGAGGGTCCAGGGACATATCGGTAGGCTCGGAATTACAAAATGCAGTAGCTATCGAGCTCTTCTTCACTTCTGATGCAACACTCCCGCGTCGATAGATGTGCTGCTACTATTTCCCCAGGTTGCTCCCGATCACGCCGGGCACGGGTATATTGGTACGCGTGTAGCTTCTCCCCCACAAAATCCGGCTCAATTTATTGATGTAAGTTTGTAGGGTCCAGTAACGTCGTCGCAGTGGGGCTCGACTTCTGCCTCTGCGAGCTCGATGGGGGTAGCCGCCTGGTTGTTTGTGTGCACATAGGTTGCCGGGGTAGTGGGAGGAGACAATGTCGGGAGCGACTGACATGTATTATGTTGGAAAAGCAGGCAATAACGAAGCGTGAGAAAGATAATCTTCAGGCGCTCCACTGGCGGGTGGCATGTGGTCGTTGTTATTGTCCATCGTGCCACCACTTTATATTTTTCAACTTCATATCTTTGGTACGGGACCCCACTGGTAGGTAGCAGAGCGGAGGCGATTAGTAATTCATAAACATCGACCGCAATGTTCACTTGCGGAAGAAACCCCGCGTGGCCTTGTCGTCTAGGCCACCACCCCGGCGCTGAAAGCTCGCCGTTCGACTCCCTGGGGAAGAGGGGTTTCCAAGCCACCCACCGGGGGTGGTGAAGGTTTTGTTTTTGACGCGGCGGATGGAGCACGAGGTATCACTCGCTAGTACTGTCAATCACGGAAACCGCTTTGCACTGCTGCTGGCCGGGGTCGTTCGGAAGGAGACGGGGAGGAACAAGGATCGCTTCACGATCCCTTTGCAAATCAGCGTTGCAGCCAGGCTATCTTGGACTTCTTCTCTTCCACTGATGTGGTAGATGAATCCCAAAGGCCGCCGCGGAAGATTCAGCAAGCGAGGTGTCCGAATGGGAGCTTAGGCAGCGGGCAGAGAGTGAAGCGGATCTGGTGCGAGAGGAGGAGGAAGGTGCTGATGTGGAGGAGCCGGGGTCAACGCCGCTGTTCCTCCTCACACCCTCTTTCATGGAATCTGCCGTGGAAGAGGCAACGGGCGAGGTGGGGCAGCTCCGGGGTAGCTGCTCAGTGACCGGTCTACTGCCCGCGGATCAATCTGGTAACGAAACGCCTGCTAGACGGCGCGATGCTTCTACGACAACGTTGCTCACTCTACTCTACTCTACTAGATAGTAAATGAAAAGATTGTAGGTCGGGTAATATCGCGTAAAGGCGGCTCTCACGAGCAGGGTTAGTTAGTCTGGATCATGTAAAGCACTCGAATACGATCGAACTGGGTACCGGTATCGTAATAATTCGTTTACGCTCCGACCGCTTTCTGCAGTGGGATGATTCTTTCAAGAGATGTGTTCAATGGAACATCGAGGATTGGGGGGCACTACACTTCATAGCCGCCGCCGTGGCTGACGACTATGAAATGGACACGGGAAGCAGCCGTGGATTGAAAGTGCAGACTGTAGTCAATCAAGAAGCCGATGTCATTGTCTCGCACTGCGGCCAGAGCAACAACATTTGGCCAATGGCGCATGCATGCCTCAACTGCATGCATGGCCGGAGGAAAGACCTTTTAAAAGCGAAAGGAAGAAGACCTCGGCGTATAACGTGGGGGGATAGTAAACCACGTTATACGCGTATAACTTGGGGCGGTAGTAGACAAAGTTTTACCTTCTTTGGTTATTTATCTGCTCGTCCGAAACCGTCTGTAGCCCGGTTTCGGAGGCATGCGCCATGGCCATGCACGGGGCATGTCTCTCACACATGGCATGCATGGCCAGGAGGAAAGACCTTTGCTCTCTCACAGCAAAGGAAAAAAACTTCCGCGTATAACTCGGGGGGTAGTAGACTAGGTTATACGCGTACAACTCGGAAGTTATACTTTCTTTATTTTTTTCTTCCCCATCAACACGAAACCGTCTGTTACCCGGTTTCGGAGAAGCCATCCACCGGGAGCAAGTCGGCTCTCACCCGACTTGGAATCCTGGCGGAAGGGGGAAAGAACTTCGCCGGCAGCAGAAGAGAAAACCCGTCCTCGGATCTTTTCTGCTCAGCCTCAAGAGTTGGATCCGTCTCTTTGCAACAGTCTACTTTGTAGACCGGTTGCACGGATCCCTCAGTTCCTCGCTAATCCGGCTGAGCAGGATAGCTCTGTAAGGTTATCCTGGAAGTAAAAACTTGGGGGGAGGAGAAGGAAGTACCATCAGGTTTGAGCTCGAGCTCAGGTGGAAGGATGGAAGGAAGGAAGGAGGGAGGGTTGGGTTGGAAGGAAGGATGGGGGTTGGAAGCAAGGATGTTTGGAAGGAAGGAAGGAGGGGGGGAGGAAGGCGAATACGCGACGCCGAATGGAAGCTGTGACGGTTGTAAAGAGAAGGAGAGAAGGAGGAGTAGAAGGGGGGGTTTTATAAGTGATTCAGGAGCCGCTAGGTTCCAAGCATTTTCGCTGCCGCCAGAGTGCTAGACCCCATCAAAACGTGCTGGTTAGATGGAGCGAGCGAGAAAACTTGACGGGGTACTCGCTGGAGAGGGATGGAAGTCACCCGCGCGCCAGCGGCTTAACAAGTCGCTGTCATGGCTCATAACCGCCCACTGCAGGTGCTCGTACACAACGTCTGCCAGATTACGGTATCTGGAGCACATGTAGGATCTCTCCTCATCTTCGCTGTAAGGCGCTAGCGATGGTGGGTTTGAAGGAACATTTTGTGAAGGAGCCAAAGACGAGTCGATCATGCAAACTGTATCCGGAGAAGGATATATGTTCTGCAGTCTGGTGTAGCTGGCGGGTCTATCTCCCCATAGTAAACATATTCCATGCATAGAAGGCGACCAGGCCGGAAATCGTGGGTCAACAGAAGAATTACACACAAGGAGGAAGAGGAATACCTAAGTGGTTTATCGCCTGTTCTGTTAATTATAAATTATAATCCATCGAGAAGAATAAGACGAACCAGAAGAAGGAGAGCCCGCTCTACCCAGCTTGAGTAACCTCCTGCTCGACCCTGCCATGGCCGACAACGTTAATTCTCACCGCTACTGAGAACACCCGTTTGCTCCCGGCGACAGGAGTTCTCCTTCACTTCCTCCTCGCGCCGAAAGCGATCCTCCATCCCTCCGCCACAATGTCTCTGACACATAGCCAACAGGAAAGATGTATTTGAAGCTATCTCTCGACGTCCTCTACTGACGATGGTGTTCGCTAGTGTTAGCAGATCTGTTACTCTTTGCTGCTGCAACTCTTCATCGGCGCGATGAACGTAGGCAATGTAGAAGGGAGAGCGCCTGGTAGGAAATGGAGCTGTTGGACCCCGCTGGTGGCAGAGCGGAGGCGGTTGGCGGTTTATAAGGGTCGACAGGAATCTTCACTCACGGAAAAAAAAAACCGCGTGGCCTTGTGGTCTAGGCCACCGCCCCGGCGCTGAAATCTCGCTGCTCGACTCACTGAAGAAGAGGGGTTTCCAAGCTACCTACCGGGGGTGGTGAAGGTTTTTGCTTTCTTGCCGCCTTATTTTGCCCCCCAGTGGCATACATGCGATGTCACTCGGTAGCCGAGTGCGGTAATATGAATGTAACCTATTGTAGCACCCCCAATGGATTCAAACCGGCTATTCCCATCATGCTGTAGCAGAAATACGTGTAAGGGAAAACATCTGGTAGGGAACGGAGCCATTGGAACCGCGGGCTGGTGGCAGAGCGGAGAGGGTTTATAATGGTTGACGCAAATCTTCACTCACGGAAAAAACCCCTGCGTGGCCTTGTCGGCAAGCCACCACCTCG